GGGTACAGAGAAAAAAAGGGGCAGGTTTGGTTTGGCTGGTAGGTAGTGCAGGCCACGGACAATGGTGAAGACCGCTAACGGTGGCTAATAGCAAGTAGCTAGTTAGCTGGCTAGTTTCAGCCAGAGGTTCTGGATAAAAATGTATGAAGAAACAACAGAATCCGTTCCACATTGGGTGAGGCGGGTTGCAGGAAAGTATATTTAGTTAAAGGATGGAAAGTGAGATTGAGAAATATATACGAAAAAGACAAAAAAACAAAAAACAGGCTATTTACATGAGGACACTACAGAAAACACGACCGCACTGCTATGCACTCCATCTCAATCTTCCTGTGATCCATCTTCAGTTTCTCAGAGATCATTTCCCTCACTTTGTCCACAGACTCCATCCAGGTCTCATGTGGAGATTCTGCAATTCCGTCCACAACCATGTTGTTTCACCTTGATTGTCCCTCGAGATAATCTGATTTCTCCGTCATTGTTATCATGGATTCACATACAGAACTGATGTTCTCTCTCAATGACTTGCAGATTGCTGTCATCTTGCCGTTCTCCTGTTTGAACTCGAGCTGACCCTGGGAGAATTGCAAACAGTTCTTCAGGTCCTGGACCTCTCTGGTCATGTCGTCCATTCTTTTATTAGTTGACTCCATCAGTATTTGGACAAAACACTTGGAAGCAATTTTCTTGTTTTTGTAACAATTGCTTGTAGAACTATTTTAGAGATAGAGAGACACACCACTGTCCTCAACGGTACTACCTCAACGGTACTCCCAGCCACAATGGCTAACCGCATCGCGGGCTAGTTTCAAGCCCTCAACAAAACCCTGCTAGCTTGATAGGCAGCTAGCTAGCAGCTAGGCTAGCTGCTAAGCCAAACAACTCCTCAGACCCGGCCTTGGTTGGCAGGATTCACTGGACAGATAGTAGCAGTCCCAGAAACTGATGCCAACCGCATCGCAGGATCTAAACTCAAAAGGTAGCTAGCAACTAAGAAACTTTTCAATAAAGTTTAAAAACTTTCCAAAACAACAAACCGAGCTCTCCCTCGTCCTGTATAAAAGGTGAATTTGTTTAAAGGTTATTGTCCTGCTGGAAGGTGAATTTGTCTCGCAGTGTCTGTTGGAAAGCAGACTGAACCAAGTTTTCCTCTAGGATTTTGCCTGTGCTTAGCTCTTTTCCGTTTCTTTTTATCCTAAAAAACTCCCTAGTCCTTGCAAATGACAAGCATACCCATACCATGATGCAGCCACCACTATGATTGAAAATATGAAGAGTGGTACTTACTGATGTGTTGGATTTTCCTCAAACATAACTCTTTGTAATCAGGACATAAAGTTAATTTCTTTGCCACATATTTTGCAGTTTTACTTTAGTGCCTTATTGCAAACAGGATGCATGTTTTGGAATATTGTTATTCTGTACAGGCTTCATTCTTTTCACTCTGTCACCATTGGCCTTATGGTGAAATCCCTGAGCGGTTTCCTTCCTCTCCGGCAACTGAGTTAGGAAGAACGCCTGTATCTTTGTAGTGACTGGGTGTATTGATACACCATCCAAAGTGTAATTAATAACTTCACCATGCTCAAAGGGATATTCAATGTCTGCTTTTTAAAAATAATCTACCAATAGGTGCTCTTCTTTGTGAGGCATTGGAAAACCTCCCTGATCATTGTGGTTAAATCTGTGTTTGAAATTCACTGCTCGACTGAGGGACCTTACAGATCATTGTATGTGTGGGGTACAGAGACGAGGTAGTCGTTAAAAAATCATTTTAAACACTATTATTGCACAGAGTGAGTCCATGCAACTTATGTGACTTGTTAAGCACATTTTTACTGCTGAACGTATTTAGGCTTGCCATAACAAAGGGGTTGACTACTTATTCACTCAAGACATTTTAGATTTTAATTTTTAATTAATTTGTACAAATGTCTAAAATCATAATTCCACTTTGACATTATGGGGTATGAATACTTTCTGAAGGCACTGTATAAACATTACATACCTTTTATAACCTTGTCAATCAATTATTTAGATGACAATTACATGCACTGTTAGATTGTTGCTGTAGAATAATAGTTTCATTTAGCCAAAGCATCAGGGGATAGGCAGGAAATTGTGGTAACCCATTGCACTCTCTTTCTCTGGTGTGTGTGTGTGTGAGAGAGAGAGAGAGAGAGAGAGAGAGAGAGAGAGAGAGAGAGAGAGAGAGAGAGAGAGAGAGAGAGAGAGAGAGAGATGAGTCAGTGTGTAGATGTTATTTCCATTGAAAACAACAAAATAGTGGTCATACAATAGATGCAATACCATTTACTGTCCTTCGATCACATGATTAATAAGTAGCCCAATACATTTTTAGAACTATAGATTAGATCAGCCCATAAGACACTACATAGATCATCATGCAACTCCTGTCCTGGCGATATCAAGGCAGTCAAAACATGAGAACCCTGAGTACAGTACCGTGTACAGAGATATGCTCACCGTCCCAATTCGGACTCCAACTCATAGTAGTCAGCCAGGGTCTCCTTCTTCGATCCATCTATCCAGTAGTCTGGAGCTGGGGATGCCCCTGCTCTGGACGAGGGTATAGTGACTTTACGCATCACCAGCTAGCCAGACGGATTCAAGTATCTTGACAGCTCCTCTCCCCTGCTGCGATTCAAGGCTTGACTCAGTTACAGTGGTGTGAAGAAAAGCGTCTTTGATACCTTCCAAGGTGTGATAGACTTGCGCAAGACCGTTATCTTCTCCAAAGCAGCACAAAACGAAGACGTTTGGAAGAACATAAATATCAGTTAGACGACCATTTGAAGGCCTGGGTAACGTACTGAATGAAATTGATCCTAAATGCATATTATTCACAGCCGCCAGCCCGCTTCGTTACCATAATGCGAGTATACTGGAAAGGCAAGTGTACAGAGAGAGGAGTCTGCGTTTGAGAATGTTTCCACCGGGTCTTACTGTCGCCGGTTTAACATCCAAAAACAATTGAGTTACCTTCACCTGAGGTCACAATCAAGCACGTCATGTTTGTTACCATAATCATTGTGGTGATTTTTATGACATTTAAATACCATTTGAACTATGTAATTATGCCGTAATTATTCCCACAAAGATTTGTATATTGTGAGAGAGGCCCACAGAATAAAAAAAAAAGAAGACATTTTCCAGCCCTACAATTACATTTTACATTTTAGTCATTTAGCAGACGCTCTTATCCAGAGCGACTTACAGGAGCAATTAGGGTTAAGTGCCTTGCTCAAGGGCACATCGACAGATTTTTCACCTAGTTGGCTCGGGGATTAGAACCAGCGACCTTTCGGTTACTGGCACAACGCTCTTAACCACTAAGCTACCTACAATAAACTGGAAATAATATAATCTGTCTTTTTTTGTCTTTTTTAAATAATGAATACCGACAAATCACAGAAATGCAATTGATGCTCAGTAAATAACATTCTTATCGTTCAATGATAACACTTTCATATTTGTCGAAGATGCAAGACATCTGAGTAAGATGTACAGTGCCTTCAGAAAGTATTCATACCCCTCGACTTATTCCACATTTTGTTGTTACAGCCGGGATTTAAGATAGTTAAAAAAAAAAAATAATAACATCTCACCCATCTACACACAATATCCCATAATGACAAAGTGAAAACATGTTTTTAGAAATGTTTGCACATTTATTGAAAATGAAATAGAGAAATATCTAATTTACATAAGTATTTACACCCCTGAGTCAATACATGTTGGAATCAACTACAAATGTGTCTTTCTGGGCAAGTCTCTAAGATCCTTGCACATCTGGATTGTGCAATATTTGCACATTATTATTTTTAAAATTCTTCAACCTCTCAAGTTGGTTGTTGATCGTTGCTAGACAAACATTTTGAGTCTTGCCATAGATTTTCAAGCCAATTTAAGTCCAAACTGTAACTAGGCCACTTTGGAACATTTAATTTAGTCTTGGTAAGCAACTATTTGGCCTTGTGTTTTAGGTTATTGTCCTGCTGAAAGGTGAATGTCTCTCATTGTCTTTTGGAAAGCAAGCAGAACCAACCTCTTCTAGGATTTTGCCTGTGCTTCCCTCTATTCCGTTTGTTTTTATCCTAAAAAAAACTCCCTAGTCCTTGCCAATGACATGCATACCCAAAACATGATGCAGCCACCAAATATGAAGAGTGGTAATCAGTGATGTGTTGGATTTGCCCCAAATATAACACTTTCTATTCAGGACATTAAGTTCATTTCTTTGCCACATTTTTTGCAGCTTTACTTCAGTGCCTTACTGCAAACAGGATGCATGTTTTGGAATATTGTTACTCTGTACAGGCTTACTTCTTTTCACTCTGTCATTTTGGTTAGTATTGTAGAGTAACTACAATGTTGTTAATCCATCCTCAGTTTTCTCCTATCACAGCAATTAAACTCTGTAACTGTTTTAAAGTCACCATTGGCCTCATGGTGAAATTGCTGAGCGGTTTCCTTTCTCTCCGGCAACTGTGTTTGGAAGGACGCCTGTATCTTTGTAGTGACTGGGTGTATGGATACCACAGGAGGTTGGTGGTACCTTAATTGGGGAGGATGGGCTTGTGGTAATGACTGGAGCGGAATCAGTGGAATGGTATCAAATACAGTTCCCAGGTGTTTGATGTCATTTCATTTGCTCTGTTCCGGCCATTATTAATGAATACTTTCTTTATTTTTACCTATCTGCCAATAGGTGCCCTTCCTTGCGAGGCATTGGAAAACCTTGCTGGTCTTGGTGGTTGAATCTGTGTTTGAAATTCACTGCTCGACTGAGGGACCTTACAGATAATTATGTGGGGGGGGGGGGGGGGTCCAGAGATGAGGTAGTCATTCAAAAAATCATGGTAAAACACCATTCTTGCAAACAGAGTGAGTCCATGCAACTTGTGACTTTTTAATGACATTTTTACTCCTGAACTTATTTAAGCTTGCCATAACAAAGGGGTTGGATACTTATTGACTCAAGACATTACAGCTTTTCATTTTAAATTAATTTGTAAAAGATTCTAAAAACATAATTTCACATTATGGGGTATTGTGCGTAGGGCAGTGACACAAAATTCAGGCTGTAACAAAACAACATGTGAAAAATGTCATTTCTGTAATACATAAAATAATAGTTAACTGTTTAATCTTCCTTACCATCGAAACACATTCAAATGAAGGGCTTGTCTAACCCTCTGTCCCAAGCCCAAACCCACACCCTGCATAGCTGGTCATCCTCAAGGACTCCAGCAGAGCCTGGCTACAGAGGGGAACACACAGACACCATCTGCTCCACTACCTGCTCTGTCGTCGTGAGACAAAACTATCATCCCCAACAGGACTGAATACTGAAAATATATCGATGTATCCGATTTGTCTATGGAGTACAGAACATGTACACATCTATTTTGTCCTCTGTATAATCCTCATTTGTATGCTGTGTACCACCGAGACAGCAGGGAACATCTCAAAATGTGATAACTCATGCTGAACCAATGAACATCAAATTGTATTAGGGTAAGAACGTAAAGTGAAAACATAATGTGGAGTAATATAATGATGACAATCATGTCGTCTATTTTAAAAAGGTAGTTACATCAGGTTTTGGTCAATCACGGTTTCATTCAACTTCATATTTTGTTAAACCATTACAAAAGCATTAGAGCACATAATATATAATATAAATGTGGCCAACTTCTCTTGCATCAAGTGTGAAACTAGAGTCTACAATGCTGTATAGAGATGTATACAAAGATCGGTGTGAAAAACCACATGAATAAAACAAAAATAAATGGCATGGGGTTGGTTGGGAGAGGCACACCTCAAAGCAGTGCACTCTTGGTGTATGACAGCAAACACAGGCTCTGATTGAAAAGTGTCTGCATGGATGTCCACGTCTCCTCCAGTTTCTCAGATACTCTAGACGCCTCCTCCATGAGCTCTGGTTCCTGGGTGATCAGTCTGAGATGTAGCTAGAGAGAGAGAGCGCGAGAGAGAGAAACTACACTGAGTTAGTGAAGGAACCTCAGAAGTAAGACAAACCATACAGGAAATACACACGTTATGAACCTTCTGAAACAAAATGTGTCTGTGGTGCTGTGAAGTCAAAAACACATTGTTCATGTTCTGTAAAGATACAATTTGAATTCAAGTACTCAACAAAACTGAGCTTAGTTTAAGAGTGAAACAACAGAACTACATATCAAGTCAAACATGTTTTCTTAATAAATGTTTCATTTTCATTTGACTTCTACTGGAGATGTAGCATTTGGTTTTGATTGAATAGGGTGTTGTGTATCACAGTATATATATATTGTAATTTTGTTGTTTTCTTTCACAGTTCTGTACCGTTTAAAAAAAATCTTCAATCATAATGTTCTGACTCCATCTGCTGGTGTCAGATGTAAGTGGATGACAGTCAATGCAACAGAAAACAGCTTTCCCTTTTCATCTAGTGACATCTTTGATATCATTTAACATTAAGCTGCCGAATGGCGCAGTGGTCTAATGCACTGCATCTCAGTGCTTGAGGTGTCACTACAGACCCCCTGGTTCGATTCCAGGCTGTATCACAACCGGCCGTGATTGGGAGTCCCATAGGGTGGCGCACAATTGGCCCAGCATCGTCCGGGTTTGGCCGTCATTGTAAATTAGAATTTGTTCTTAACTGACTTGCCTAGTTAAATAAAGGTAAAATAAAAATAAAAATATACCCATGTAGCGATGCTATAATTACTGGGGTAATAACATTGTTGAACTCACATGCAACAATAAAAACTCAACATGTCAATTAAATCAATAATAACAGTGTTATAACACAGATATAACAGCAGCTTATTAACGCAGCTACAGTGTTGGTGACTAGAATATTGATGTGGTTACCTTTAGGAAGAGTGCCAGGTAGGCCTGTGCCAGATCAAAGTCCCTCTTGGAGTTCAGCATGCTGGCCACCATCTTCAGGAAGCCTTGTAAGACGGAGACATCTCCACCCATATCAGGGGCCAGCCCTCGGAGCTCAGCATCAATCCCAGACGGACCCATCTCTTTCAGCATCCCCACAGGGCCATCATCTAGAAGAAACAATGATGATGGATTATGACTCATTGTATTTGTATTGACCGGAGGTATCAGCAATGTAAAAGTGTGCCAAAACATCCTCTAGTTACTACACATGCTAATAACTTGACTTCAGATTTAGCAGTAGGTTCAAGTATTGTGATTCTTTATTTTATTTATTTTATTTCACCTTTATTTAACCAGGTAAGCCAGTTGAGAACAAGTTCTCATTTACAACTGCGACCTGGCCAAGATAAAGCAAAGCAGTGCGATAAAAACAACAACAGAGTTACATATGGGGTAAAACAAAACAAAGTCAAAAATACAACAGAAAAAATATATATACAGTGTGTGCAAATGTAGTAAGTTATGGAGGTAAGGCAATAAATAGGCTATAGTGCAAAATAATTACAATTAGTATTAACACTGGAATGATAGATGTGCAAGAGATGATGTGCAAATAGAGATACTGGGGTACAAATGAGCAAAATAAATAACAATATAGGGATGAGGTAGTTGGGCGGGCTAATTTCAGTGTTACAGGTGCAGTGATCGGTAAGGTGCTCTGACAACTGATGCTTAAAGTTAGTGAGGGAGATAAGTGTCTCCAGCTTCAGAGATTTTTGCAATTTGTTCCAGTCATTGGCAGCAGAGAACTGGAAGGAATGGCGGCCAAAGGAGGTGTTGGCTTTGGGGATGACCAGTGAGATATACCTGCTGGAGCGCATACTACGGGTGGGTGTTGCTATGGTGACCAATGAGCTAAGATAAGGCAGGGATTTGCCTAGCAGTGATTTATAGATGGCCTGGAGCCAGTGGGTTTGGCGACGAATATGTAGTGAGGACCAGCCAACAAGAGCGTACAGGTCACAGTGGTGGGTAGTATATGGGGCTTTGGAGACAAAACGGATGGCACTGTGATAGACTACATCCAATTTGCTGAGTAGAGTGTTGGAGGCTATTTTGTAAATGACATCGCCGAAGTCAAGGATCGGTAGGATTGTCAGTTTTACGAGGGCATGTTTGGCAGCATGAGTGAAGGAGGCTTTGTTGCGAAATAGGAAACCGATTCTAGATTTAACTTTGGATTGGAGATTCTTAATGTGAGTCTGGAAGGAGAGTTTACAGTCTAACCAGACACCTAGGTATTTGTAGTTGTCCACATACTCTAGGTCAGACCTGTCGAGAGTAGTGATTCTAGTCAGGTGGGCGGGTGCAAGCAGCGTTCGGTTGAAGAGCATGCATTTAGTTTTACTAGTGTTTAAGAGCAGTTGGAGGCTACTGAAGGAGTGTTGTATGGCATTGAAGCTCGTTTGGAGGTTTGTTAACACAGTGTCCAATGAAGGGCCAGATGTATACAAAATGGTGTCGTCTGCGTAGAGGTGGATCTGAGAGTCACCAGCAGCAAGAGCAACATCATTGATATACACAGAGAAAAGAGTCGGCCCAAGAATTGAACCCTGTGGCACCCCCATAGAGACTGCCATAGGTCCAGACAACAGGCCCTCCGATTTGACACATTGAACTCTATCTGAGAAGTAGTTGGTGAACCAGGCGAGGTAGTCATTTGAGAAACCAAGGCTATTTAGTCTGCCAATAAGAATGCGGTGGTTGACAGAGTCGAAAGCCTTGGCCAGGTCAATGAAAACGGCTGCACAGTACTGTCTATTATCGATCGCGGTTATAATATCGTTTAGGACCTTGAGCGTGGCTGAAGTGCACCCATGACCAGCTCGGAAACCGGATTGCATAGCGGAGAAGGTACGGTGGGATTCGAAATGGTCGGTGATCTGTTTGTTAACTTGGCTTTCAAAAACTTTTGAAAGGCAGGGCAGGATGGATATGGGTCTGTAACAGTTTGGATCTAGAGTGTCACCCCCTTTGAAGAGGGGGATGACCGCGGCAGCTTTCCAATCTCTGGGGATCTCAGACTTTACGAAAGAGAGGTTGAACAGGCTAGTAATAGGGGTTGCGACAATTTCGGCGGCTAGTTTTAGAAAGAAAGGGTCCAGATTGTCTAGCCCAGATTATTTGTAGGGGTCCAGATTTTGCAGCTCTTTCAGAACATCAGCTGTCTGGATTTGTGTGAAGGAGAAGCGGGGGGGGCATGGGCAAGTTGCAGCGGAGGGTGCAGAGCTGGTGGCCGGGGGTAGTGGTAGCCAGGTGGAAAGCATGGCCAGCCGTAGCAAAATGCTTGTTGAAATTCTCGATTATTGTAGATTTATCGGTGGTGATAGTGTTTCCTAGCCTCAGTGCAGTGGGCAGCTGGGAGGAAGTGCTCTTATTCTCCATGGACTTTACAGTGTCCCAAAACTTTTTGGAGTTAGTGCTACAGGATGCACATTTCTGTTTGAAAAAGTTAGCCTTTGCTTTCCTAACTGCTTGTGTATATTGGTTCCTAACTTCCCTGAAAAGTTGCATATCGCGGGGGCTATTTGATGCTAATGCAGTACGCCACAGGATGTTTTTGTGCTGGTCAAGGGCAGTCAAGTCTGAGGAGAACCAGGGGCTATATCTGTTCTTAGTTCTGTATTTTTTGAATGGGGCATGTTTATTTAAGATTGAGAGGAAATTACTTTTAAAGAACAACCAGGCATCCTCTACTGACGGAATGAGATCTATATCCATCCAGGATACCTGGGCCAGGTCAATTAGGAAAGCCTGCTCGCTGAAGTGTTTTTGGGAGCGTTTGACAGTGATGAGGGGTGGTCGTTTGACCGCGGACCCGTTACGGACGCAGGCAATAAGGCAGTGATCGCTGAGATCCTGGTTGAAGACAGCGGAGGTGTATTTAGAGGGTAAGTTAGTCAGGATGATATCTATGAGGGTACCCATGTTTACGGATTTAGGGTTGTACCTGGTAGGTTCGTTGATAATTTGTGTGAGATTGAGGGCATCTAGTTTAGATTGTAGGATGGCCGGGGTGTTAAGCATATCCCAATTTAGGTCACCAAGCAGTACGAACTCTGAGGATAGATGGGGGGCAATCAATTCACAAAGAATTCTAAAGACATTCTTCAGTTTTTAGGGCCTCAGAAGTGATTTGGGGTTAGAGGAATTTCTATTTGCAAGAGGTGCTGTGAATAATTGCTCGCGAAGTGAGATTCAGACTTGCAAGAGGTTTGATTGATTGATTTTATTAGTCAGTAAAAATATATATATATATATATATATACACATATACACACAGAATTTTGTTAAACGTGTCCGGGATTGCACAAATGGACATTATGGACATATTTCCATTGTGGTCCCCATTTGTTTTACATAAATACATATACAATTACTGTCAATAATTGCTAGCTAAGTGAGACTCAGACTTACATTTGTTGCTGAGTGTGGCAGATTCTAGCTGTTGGTAGAAATGGGACTTCTGTGCCAGGACTCCAAAATTGACAATCTTTGACTGTGGAAAAAGTAAACAAAATACACATTATTTAAACCAAATAACATACAGTAATTATCAGATAATATGAAAAGCAAACAATCTTAACTTATACAATATTATAATATTTGATTTACATATACAGTATTATGATTTTAGGGTATTTTCATAGAGTTCTGTTTATTATCAGCAGCCAACTTCTCTCACCTGTTCTTCCTGGTTGGAGCCTTCAGAGGGGGCGAACTGTGGTATCAGTCCTGGAATGGTGTGCATGAAGAAGGGGGCAGCCTTCGGAACCTTGGGGGGCTCCTTGGGTTTGTTCCGTTTCTATATATGAACAGGGAAAACAACAATCACATTTTAGTCAGACAAAACAAACAAAAGAGAAGAGTGGTGAGATGACAACGACGTTACAGAACAATTGCTACACGTGTTGTCTGTCATTGTGGATGTGTAAGGAGACGATGCCTTGGATTTAGCTCAGAGGGCTAAGAGAGTCAAGAGTCGCACAGACAAAAAGGGCTTAATACCCTGTCGGTGACACGTTTTTCTCCAAAGACAACCACCAGTGTCAGAGGAGCAAGACAGTCTTACATTTTGTGGACCACCAGGGTTTGAAACCGTCAGTCAGTCACACGTTTTTCTCCACAGACAACCACCAGTGACATGCTCACCTTGATGATGTCGAGGTGCAGCAGGTTCTTCCAGCGAGAGTCGGGCAGCAAAGAGAGGGTAACCAGCTGCTGGTCCAGTTGCTCTGGAGACTCATACTCTATCATCTCAGAGTTGAGATCATCATCTTCCTCTCCCTCTTCATCTGCAGAATGTAATAGTGCTCAAGTTCTTGAGAGGTAATTTCAAGAATTGTGTTTGAATGTACTTTGGCACACATTATGGCACAGTACTAACCTGTACCCCCGCATATTGACTCGGTACCAGTACCCCCTGTATATAGCCTCGTTATTGTTATTTTATTGTGTTACTTTTTAATTTTTAAACATTTTATTTTACTTTAGTTTATTTAGTAAATATTTTCTTAACTCTTTCATGAACTGCATTGTTGGTTAAGGGCTTGTAAGTAAGCATTGTATTACCTGTTGTATTCGGCGCATGTGACAAATAACATTTGATTTGACTTTGATTTGAGTATTGTTTTCCTCCATAAATATCTAGTCAATATTCAAAAGGACCGTTACAAGTATCTATAAAATCAAGGACACACTTACTTCCTCCATATCGAATATCTTTCAATATCAATGCATGAATAATTGGCTGATACCACTGTTACATATGCCAGTCCAGATGGTGTGGGGGCTTTCTGGCCCCTGTGCTGGGTACAGAGTAAGTGCTGCATGGGTTCACAGTGGCTGTTCAGTAGGTACCTTGGTTTGGACAGGTTCCTGGCAGCATGATCACAGTGGGGACGTAGTCTGAAGGCAGGGGGCGCAGTGACACCATATTGCACAGCGTGTTGTTGGACCTGGAAACACACAACACGGGATAGTCACTCAACATGGAATACTCACTCAAGAATAATAGTAAATATTACTATCCTACTTAATAACACTGAATTCTACTACTGAATTCTACCAATAACTGCTCATAATGCTACAGCACGTATTCCAACACATATCTTTTGAGATATCAAATTGACAATATGAATACTAATTTGTTGAGTCACATTAGTTCAAAAGACTTATTAGCTAATCAAGATTTTTCCTTTATCAGCTAATTCTTGTTTGCAGTTTAAATAAGTTGAGATGTGATAAGATGAATGTCTATGAGCGTGAACATTAAATAATGACATAACCTGAGAATGATTTTGACTCCTACACCCAGTCTTTCCTTGATGTGGTGGTGACTCTTACCATAAGTATATCCCCAAGCAGTCGACATGTGAGGAGGCCAGAAAGTCCCCAGTTGGTGACATGGTCAGACTGACTGCAGCAGAGTCTACCAAGAAGCAGTCCACCAGGCTAAGAACAAAAAGAGAGGAGAAATCAAGAATGACTGAAGGCTGAGAGGGGATTTCCACTGGAAAGCACTTTAAAGCGATTACATTAATTGATAGACTCAATTTATGATAAAGTGAAACAAAGATGGTCTTCGAAATCTCTGGACAAAGGTCATCTCATCGATCTCAGTTTGTGGGGAGAGGAAATGACAAGGCAGGGCTGGTGACGTCACAGGTGTGAGAATGGTCACGGACTGAGAAACATCAGTAAAGTATGAGGGCCCGGTCCAGAAACAAACCCTATCCCCTCCCCCAGTTGGGGACCTGCTAGACTACTCCATCAGTGACAGGGATGGTCTTACCAGCCGGAGGGGAGGTCCCATGTCCTGATGGTACAGTCCATGGCTGATGTTATCAACCAGCGCCCGTCTGGGCTGAAAGCCTGAGGTGAATCATCAGACAACAAAAATAATATTTGAGGGAACGAGAGAGAGCGAGTTCAAATTGAGAGAGATAAGTGCCAAACAGAGAAAGGGAAAGAGATGTGGAGATAACGACTCACCATGTCATTGACCTGTCCTCGATGGCCAGGGAACTTACGGACAATCCTCTTGGTCTCCATGTCCAGAACATTCAGCGTGAAGTCGTCCAGAGCGATGGCCAGCATACCACTTTACAAGGGCAAGAAGAGACTGCAATCAGACACTAGTCTACTGCTATGTAATAACCAAGTGAAACAAATCAGTGTATAAAGTTAAAGGAATAGTGCAAAATTGTCAACTAAGCCCTTTATCTACTTACCCAGCAACAGATGGATACCATTTTTCTGTCTCTGCGTCCAGTATGAAGGAAGTTCGATGTAGTTTCGTGAGCCAACGCTAACTAGTCATTGCGCTAACGCTAGTTAGCAAAGGCTCGCAAAACTACCGCTAACTTCCTTCATACAGGACGCACAGACATAAAGTATCCATGAGTTTCATCTGACTCTGGGTAATTAGAAAATGGGCGTCATTTCCAAAATCCCGCACTATCCCTTTAAGTTGGAAAAAGTGCAGTCATGTGGTGTTATCTGACCCTTACCTGTCCCGGTGCAGGTGTGTGGTGGCGGGTGAGGTGCCCAGGTCAATGGAGTGGACCAGCTTCCTAGATTTGAACTTCCAGATCTTGACCAGTTTGTCAGCTCCGGCACTGATGGTCAGCTGGTTGAGTCCATCCACGGACACGCCGCGCACCGGCCCCTTGTGAGCTACAGAGTCAGAGATGGGACAAATTAAGATGAATCTATAACAGAAATCATGAGCTAAATATACACAAGCAATTGTCTTTATGGGGGTACTTACCTTTGTCCTCTCCATATTGACCTCTATGCATGCCGGACTGCATGTTGTAAACGTCAATGTGTCCAGATGAGAGTCCTACCACTACAAAGTTACCACATGATGTGATATCTACTGCCTGAGGAGAGAAAACACAGGTTTAATCAACATAAATAGTATGTATATTATTTCTGTGTAATAAACTTTTTAAAAGGTAGATGTCTTATTGATCGAACTTTATCAAAATGATTTGGGTTCATTTTACACTAAAACAATAAACTGTACATGACCAGTAATGTATTTAGCTACCGTAGCGTGGACGTTGAGAGCACGGTTCTTGTTGAAGCGTTCGGGTTCCAGCCTGTGTGCTCCCATGCTGCCCTTTTGATAGTTCCAGGTGGTCGTCATGAGGTACCCTCGGTGACACGCCACTATACTGTCCCAATCACTCTGACGGGCACTCTCTACATCACATACAGAATCAGAGAAAACATCAACGTTTCATTTTTTAAAATCACATTCAATGATAAAAGGTTCCACATAAAAACAGAGACTTGTTTTGAGTAATTTTACCTCATGAAGGTAATTACATTTTTTGCTAAACATACCTGAGGCGAAAGTTGTGATGGCAGGAAGCTTCAGTTCGTCATACCTCAAGCTTTTCTTTTTGGATTTCTTCTTGTTGATGGAACCTAGTCACCAATTTGTTTATTTTCATGAAGAATACAGGAAAGAAGGATTTATGCAAGTAAAAAAACAGTACTAAAATCAACATCTCGTTGTCCATAACAGCCATCTTTCCACGAAAGAGAAAATAAATCGTACCACGTCCTAAACTCCTGTTGAATCTCTCATGAACAGTGGAGAACGACTGCAGAGTACCATCTTGACCTTAGAAAAAGAAAAAGTACAGCGGATTAGAGAGAAATCTAATAAAAATTTTACTAGAAACTCATAGATGCCTTATAAAACTGCCTGATACATTTACATTTGAGTCATTTAGCAGACGCTCTTATCCAGAGCGACTTACAGTAGTGAGTATATACATTTTCATACTTTTTTCTGTACTGGTCCCCCGTGGGAAACGAACCCACAACCCTGACGTTGCAAGTGCCATGCTCTACCAACTGAGCCACACGAGACAGCAAGTCACACATACCAGCACTGAGAATGTGATGTCCGTTCAGGCCGTGGTGCTGGACCTTAGTGGGCGGGGCGCTGTGTCCCAGACGACTCCTGAGTAGACGGCCTCCTCCGCCCGCCGTGTCAAAGATCCACACCTGAGGAATAGGACTTTGATCATTCAAAACTCAATGGTCAAATATATTAATTCTTCATGGTATTTTGGTACTGGATTGTGTTAGCAGTGCTGAATTTGCAACTAGAGATGTGCTAATAAAAGCTTTAAGATCTGTAGGTAAAAACGGTATATTGAGACATGACTGAAAGAATGACAATTATTTACAGCAATTTTACACTGATGCCCTCTAGTGAATGAGGCAATCTAAGTAACACTAACCCGAATGCCGTTATCAGCCCCATTGGTGATGAGAAGAGGCTCGCCATGGAGGAATGTTAGTCCAGCGATAGCTGTGTTATGGGCATCTCTCATCTGACACACAAGCTTTTTCTCTTCTAGATCCCACAGTCCAATATGTCCGACAGGACTACCAGCCGCCATTACTGGATGACTATCTAGAAAACAATCATATCAGTGTGAAGAGGTAAGTAAATATTTGTTTTAAGCATATCAAGGACGATTATTATAATAATTTTTTACGCAAAGCAGTGACACCACATCATTATAACCATAATAAATACAACACTACGTTCTAATGGTGATGTCACCTGTTCTGAAGGACAATGAAGTGACTGGGCCCCAGTCTTGCTGGAACTTCATCAGTGACTCATCAAACTTGATGTTGTGGATGATGATCTGACCCGATGATAGGCCAACGCCCACAACGTCCACAGCTGGGGTCTGAGGGGAAGGTTTGGAGGAAAAGAGTGGGAGAGGGTTTCCACAAGTTACCACAGCCACAAAGTAGAAATTGGCTATATCTTCAAAATGCATAAAAACTAAAATGTGCTTTTTGGTCTTAATTTAAAGTTATGGTTAGGCATAAGGTTAGCAATGTTGTTAAGATTAAGGTTAGTTTTAAAATCAGATTTTAAGAAGAGAAATTGGCAGGGTTTATGACTTTGTGACTCTAGTAACTAGTGACGACCGCAAGAGAAAGATAAGCTGGGCAGGAAACACTTTACATTTCTGATTGAACAGAGTGTACAAAAAATTAAGAACACCTTCCTAATATTGAGTTGCTTACCATTGCTCGGCCTCCATCATTCTTAAACCAAAACTCTTCATAGAGCTGAGCAATCGGGGGAGAAGGGCCTTGGTCAGGGAGGTGACGAAGAACCACATGGTCACTGACAGAGCTCCAGAGTTCCTCTGCAGCACTCCACCAATCAGGCCTTTATGGTAGTGGCCAGACGGAAGCCACTCCTCAGTAAAAGGTCCATGACAGCCCGCTTGGAGTTTGCCAAAAGGCACCTAAAGGACTCTCAGACCATGAGAAACAAGATTCTCTGGTCTGATGAAACCAAGATTGAACTCTTTGGCCTGAATGCCAAGCGTCAGGTCTGGAAAAACCAGGCACCGCTCATCACCTGGCCAATACCATCCCTACAGTGAAGCATGGTTCTGGCAGCATCATGCTGTGGGGATGTTTTTCAGCGGCAGGGACTGGGAGACTAGTCAGGATCGAGGGAAAGATGAACAGAGCAAAGTACAGAGAGATCCTTGATGAAAACCGCTCAGGACCTCAGACTGGGACGAAGGTTCACCTTCCAATAGGACAACAACCCTAAGCACACAGCCAAGACAACGCAAGAGTGGCTTCGGGACAAGTCTCTGAATGTCCTTGATTGGCCCAGCCAGAGCCCGGACTTGAACCCGATCAAACATCTCTGGAGAGACCTGAAAATAGCTGTGCAGTGACGCTCCCCATTCATCCTGACAGAGCTTGAGAGGATCTGCAGAGAAGAATGGGAGAAACTCCCCAAATACAGGTGTGCCAAGCTTGTAGCGTCATACCCAAGAAGATTAGAGGCTGTAATCGCTGCCAAAGGTGCTTCAACAAAGTACTGAGTAAAGGGTCTGAATCCTTATGTAAATGTGATATTTCCGTTTTTATTTTTTAATACATTTGCTAAAATTTCTAAAAACCTGCATTTGCTTTGTCATTATGGGGAATTGTGTGTAGATTTAATCCATTTTAGAATAAGTCTGTAACATAACATTTGGAAAAAGTGAAGGGGTCTGAATAGTTTCCAAATGCACTGTATGTCCCCCTTAGATATACAACGGAGATGTATGTCTTCCTAAGCCCTACATGCTTAGAAGAAAAGGTTCTGATTGAACCATAAACTGTTTTATTTCTTGCTTCATATATGGCACCCCTAACGGTTCTATATAGAACCCTTTTGTAGGGTTCTTTGATCAGAACCCCAGGGGTTCTTCTTCAATGAACCAAAATTGGTTCCATATAGAACCTTAAGGGGTGCCATATATGAAGCAACATAGTACCTTAACCTTTCTATACAGTACGTGAAAGGAGTTGAACATATGTTTGGCTGACAATTCCTCAAAAAAAACCTTTTATTAATTCACTTTCAGCTTTGAGAATAAATATACTTCAACCAACCTGCTGAAGCACTGTGATTCCCGATGCCCATCCAGGGAAGGTGTGCAGGAGTTTGCTAAAATAAAAAAGGAATGCACTTAATGAGTACAGAGAATGTCAAGTTGTCCTAAATTTAAGACCAAACTTTGATAAAGCACACTATAACAAATTCAGGTGCATTACAGATCTTTGGTTGTGCTGTCCCATCAGTTTTAGGATTTCATAACCAAATTATAATTCTACATGAATGACCGTACTTGGATTTGACATTCCAGAGCTGGAGACCTCCTTGGCTACTCCCAAACAGGATCTTGTTCAGGTAAGTGCTTGGGTGCATTACAGCAGACACTTCAAATGACACTTTGTCAAATGTTATCTGCAGGTACTCCTCTGTGGGAAAAACACTATTTCATGCACTTCACAAGAACTGGTTAAACTGGAAAACTAAAAAAGTACTACTGATAATTATTTTAACCAAAACATTTTCTACTCAAGGTTAATTGGAACAGATTTTCCAAATGTTATATTATGCATTCTTTTGCAACACCAACCCTCTGACTCCACGTCCCAGACAATGACAACATTGTCCCTGTCCACAGAAATGATGTGATCCCCGAAAGGCAGCAGGAGGTGAACATCAGCTCCATGGCCGGTGTATGTGTGAACAACCTGGATAGATGCAACGTCTCACAGTCAGTTTACTAGAATCAAGATCATTCATAATCATCAACATTACATTTAGGTTAAAGCCAGTGTGTGAGCTCAGCTAGCGCTATGTCTACTATATTGATTTTATATACACTACCGTTCAAAAGTTTGGGGTCACTTAGAAATGTCCTTGTTTTTGAAAGAAAAGCAATTTTTTTGTCCATTAAAATAACATCAAATTGATCAGAAATACAGTGTAGACATTGTTAATGTTGAAAATGGCTATTGTAGCTGGAAACGGCTGATTTTTAATTGAATATCTACATAGGTGTAGAGAGGCCCATTATCAGCAACCATCAGTCCTGTGTTCCAATGGCACGTTGTGTTTGCTAATCCAAGTTTATCATTTTAAAAGGCTAATCGATCATTAGAAAACCCTTTTGCAATTATGTTAGCACAGCTGAAAACTGTTGTGCTAATTAAAGAAGCAATACAAGTGGCCTTCTTGAGACTAGTTGAGTATCTGGAGCATCAGCAATTGTGGGTTTGATTACAGGCTCAAAATGGCCAGAAACAAATAACTTCCTTCTGAAACTTGCCAAGAAACTGAAGATCTCGTACAATGCTGTGTACTACTCCCTTCACAGAACAGCGCAAACTGAATTTAACCAGAATAGAAAGAGGAATGGGAGGCCCCAGTGCACAACTGAGCAAGAGGACAAATACATTAAAGTGTCTAGTTTGAGAAACAGGCGCCTCACAGGTCCTCAACTGGCAGCTTCATTAAATAGTAACCGCAAAACGTCAACAGTGAAGAGGCGACTCCGGGATGCTTACCTTCTAGGCAGAGTTGCAAAGAAAAAGCCATATCTCAGACTGCCCACCTTAATCTTTTCTTTTTATTGGCCAGTCTGAGATATGGCTTTTTCTTTGCAACTCTGCCTAGAAGTTCAGCATCCCGGAGTCGCCTCTTCCCTGTTGACGTTGAGACTGGCGTGTGTGTGTGTGAGATATAGATATATACACACACACACACACCCTCAAATTAGTGGATTCGGCTATTTCAGCCACACCTGTTACTGACAGGTGTATAAAATCGAACACACTGCCATGCAATCTCCATAGACAAACATTGGCAGTAGAACGCCTTACTGAAGAGCTCAGTGACTTTCAACGTGGCACCGTCCATATTAATGCCCATGATTTTGGAATGAGATGTTCGACGAGCGGGTGTCCACAAACCTTTGGTCATGTAGCGTATATTCATCATAAGTGAAGGAATGGCTACTTTACCTCTTTGTTCCTAGCAAATGCTGTTACTTTTCTCCCATTTGCAACATAGACCAGCATGCGATCAGCTGCTAGGTATGATATGTCCTCTGGAACTGTATTACCTTTAGAAAATATCATACATTACATAAATCTACTGTCAAATAGATAGCTATATATTAGAAACTGTAACAACGCTGAATTAATAAAGGTAGCTAGACTCAGTGATATGACATACAGTGGAGAAACTTTGACATACATAAACCGAATCAAATCTTTCCAACGTATGCCCTTCCTTGACACATGCCCACATTGGGAAGAGCAAATACTGACAGTTGGCAGATAGCTATGTATTTTGTTGTTGATTTCTGTAGGCAGGAAGTCCTGCTGTGAATGGTAATGTCATATCACGAAATGTGCGTGCGTCCTACTTACTGACAGCAACGATTCCAAGTTTCTTGACCTGCAATATTACAAATACATGACAACATCACTAAACAAAACAATGGAATGGACATTACCAAACAAAACAATAGAATGGCCAATGAATTGTGCAAACAGGTGAACTGATAACTTTCTCTTTTTAGTCACTGCTATGGTTACTTATAACTATGCCCAATGTTGATCACCACTAGGACCACTAAATAACCACTTCGATTAAAATATTAGAATTAGCAGACTGGTCGCAGACTAGACGTAACATCGTTTTTATTTATTTTATTTAATCCTTATTTTACCAGGTAAGTTGACTGAGAACAAATTCTCATTGTAAAAGTAAATCTGGGACACTCAAATTAATACGATATGTTACATTTGGAATGGTTACATAAGATAAGGCAAAAAAACGTGAACTTCTAGCAACCCAAAGGTTGTGTGTTCGAATCTCATCACGGACAACTTTAGCATTATAGCAACTACTTAGTACTTTTTAGCTACTTTGAAACTACTTAGCACGTTAGCTAACCCATCCCCTAACCCTAATTATTTAACCTAACTCCTAACCTTAATCCCTAGAGCTAGCTAACGTTAACCACAGCAAATTGTAATTGGTAACACATCATATATTTTGCAAATTCATAACATACTGCACAAATTGCAATTCGTAACATATTGTACAAATTTAAATTCGTATAGGGCTGACCCCATTTAGTCGACTGGTCGATTGTTTGGTCGATATGCTGTTGGGTGAACCAGATTTCTTTAGTCCAGCAGTAGCAAAAAATCAAAATTAAATATTCATGGTGTACAAGACACATGTCTGATTCACGCCTCTCTGAGTGGACTAATCCATTGTGGAGGCCATGGAGATGGCACAATCTATCAAGAACACCATCCCAACCGTGAAGCATGGAGGTGGAAACATCATTCTTTGGGGATGCTTTTCTGCAAAGGGGACAGGATGACTGCACCGTATTGAGGGGAGGATGGATGGGGCCATGTATCGCGAGATCTTGGCCAACTACCTCCTTCCCTCAGTAAGAGCATTGAAGATGGGTCGTGGCTGGGTCTTCCAGCATGACAACGACCGGAAACACACAGCCAGGGCAACTAAGGAGTGGCTCCGTAAGAAGCATCTCAAGGTCCTGGAGTGGCCTAGCCAGTCTCCAGACCTGAACCCAATAGAAAATCTTTGGAGGGCGCTGAAAGTCCGTATTGCCCAGCGACAGCCCCGAAACCTGAAGGATCTGGATAAAATGCAAATTAATTACTTAAAAATCATACAATGTGATTTTCTGGATTTTTGTTTTAGATTCCATCTCTCACAGTTGAAGTGTACCTATGATAAAAATTACAGACCTCTACATGCTTTGTAAGTAGGAAAACCTGCAAAATCAGAAATGTATCAAATACTTGTTCTCCCCACTGTATATAAGATCCCACAGTTGAGAGTGAGGTCGGAAGAATTGTCTGTAGAGCTCCGAGACAGGATTGTGTCGAGGCACAGATCTGGGGAAGGGTAACAAAACATTTCTGCAGCATTGAAGGTCCCCAAGGACACAGTGATCTCCATCATTCTTAAATGGAAGAAGTTTGGAACCACCAAGACTCTTCCTAGAGCTGGCCGCCCGGCCAAACTGAGCAATGGGGGGAGAAGGGCCTTCGTCAGGGAGGTGACCAAGAACCCGATTGGAGCTCTGTCAGAGCTCCAGAGTTCCTCTGTGGAGATGGGAGAACCTTCCAGAAGGACAACCAGCACTCCACCAATCAGGCCTTTATGGTAGAGTGGCCAGATGGAAGCCACTTCTCAGTAAAAGACACGACAGCCCGCTTGGAGTTTTCCAAAAGGCACCTAAAGACTCTTAGACCATGAGAAACAAGATTATCTGGTCTGATGAAACCAAGATTGAACTCGTTGGCCTGAATGCCAAGCGTCACGTCTGGAGGAAACCTGGCACCATCCCTACGGTGAAGCATGGTGGTGGCAGCATCATGCTGTGGGGATGTTTTTCAGCGGCAGGGACTGGGAGACTAGTCAGGATCGAGGCAAAGATGAACGGAACAAAGTACAGAGAGATCCTTGATGAAAACCTGTTCCAGAGCGCTCAGGACCTCAGACTGGGGCGAAGGTTCACCTTCCAACAGGACAACAACCCTAAGCACACAGCCAAGACAACGCAGGAGTGGCTTCGGGACAAGTCTCTGAATGTCCTTGAGTGGCCCAGCCAGAGCTCGGACTTGAACCCGATCAAACATCTCTGGAGAGACCTAAAAATAGCTGTGGAGCAACGCTCCCCATCCAACCTGACAGAGCTTGAGAGAACCTGCAAATAAGAATGGGAGAAACTCCCCAAATACAGGTGTGCCAAGCTTGTAGCGTCATACCCAAGAAGACTCGATGCTGTAATCACTGCAAAAGGTGCTTCAACAAAATACTGAGTAAAGGGTCTGAATACTTACGTAAACGTATTTTTATTGGATAAATTAGCAAACATTTATAGAAACCTGTTTTTGCTTTGCCATTATGGGGTATTGTGTGTAGATTGATGAGGGGAAAAAACCATTTAATAAATTTCAGAATAAGGCTGTAACGTAACAAAATGTGGAAAAAGTCAAGAGGTCTGAATACTTTCCGAAGGCACTGTATATTTCAATATTTCAATAGGCTACGGTATCAATCATTCATTTGTTCATGTCATCACACAGCGGTCGGGTAGGCTGTTTGGGGTGTTTATCCGACTGGATATAAAAATAAATAATAATAATAGTCCCCCCCACTTCTAAAACCAAAGTTGCGCCCGTTGTAATCTAACAGTACCTGTTTGGCACACATAATATGCATGCATTGCTCCTTCTTTTTCTGGATCTCCAGTATTTTAAACAACTAGTCAAATTTATTCCACACATCTGACTTACCCTTTACCGCCTGAGCAACCATAACAAATTATGATATGCTATAGGTCTGGCCCTATTGGTCACGTGCATGTGATGCATACATGTGTCACGTAAAGAGAGCAAGGGTTGAGGGAATATTTTTCCTAAACAAATTAGGGATTTCGGTAACAGAACAGGTGGACTCCAATCAAGTTGTAGAAACATCAAGTATGAGCAGACATGACTCTCGTTCGACCAATAATATTTTTTGTCGGGGACAGCCCTAAATTCGTAACATATCCGAATTGTAATTCGTAACATATCATACGAAATGGATGATGGACATCCACAAATTAATACACACCATACCAAACGTAACATATCATACTAAATGGAGAATCTCAGATTTACATAAAGAATAATACGAAATGCTCTGAGACAACGTTGGAATTAGCTATCAAGTAACTAAATGTAACTATTGTATTAAAGTCTGCATTCGTGCATGGCACTTTCTCTATGTTGTTTCACTGATCCAGTGAGTTGGACGGGCCTTTGATTTCCAAAGGCGGGCACAGTTTTTCAAGGGACCTCCTGTGTGTGCATACGCTTGCACTTTCACCTTTTTTTTTATGGGTGTTATAGTAAAGACCATTGGCAGCTCATGAGTTTCAAGGTTGGGGAAGCTTACAACTTATCCTACCATTTCTACTGATCTGTGTGCCAGTTATGATTATTTTTATATGCTCATTTTCGTGGAACAGTATCATTTCAATAATAACGTTTTTGTTTCTCAAAATCATTGTCACGTGGTTAATTATCCAAATCTGAAGTAAAATGATACAAATCTAAAAGTAAAAATGTAACTAAGGGACAGCACCAGCCTCTGCCATATGCACACATTGATACACTTGTGATTTGAAACAATCCACGGCTATTAATGACCCTCTGTGGCTAAGTCATGCTCCCTGGAGAAGTATTTTGAATGATTTTATTTAGACGGGCGTAATTATAATTTTGGCAAAACAATTTACTTTAAGGAATCCTGAATCCAGCACCCGCCAACTTTCCTTTCCAATTCGCAAGAGGTTGAAACTAGAGACCTGTATATAATTTTTTATTTATTCTTATTTTACCTTTATTTAACTAGGCAAGTCAGTTGAGAACTTATTTACAATGACAGCCTACACCGGCCAAACCCGGACGACGCTGGGCCAATTGTGCGCCGCCCTTTGCGACTCCCAACCACGGCCGAATCAGGGGGTCTGTAGTAACACCTCAAGCACTGAGATGCAGTGCATTAGACCGCTGCGCCACTCGGGACAAGATGCTCATGTCTCAGCACCCGCTGCTCGTTGAGAAGAGTAAGAACGATACGTGCTGAAGAGTAAGAACGATACGTGCTTTCACGTCATAGTCTCCAATAACACCAGAAAAAGTCGCTAGATTTGTCGCTAGTCGCTTTTTTGAAAATGTGTCGCTAGAGGGGTCTGAAAACTCGCTAAATATATTGACAAAGTCGCTAAATTGGCAACACTGCACTGACTTTGCCTCTTCCTCTCTGCAGAAACTACGTCACCGGAGAAAGCAATCCGGGCGAGCGAAACAGCGCCCCTCTAAATGTATCCCAAGGAGCTGATGCTGTCTGGCCAGAAATAGTATGACATGCAATACTCTTTTGGTCCAGACAGCGTCACATACATGGTCTAAATATAATGAGACAGAGGAACGCTGTTTCGCTCGCTCTGGTGCTTTAACTGAGATTGATGCGTCTTTCTGTCGGCGAGCGTCTCGGTCAAATAAATGATCAATATTTAAATATTTTATTTCAAAGGGCAAGAAGGAGGTGTGGTAGGACGGACCAGGCCCACTAAGGCCCGCCCATAATGACGAACCTGCATCATGCAAAGGCAGTGCATTGTGAGTGCCACTGACGTGATCATTTTTGTTAAGTATATGTGACAAGTAAATAGCTAGCTTTCCAACAACATAATACGCACTTACATTGTACGTGTGGAAACAGTTTCCAACGGCTGTCACAACGTAGAATTCTCTGTGTTTCTTATGGTACCGTACCACGTGTGGGAGGTGATTCGAATACAGTCCCAATGCTCTAAAGCCTGAAAATATAACACTTCCCTTTTTACTGCACACGGGCATGTTTTAGATTATGATGTACATCAAGTAATGCTTTCTATAAAATCTAGAAACCCTTATCGTAGACTGAATTTGAAACGAGCGGCAGAATATTCCTGTGGCATGTCCTTCAATGTTTTCAAAGCATGAACATATATTGTTACACTGCAATATGTCCGATAGACCGGATATAAGGGAATTGTTAGTTCCGTGTGATTATAGTTCCCCGAGATAATTACTTATCTCAATATAGTTACCCCTCTCAGTCTCTATTTTATTGCAAATAAATGAATCAACGAATTATTGAAAAATGTCTGATAAATGATTGGTATAGTAAAAAAAAATATGGCCTTATGTGTAAATTGGGAAAAAATATTTTCTGGTGTAGCTAAATCAAGACTGTTTTACAGTGTTTGTCAAATACACGTTTATTATAAAAGTGTTTTAAAAACCCCATAAATAATACATTTAAAAGCACAATTAAAGGACAAAGGGAATCTGAAAAATGATATCTGAAAGTAAGCAATCACAAAGAATACTTCAATTTCACCAAAGAAGGCTGACAAGTCGCTTTACAGAACATACATGATAATCAATCAGTGTTGATTAATATTTTATTTAAAAACAATATCAAACACCTCTTCTGCAGTTGGTTTTAAATATAGCCATAAAACAAATCACTAAATTAGGTTTGCAGATACAAAACTTTGCCAGCATTGCAAGAACTTGCACAGATCTGTGGCATTTTTATCTGGAATGTTCTTCATATGCTCACAATCTGGAACCTGTGAAAATCAAACACATAATCAAACACTATTTGTACCTTTGATATCAGAGAAACTTAATCTGACAGCAAACACCTTACTATTACTGTCTGTCATAATAACAACAATGATAGACACATGGAAAATATGACAGATAGAAGGATGTTCAAAATACTTGCCTTTGCAGAAGATGCCAATCTACATTGTATCTCCTTCAATTTCCCAACATATTCGCCATCGCTCGGGCAACGAGACCATTTGAAAATGCACTTAGGCTGGATTCGTTTGTTGAGTGAAATGAAATGTAAAATATGGTGCTGTTAATCAATGAAAAAACAACAATATTTAGTCTAAATCAAGTCAAATAGAATGTATTAAGAGCTTACCTTGTTATTTACCATCGGTTTCCAACTTCTACAGTTATGTTCCCACATTGCCTGTGAAAGAGAGCACTTAAGTGTTTCAAACCTCAGGGTGCATGCAGTGTGCAAACCCAATATCAACAAGAGAATTAATAAAATCTAAGAAATAATATTTTAGAAATCTGACTTACATCCATGACATATTCTGATCTGATAACATTCAATGCCACATGCTGCATTTTTTGGAGACATCCCTTATCCCTTGCCGAAATGCTCTGAACAAGGTGTACCGCAAAAGCCAGTGTGACATAACCTGCAAAGAAAGAAATCAAAGAAGGAAATCAATACACAGACCAATATCTCAAACTGGATCAGTAACCAATCAACTGTCAATTACCAATCAATTGTCAAATCAGATCAGTAACCAATCAATTGTCAAATTGGATCAATTACCAATCAATTGTGAAATCAGATCAGTAACCAATCAATTGTCAAATCAGATCAGCAAACAATCAATTGTGAAATCAGATCAGTTACCAATCAAATGTGCCTTGCTCATCTTTGTGTTAATTTGAGACCTTTGAACCTTTCGGTGATCAGGCTTATTTTATACTCTCTCAGATACTTGACCCGTAACCCTTAAGTTCACATCACAAAAAAGGGAATAATACATTAACCAAATAAACTCTGACTCACAGTATAAATCACAGTTGCATATACTGTGAATCACAGTTGCATATACTGTAAACTAATGGTAACTTCATCTAACATAGTAGACTACATCAAACAAATAAGAAATCTCTTAGCACACTCACCCCATTTCATGGAATCTCAGAGTAACCACATTAAAGTCTGCAGTGTCCACATTTGTGATTCAAGTGTAGAGTGCTCTGTGGGCAAATGTTACAGCTCTGACTGAAATCAGACCGAAGCGTTATCATACGAACTGATAAAATCAAATAGATTATTTAACTTTTCAAAACGTTTGAGGGTTTCCTTCTTTTTAATAAGTTTAGCCAGATCACTTTATCTCAATGAAGAGATCTGTCTGGTGTATCTGGGCATATTTTGCACTGGGCAGACCTAACATTTGACCAGCATGCAGTCCTCTCTCATCTAGCCGCCCCTGGAGAGAGAGCTGCTCTTCTGCTCACCTGACATCTAGCTGCCCCAGCTAAATCCCTTGGTATCTAGACACACTTTACCTCATGCCTATCTTACAAAAAGGGTTCTACATGGAACCAACAAGGGTTCCTCCAGGTTCTCCTATGGGGACAGCTGACGAACCCTTTTAGGTTCTAGATAGCACCTTTCTTTCTTAGTGTATGATTCAGCAATAAGGCATGAGGGAGTGTGGTATATGGCCAATATACCACGGCTAAGGGCTGTTCTTATCCACGATGCAACACGGAGTGCCTGGATACAGCCCTTAGCCGTGGTATATTGGCCATATACCACAAACCCCCGAGGTGCCTTATTGCTATTATAAACTAGTTACCAACGTAATTAGAGCAGTAAAAATACATGTTTTGTGATACACGGTCAGATGACGCAGATGCTAAGCTACAGGACTGTTTTGCTAGCACAGACTGGAACATGTTCCGGGATTCTTCAGATAGCATTGAGGAGTACACCACATCAGTCACTGGCTTCATTAATAAGTGCATCGATGATGTCGTCCCCACAGTGACTGTACATACATACCCCAACCAGAAGCCATGGATTACAGGAAACATCCGCACTGAGCTAAAGGGTAGAGCTTCCGCTTTCAAGGAGCGGGACTCTAACCCGGACGCTTATAAGAAATCCCGCTATGCCCTCCGACGAACCATCAAACAGGCAAAGAGTCAATACAGGACTAAGATTGAATCGTACTACACCGGCTCTGACGCTCGTCGGATGTGGCAGGGCTTGAAAACTATTACAGACTACAAAGGGAAGCACAGCCGCGAGCTTCCCAGTGACACAAGCCTACCAGACGAGCTAAACCACTTCTATGCTCGCTTCGAGGCAAGCAACACTGAAGCATGCATGAGAACACCAGCTGTTCCGGATGACTATGTGATCACGCTCTCCGTAGCCGATGTGAGTAAGACTTTTAAGCAGGTCAACATTCACAAGGCCGCAGGGCCAGACGGATTACCAGGACGTGTACTCCGAGCATGTGCTGACCAACTGGCAAGTGTCTTCACTGACATTTTCAACATGTCCCTGACTGAGTCTGTAATACCAACATGTTTCAAGCAGACCACCATAGTCCCCGTGCCCAAGGACACTAAGATAACCTGCCTAAATGACTACCGACCCGTAGCACTGACATCTGTAGCCATGAAGTGCTTTGAAAGGCTGGTCATGGCTCACATCAACACCATTATCCCAGAAACCCTAGACCCACTCCAATTTGCATACCGCCCCAACAGATCCACAGATGATGCAATCTCTATTGCACTCCACACTGCCCTTTCCCACCTGGACAAGAGGAACACCTACGTGAGAATGCTATTCATTGACTACAGCTCAGCATTCAACACCATAGTGCCCTCAAAGCTCATCACTAAGCTAAGGATCCTGGAACTAAACACCTCCCTCTGCAACTGGATCCTGGACTTCCTGACGGGCTGCCCCCAGGTGGTAAGGGTAGGTAACAACACATCTGCCACACTGATCCTCAACACGGGGGCCCCTCAGGGGTGCGTGCTCAGTCCCCTCCTGTACTCCCTGTTCACCCATGACTACATGGCCAGGCACGACTCCAACACCATCATTAAGTTTGCCGACGACACAACAGTGGTAGGCCTGATCACCGACAACGATGAGACAGCCTATAGGGAGGAGGTCAGAGACCTGGCCGTGTGGTGCCAGGATAACAACCTCTCCCTCAACGTGACCAAGACAAAGGAGATGATTGTGGACTACAGGGGAAAAAAGAGGACTGAGCACGCCCCCATTCTCATCGACGGGGCTGTAGTGGAACAGGTTGAGAGCTTCAAGTTCCTTGGTGTCCACATCACCAACGAACTATCATGGTCCAAACACACCAAGACAGTCGTGAAGAGGGCACGACAAAGCCTATTCCCCCTCAGGAGACTGAAAAGATTCGGCATGGGTCCTCAGATCCTCAAAAAATTCTACAGCTGCACCATCGAGAGCATCCTGTCTGGTTGCATCACTGCCTGGTATGGCAACTGCTTGGCCTCCGACCGCAAGGCACTACAGAGGGTAGTGCGTACGGCCCAGTACATCACTGGGGCCAAGCTTCCTGCCATCCAGGACCTCTATACCAGGCGGTGTCAGAGGAAGGCCCTCAAAATTGTCAAAGACTCCAGCCACCCTAGTCATAGACTGTTCTCTCTGCTACCGCACGGCAAGCGGTACCGGAGTTCAAGTCTAGGTCCAAAAGGCTTCTCAACAGCTTCTACCCCCAAGCCATAAGACTCCTGAACAGCTAATCATGGCTACCCGGACTATTTGCACTGCCCCATCTTTTTACGCTGATGCTACTCTGTTAATTATTTATGCATAGTCACTTTAACTCTACCCACATGTACATATTACTTCAACTACCTCAACTAGCTGGTGCCCCCGCACATAGACTCTGCACCGGTACCCCCCTGTATATATAGCCTCCCTACTGTTATTTTATTTTACTTCTGCTCTTTTATTCTCAACACTTTTTTGTTGTTGTTTTATTTTACTTTTTTATTTAAAATAAATGCACTGTTGGTTAAGGGCTGTAAGTAAGCATTTCACTGTAATGTCTGCACCTGTTGTATTCGGCGCATGTGGCCAATAAAATTTGATTTGATTTGATATACCACGGCTGTCAGCCAATCAGCATTCAGGGCTCGAACGACCCAGTTCATAATGGCTGATAGCTTACTTTTTGCATGGCCTTTTACCTATGATTTCAACTAATGATTTGTTGATTTCCAAAATTATTTTTATTGGGTAAATAATAGAGATCTACTTGCCTTAACTTTGGATGTGTAGAGCTGGGTGGTAGATGAGACTAGGGTGGATGGAACATTTTATATAGCAATTAAAGGCCCTATATAGAGTTCCAATAGCCTGTGTACAGTTCAGGTAAATCAGAGACAGAAACAGTATTTAAATATACAGTGCATTCGGAAAGTATTCAGACTTTTTCCACATTTTGTTACGTTATAGCCTTATTCTAAAATGGATTAAATACATTTTTTACCTCATCAATCTACACACAATACCCCATAATGACAAAGCGAAAACAGGTTTTTAGAAATGTTTGCAAATGTATTACAAATAAAAAACAGAAATACCTTATTTACATAATTATTCAGACCCTTTGCTATGAGACTCGAAATTGAGCTCAGGTGCATCCTGTTTCCATTGATCATCCTTGAGATGTTTCTACAACTTGACTGGAATACACCTGTGGTAAATTCAATTGATTGGACATGATTTGTAAAGGCATACACCTGTCTATATAAGGTATCTCAGTTGACAGTGCATGTCAGAGCAAAAACCAAGCCATGAGGTTGAAGAAATTGTCCGTTGAGCTCCGAGACAGGATTGTGTCGAGGCACAGATCTGGGGAAGGGTACCAAAACATTTCTGCAGCATTGAAGGTCCCCAAGAACACAGTGGCCTCCATTCTTAAATGGAAGAAGTTTAGAACCACCGAGACTCTTCCTAGAGCTGGTGGCCGCCCGGCCAAACTGAGCAATCGGGGAGAAGGGCCTTGGTCAGGGAGGTGACCAAGAACCCGATGGTCACTCTGACAGAGCTCTAGAGTTCCTCTGTGGAGATGGGAGAACCTTCCAGAAGGACAACCATCTCTGCAGCACTCCACCAATCAGGCCTTTATGGTAGAGTGGCCAGACAGAAGCCACTCCTCAGTAAAAGGCATATTACAGCCCGCATGGAGTGTGCCAAAAGGCACCTAAAGACTCCCAGAAACAAGATTATCTGGTCTGATGAAACCAAGATTGAACTCTTTGGCCTGAATGCCAAGCGTCACGTCTGGAGGAAACCTGCCACCATCCCTACGGTGAAGCATGATGGTGGCAGCATCATGCTGTGGGGATGTTTTTCAGCGGCAGGGACTGGGAGACTCTGGATCGAGGCAAAGATGAACGGAACAAAGTACAGAGAGATCCTTGATGAAAACCTCAGACTGGGGCGAAGGTTCACCTTCCAACAGGACAACGACCCTAAGCACACAGCCAAGACAACGCAGGCGTGGCTTCGGGACAAGTCTCTGAATGTCCTTGATTGGCCCAGCCAGAGCCTGGACTTGAACCCAATCTAACATCTCTGGAGAGACCTGAAAATAGCTATGCAGCGACACTCCCCAAATACAGGTGTGCCAAGCTTGTAGCATTATACCCAAGAAGACTCAAGGCTGTAATCGCTGCCAAAGGTGCTTCAACAAAGTACTGAGTGAAGGGTCTGAATACTTATGTAAATGTGATATTTCAGTTTTTTTTTAAATACATTTGCAAACATTTCTAAAAATCTGTTTTTGCTTTGTCATTATGGGGTATTGTGTGTAGATTGATGAGGGGGAAAAAACTATTTAATCAATTTTAGAATAAGGCTGTAACATAACAAAAGGTAAGGGGTCTGAATACTTTCCGAATGCACTGTATGGCTCTGAGGTACAGTGCCTTCAGAAAGTATTCAAACCTCTTTACTTTTTCCACATTTTGTTGTGTTACAGCCTGAATTTAAAATGGATTAATTTGAGATTTGTGCCACTGGCCTACACACAATACCCCATAATGTCAAAGTGGAATTATGTTTTTAGAAATGTTTACAAATTAATTAAATATGAAAAGCTGAAATGTCTTGAGTCAATAAGTATTCAACCCCTTTGTTCAGCAAGCCTAAGGTTCAGGAGTAAAAATGTGCTTAACAAGTCACATAATAGGTTGCATGGACAATAACAGTATTTAACATGATTTTTGAAGGACTACCTCATCTCTGTACCCCGCACATACAAATGATCTGTAAGGTCCCTCAGTCGAGCAGTGAATTTCAAACACAGATTCAACCACAAAGACCAGGGAGGTTTTCCAATGCCTCACAAAGAAGGGCAGCTATTGGTAGATAAAATACATTTTAAAAAGCAGACATTGAATATCCCTTTGAGCATGATGAAGTTATTAATTACACTTTGGACGGTGTATAAATGCACCCAGTCACTACAAAGATACAGGCTTCCTTCCTAACTCAGTTGCCGGAGAGGAAGGAAACCGCTCAGGGATTTCACCATGATGCCAATGGTGACTCAAACAGTTACAGAGTTTAATGGCTGTGATAGGAGAAAACTGAGGATGGATCAACAACATTGTAGTTACTCCACGATACTAACCTAAATGACAGAGTGGAAAGAAGGAAGCCTGTACAGAATACAAATATTCCAAAACATGCATCCTGTTTGTAATAAGGCACTAAAGTAAAACTGCAAAAAATGTGGCAAAGAAATTAACTTTATGCCCTGAAAACAATGCGTTATGTTTGGGGCAAATCCAACACAACACATCACTGAGTACCAACTCTCCATATTTTCAAGCGTGGTGGTGGCTGCATCATGTTATGGGTATGTTTGTCATCGGCAAGGACTAGGGAGTTTTTTTAGGATCAAAAGAAATGGAATAGAGCTAAGCACAGGCAAAAGCCTAAAGGAAAACCTAGTTGTCTGCTTTCCAACAGACACTAGGAAACAAATTCATCTTTCAGCAGGACAATAACCTAAAACATAAGGCCAAATATACACAAGTGGCCTATTTAGTTTTGACTTAAATCGGCTTGAAAATCTATGGCAAGACTTAGAAATGGTTGTCTAGCAATGATCAACAACCAACTTGACAGAGCTTGAAGAATTTTTAATATAATAATGTGCAAATATTGTGCAATCCAGGTGTGCAAAGCTCTTAGAGACTTACGCAGGAAGACTCACATCTGTAATCGCTGCCAAAAGGTGATTCTAACATGTATTGACTCAGGGTTGTGAATACTTATGTAAATGAGATATTTCTGTATTTAATTTTCAATAAATGTGCAAACATTTCTAAAAACATGTTTTCACTTTGTCATTATGGGGTATTGTGTGTGGATGGGTGATAAAAAATAAATACATGTTGAATTCAGGCTGTAACACATAAAATGTGCATTCTGAATGCACTGTAAATTATCTGAATACTGGTTGGTTTCCCACTGAATTTGGGGTTCAGTGGGAAACCAGCTACTTTCGCACTGTTGCCATCCTTGGCATTGGAGAACTCATTGTTCAAATACACAAAAGCAAAGAATATGTCAGACATTTATTTTCAGCAAGGTTCTGAAGCGATGAACAAATGATCTTATACATTTCCCTACTCTGAGCTCCGTATGGTCCTAAAACATTTACAAAAGAGACAGTTCAATAATTTAAAATCCCTGAACTCAATCACCCACTCGCATAAATTATACTTTTTTCTGTTCATGTTCCTACTCTCGCACTACATACCTTTGAAATGTTCCTAAATGTACTGTTCATTTGTAATGTACTCTGTGGATACCAAAATGTGAACAACTTGATACATACAGTGAGGGAAAAAAGTATTTGATCCCCTGCAGATTTTGTACGTTTGACCACTGACAAAGACATGATCAGTCTATAATTTTAATGGTAGGTTTATTTGAACAGTGAGAGACAGAAAAGATTTCTGGCTCCCAGGTGTATTTTATACAGGTAACGAGCTGAGATTAGGAGCACACTCTTAAAGGGAGTGCTCCTAATCTCAGTTTGTTACCTGTATAAAAGACACCTGTCCACAGAAGCAATCAATCAATCAGATTCCAAACTCTCCACCATGGCCAAGACCAAAGAGACCAAAGAGCTCTCCAAGGATGTCAGGGACAAGATTGTAGACCTACACAAGGCTGGAATGGGCTACAAGACCATCGCCAAGCAGCTTGGTGAGAAGGTGACAACAGTTGGTGCAATTATTCGCAAATGGAAGAAACACAAAATAACTGTCAATCTCCCTCGGCCTGGGGCGGCATGCAAGATCTCACCTCATGGAGTTGCAATGATCATGAGAACGGTGAGGAATCAGCCCAGAACTACACGGGAGGATCTTGTCAATGATCTCAAGGCAGCTGGGACCATAGTCACCAAGAAAACAATTGGTAACACACTACGCCGTGAAGGACTGAAATCCTGCAGCGCCCGCAAGGTCCCCCTGCTCAAGAAAGCACATATACAGGCCCGTCTGAAGTTTGTTAATGAACATCTGAATGATTCAGAGGAGAACTGGGTGAAAGTGTTGTGGTCAGATGAGACCAAAATGGAGCTATTTGGCATCAACTCAACTCGCCGTGTTTGGAGGAGGAGGAATGCTGCCTATGACCCCAAGAACACCATCCCCACCGTCAAACATGGAGGTGGAAACATTATGCTTTGGGGGTGTTTTTCTGCTAAGGGGACAGGACAACTTCACCGTATCAAAGGGACGATGGACGGGGCCATGTACTGTCAAATCTTGGGTGACAACCTCCTTCCCTCAGCCAGGGCATTGAAAATGGGTCGTGGATGGGTATTCCAGCATGACAATGACCCAAAACACACGGCCAAGGCAACAAAGGAGTGGCTCAAGAAGAAGCACATTAAGGTCCTGGAGTGGCCTAGCCAGTCTCCAGACCTTAATCCCATCGAAAATCTGTGGAGGGAGCTGAAGGTTCGAGTTGCCAAACGTCAGCCTCGAAACCTTAATGACTTGGAGAAGATCTGCAATGAGGAGTGGAACAAAATCCCTCCTGAAATGTGTGCAAACCTGGTGGCCAACTACAAGAAACATCTGACCTCTGTGATTGCCAACAAGGGTTTTGCCACCAAGTACTAAGTCATGTTTTGCAGAGGGGTCAAATACTTATTTCCCTCATTAAAATGCAAATCAATTAATAACATTTTTGACATGCGTTTTTCTGGATTTGTTTGTTGTTATTCTGTCTCTCACTGTTCAAATAAACCTACCATTAAAATTATAGACTGATCATTTCTTTGTCAGTGGGCAAACGTACAAAATCAGCAGGGGATCAAATACTTTTTTCCCTCACTGTACCTACCAGTGGCGTGTATTCATGGATGCCAAAGGAAGCCAGGCTTCCTCAAAAAAAGGACAAAAAAAACGAACAAAAATAACATTTAAAATAATTTATCTTTCGTCTCTGTGTTTCATAATGTTCCTTTAATTCGCAAGAGGCTGAATGTACACTACATGACCAAAAGTATGTGGACACCTGCTCGTCGAACATCTCATTCCAAAATCATAGGCATTAATATGGAGTTGGTCCCCCCTTTGCTGCTATAACAGCCTCCACTCTTCTGGGAAGGCTTTTCACTAGATGTTGGAACATTGCTGCGAGGACGTGCTTCCATTCAGCCACAAGAGCATTAGTGATGTCGGGCACTCATGTTGGGCGATTAGGCCTGGCTAGCAGTTGCCGTTACAATTCATCCCAAAGATGTTCGATGGGGTTGAGGTCAGGGCTCTGTGCAGGCCAGTCAAGTTCTTCCACACCGATCTCGACAAACCATTTCTGTATGGACCTCGCTTTGTGCACGGGGGCATTGTCATGTTGAAACAGGAAAGGGCCTTCCCCAAACTGTTGCAACAATGTTGGAAGCACAGAATCGTGTAGAATGTCATTGTATGCTGTAACTTTAAGATTTCCCTTCACTGGAACTAAGGAGCCTAGCCCGAACCATGAAAAACAGCCCCAGACCATTATTCCTCTTCCACCAAACGTTACAGTTGGCACTATGCATGTGGGCAGGTAGTGTTCTCCTGGCATCCGCCAAACCCAGATTAGTCCGTCGGACTGCCAGATGGTAAAGCGTGATTCATCACGCCAGAGAACGCGTTTCCACTGCTCCAGAGTCCAATGAAGGCAAGCTTTACACCACTCCAGCAAACGCTTGGTATTGCACATGGTGATCTTAGGATTGTGTGCGGCTGCTCGGCCATGGAAACCCATTTCATGAAGCTCCCGACGAACAGTTATTGTGCTTCCAGAGGCAGTTTGGAACTCGGTAGTGAGACTTGCAACCGAGGACAGAAGATTTTTAAGCGCTATGCGCTTCAGCACTCAGCAATCCTGTTCTGTGAGCTTGTGTGGCCTACCACTTCGCGGCTGAGCCGTTGTTGCTCCTAGACGTTTCCACTTCACAATAACAGCACTTACAGTTGACCGGGGCAGATCTAGTAGGGCAGAAATGTTAAGTTGCGTCAATTCAAATCTGGTATTAGGAACAAAAGAGGTCAATACACGTCTTCTAAATAGACTAGTATTTTAATTAATGCAAAACCTTCAATGGTAAATATGAGGTTCGTATATACGGGTCTACTGAAGTACCACGCAGGGCATTCAGAGAACTAATCCATTGTTACAGGTGCTCCTTAAAATACTCGGACAGTTTTTAGTTCCCGCTCTCTGCTGGGCCGATCAGGGTAGAGACTGAGCGTGGTTTAGACTTACTCAGCCAATCCGTTGGCGCACAGGCTAGTCCCAGCCTCTTGGCGCTCCACCGTTGCCAGGCATAAGTTCTTATCATAACAACCTGTCATGGTGAGAAGAGCCAGCTCCCCTAGACACCATTCCTACGTCCAAGGAAGGTTCACAGATCACAAAGAAGCAGTATAGTCTAGTATTTGGAGACACAAATTCTTATCTCATCTTACCCCCTAAAACAGCTCCTCACATCAATCACAGCTTGCCAGGTGAAACAACCCACATCAGCACAGTACAGACCCTCCATGCCTTAATCATTAATGCATTCCTTCCAAGCTAGTCATCCCATCCATCTATGAGAATAATAAATCCCCACAGAACTGACTTGTTGGAAAGGTGGCATCCTATGACGGTGCCACGTTGAAAGTCACTGAGCTCTTCAGTAAGGCCATTCTACTGCCAATGTTTGTCTATGGAAAATGCATGGCTGTGTGCTCGATTTTATACACCGGTCAGCAACGGTGTGGCTGAAATAGCCGAATCCACTAATTTGAAGGGGTGTCCAAATACACTATATATATAAAAGTATCTCACCGGAGAAAGCAAACCGAGCGAGCGAAACAGCGCCCCTCTATGTGTAGGCCATCTATCTGATGCTCTCTGGTCCAAAAGAGTATGACATTGTTGCTGCCCGTAGCATTGAATGCAAGGGAAGCCAGCGAGCATTTGGCCTCCCTTGATAAAAAAAAAAGGTATAAAATAATAGCCAATCAGCGTTGAGCTAAACTGAACGAGCTCAACTGTGAATGGTCCTGGCGCACCAAAAAAGGAAGCCAGTTTGGATTTGGCGTCACTCCTATCAAATCGCATCGAGAGCAGACGTCATTGACAGAAACAACTTGAATTGTTGCATCTGGTTGTGTTGTTGTTCTCCGGTGGCTAGCTAGCTAGCTAAAATTGGCCCTTGGATGGAGATGCATATCTGGAGTTGTGGTTTTACTTAATTCTCCGTACTGGATTGATTATAAAGGCGATTCTGATCCAACCATTAATTCATATATTGTGCCCCTGGCCTGAGAGGATGGAAGTTCAACATGTAGCTAGATGTAGTAAGCTACATCTGCATTGCTTGCTGTTTGGGGTTTTAGGCTGGATTTCTGTATAGCACTTTGTGACATCTGCTGATGTAGAAAGGGCTTTATAAATACATTTGATTGATTGAATTTGATTGATATTAACTAGCATCATTGCCCATGAAAGGAAGTTAGGCTAGCGAGCAAGCATTTTAGCCAGGTAGCTTAGGACAACAAAAAATAAACGTGTACTGTATGACAGAGTGATTGACAGTTTCGTCACCATGAAAGAGAAGAGGATGGCGTTGGCGTTTCTCTACAAGTAGAGTGAGTCAACATGTTTTTTCTACTTGCACAAACGCGCGCACACACACAAATCAGAACCATGGACAGCCACATCGTATTTAGCTTACGTTAATTGGACTAAATCGTTGTTGGTATCTTTTAGTTGTCACTGTATTAGACTAAGCATAGGTGATTTGATGACGTTGAAATGTTGAAGTTGAAATGGTGCTAGAATAGTGGAGGCAGCTCGTTTTCTTTGTGGTAACTCCGTGGTTCTAAATCAATAGTTGTTTAGTGGTCCGAAAATGTCTGAAACATTAACTTACTTGACCATGCTGTAGGTCACGTAACTGTTTGTTACATGCAATATGCTTTGTGGACTTCACCGGACAGAGGTTGCTTTCCGGTTTTGTGATGAAACAAAGGTGTGGTTGAATTTATTCTGCCACTGTGTCTTCTTATTGTCTCGGCCTTTAGGCCTATATATATATATCACGGTCGAAAGGCATATGAACTTACAGGTTATAGAGCAAACAACGCAATTATCACAACACATAGGTTTTAATATGGCTTTTTTTTCTGGCTTCCCCAGTGATTTTACCCACCCACCGCCACATATTTACACACATACATTATCACTCGTAAAGCAAATAATAATTTAAAGACATTCTGTACATACATTTCTGAATAAATTGGCACAACCCATCCTCTGCTAGTGCTAACACAAACCCAAAAGCAACAAATTGCCACATTCATACAATGTAGAAATTAGATCCTTTCAGATGAGAAACACCAGAAAAAAAGTGTGATTACTGACTGATAATTCACATAAATGATGCCAGGATGAGTTAGTTTGACAGATGCAAGTTAGGTGTATTTCCTTCTATGACCATTGGGGATATTTATTGATTCCATGCGTTATAGTACATATTATTATTCAGTGCTTTGTGGAAGTGCTGACAATTACGTGAGGAACACCACTCTCTGCAAAACACTTGAAATGTGCTTCTGGACAGAATAAATATTTTGGTATTTTAGTGACAACATTTTCTGGAATGAGCACAACTCTGACTGGCATGAAAAAAAAACAGGGTTCCAAGGGGGCAACCACCAAGTCAAACTAACATTTATGAATATTTTGCATTGTTTTTCTTTAAGCGTTTTGCAGCAAGGTGGAATAGATCACCTTGGTGATCTGCAGCACGGCGGCGTGTAGCGAGTACTGCACCACGATGGAGCCGAAGCCCTTGTAGAATCCCAGGGCTCCCTCCTCTCGCCGGATCACATTTACACAGTCCCGGATGCCTTCATACTGCGTGTTGATGGGCAGGACCTCAAAGCCCAGGTCTGTGTTGTCGATGATGGTGCGCGTGCCCTGGATGTGGAGCCTGTGCATCACCGTCTCCAGCGGATAGAGGAGGACGTCGGCACACAGACTGGCCACGAAACTTGCCATGAGTTCGGGGAAGTAGGCGTCCAGCATGGTCTGGACCGTCTCCGAGCCGTCCACGGGCTGCTTGGCCGGACTCCTCCGGCGCAGGAGGAAGAGAACCAGCCTCTGCACGGTGGAGCTCACCACATAGTGGAGGACCCCGTGGAGCACGGTGGGGAGCATTAGGCCCCACAGGGGCAGCAGGCGCTTGCTGTGGGGGATGCCCATTCCCATGACCCGGCCCACACCCTCCTTCACACAGTCCAGGATGCCAGGGTTGTCCCGGATGATCTCACTCTGGGGACGCACGACAAGGGACAGTATAGGTGTGGCGCATATAGTAAATGGTTAATACAGAACGGCCTGAAATGATCTCTGCATGTGTGTTTGGATGAAAAGACCAGCTCTGTGAAGGAATGGAGAAATTGACTGATTCTTTGATACTGTTAAAGGTTGAGTTTCACAAAAACATAAAGTCATATTTATCTTTGTTAGACAATGGATGAACAGTGATCTTCACGCTAAAGATTATCTTTATGTTGTTGGGAAACTCACCTAAAGTCAGTTAGAATGTGAAGGGGAGTTATAGAAGAGATAACGATGGACAAGATAAGGATGGCCAAAATACAACAGACCAGAAAGGGATCATCATTCATACACAGTAAGTATGAAGTGTGGACACACTCACCTGCACAGTTTCAATGAGGCTTGCTGAGTAAAATGGCATGGCAACCACACAGGTCAAACTGTAAAAAGGAGAGATACACAATGACTGGTCATAAGATCAAAGAATTCTACTGGGATAAAGATCTCAACACCATCTGATAACAGCATCTACTAAATGTTAAGTCCCTTCTCAATTACACTGCACAGTTTTTATAATTATAGGAATATGCACTCAATAGTTATGCAATTAAATTATCACTTACTATACAGATACTTGTAAGTCACTACATTATACAGTATGAAAACCATTCATTATATAGGAAAGAAAATACATGTTATTACCCTTTTAGAACCAAATGCCCAATAACTTGCTTGGGGTTCCATTTGTGGGATAATTCTCTGAGAACAAACAAACAAAGTCAGGCCTCTATCCATGGTACCAGGTAACAAACAGTTAGTATTCATTTATTTCATATGTTCAAATAAGGCGATTTAACATGATTGTGATTTTTAAGAATAAAAAAAGGCTGGTTTAAACTAGTTTTTGTCTTGTTTGAACACTTATTGTTGAAGTATACTCTATAGTTTTGTTTTATGTCAGTTTTTTTTTCATTCATTTAAAGCTCTTAGTGGTCTTTGATTTTGGTACTGGAATGTCCTGCTCATCTCACTGGAACCCTTGGAAGCTGATAGATATGGCCTCTGAGTATAATCACCCACCTCCAGCATGTTCTGGTAGTGGCCAGAGGTCACATTGTGACTGGAAGTTTGACACCTAACGCCATTTAAAGGATGACTTGCTATTGATGCTGTGCTCGATTTTTATCAACAGCAATACAAACATTTTATTTTTGTTTGTTGAAGTCTTGTCAAAGATATGGTGGGCGATCAGGCGATGACTAAGGGCAATGACTAATATAGGCAATAATCCCGTTGGCTAGGTTTCTTGTCTCAAATATCATCCAACAGTAAATGCATACCGTGGTAGTGGAGTGCATTCACTTATGATGCCTTCTGTTCCCAGTGTGACTCCCTGTACCACAAAGGTGCTGCCCATTCCTTTCCATAAGACCTTAGGACCCTGCAAGCAGACAATTCACAACAATATACCAGCATTAAAACAACATGTTAGCCCCAAATTCACATTTTCAACATTTTGCTTGTGTGATATTTGTTAGACCTATTTGTGAATGTTGGGTTTTGGGTTTGTGAAAAGAATTTAATACCTGACTCTTGGTGACATTATACATCACACTGACAGCAGTCAATGGGGACAGATGATAGCACCTGGCGTGATAATTGACCTGGAAGCCACAAACAAACAGAATAAGGAATAATTCATTTATTATTACAGTTTATGTCATCTTACTTCATTAATACTTACTTCAAGCACACTGGAGGTAAAACTGTGATACACCCGGAAGATTGATGTACTGTATTGTAGAAAGTTATGAGTCTACAGATTACACCAAAGCCTAAGGGTGGAACACATACAGTCTCTGAACATGTGAATTGTGGCTTATACTGCATGGATGACCGTAGGCTTACCTGGCACTGACGACGAAACACAATGCAAGGGTGAGCCAGGACATTTTCAGTAAAGAGACTGGAAGAAGAAGACATGGTGTGAATACAGTGCCTTCAGAAAGAATTCACACCCCTTGACTTTATCCACATTCTGTTGTGTTACAGCCTGATTTTAAAATTGATTAAATTGAGATTGTGTCACTGGCCTACACGCCCTACCCCATAATGTCAAAGTGGAATTATGTTTTTTGAAATTTTACAAATTAATTAAATATATAAAGCTGAAATGTCTTGAGTAAATAAGTATTCAACCTCTTTCTTATGGCAAGCCTAAATAAGTTCAGGAGTAAAGATGTGCTTAACAAGTCACATAATAAGTTGCATGGACTCACTCTGTGTGCAATAATAGTGTTTAACATTATTTTTTAATGACTACCTCATCTCTGTACCCACACATACAATTATCTGTAAGGTCCCTCAGTCGGACCTCCTGAGTGGCGCAGCGGTCTAAGGCACTGCATCGCAGAGCTTGAGGCGTCACTACAGACCGGGTTTGATCCCAGGCTGTGTTGCAGCCGGCTGCGACCGGGAGACCCATGAGGCGGCGCACAATTGGCCCAGCGTTGTCCGGGTTAGGGGAGGGTTTTCCTCTAAGATTTTGCCTGTGCTTAGCTCCATTCTGTTTCATTTTTTAAACTGAAAAACTCCCCAGTCCTTAACGATTACAAGCATACCCATAACATGATGCAGCCACCACTATGCTTGAAAATATAGAGAATGGCACTCAGTAACGTGTTGTGTTGGATTTGCCCCAAACATAACATTTTGTATTCAGGACAAAAAGTGAATTGCTTTGCCACATTTTTTGTAGTATTACTTTAGTGCCTTGTTGCAAACAAGATGCATGTTTTGGAATATTTTTGTTCTGTACAGGCTTCCTTTTCACTCTGTAAATTAGATTTTTCTGTATTTCATTTTCAATAAATTAGCAAACATTTCTAAAAAACATGTTTTCACTTTGTCATTATGGCATAATGTGTGTATCGATTTAATCAATTTTGAATTCAGGCCGTAACAACAAAATGTGGAATAAGTCGAGGTGTATGAATACTTTCTGAAGGCACTGTACATACTTGACTTCTTCCACATTGTTACGTTACAGCCTTATTCTAAAACGGATTAAATAAATAAAAAGTCTCATCAATATACACACAATACCCCATAATGACAAAGTGAAAACAGGTGTTTAGAAATGTTTGCAAGTTTATTACAAATAAAAAACAGAAATACCTTATTTACATAAGTATTCAGACCCTTTGCTATGAGACTCGAAATTGAGCTCAGGTGCATCCTGTTTCCATTGATCATCCTTGAGATGTTTCTACAACTTGATTGGAGTCCACTTGTGGTAAATTCAATTGATTGGACATGATTTGGAAAGGCACACACACACAGTGCATGTCAGAGCAAAAACCAAGCCATGAGGTCGGAAGAATTGTCCGTAGAGGTCCGAGACAGGATTGTGTCGAGGCTCAGATCTGGGGAAGGGTACCAAAAAATGTCTGCAGCATTGAAGGTCCCCAAGAACACAGTGGCCTCCATCATTCTTAAATGGAAGAAGTTTGGAACTACCTCTTCCTAGAGCTGGCCGCCCGGCCAAACTGAGCAATCGGGGGAGAAGGGCCTTGGTCAGGGAGGTGACAAAGAACCCGATGGTCACTCTAACAGAGCTCCAGAGTTCCTCTGTGGAGATGGGAGAACCTACCAGAAGGACAACCATCTCTGCAGCACTCCACCAATCAGGCCTTTATGGTAGAGTGGCCAGATGGAAACCACTCCTCAGTAAAAGGCACATGACAGTCCACTTGGAGTTTGCCAAAAGGCACCTAAAGGACTCTCAGACCATGAGAAACAAGATTCTCTGGTCTGATGAAACCAAGATTGAACTCTTTGGCCTGAATGCCAAGCGTCACGTCTGGAGGAAACCTGGCACCATCCTTACGGTGAAGCATGGTGGTGGCAGCATCATGCTGTGGGGATGTTTTTCAGCAGCAGGGACTGGGATTGAGGGAAAGATGAACGGAGCAAAGTACAGAGAGATCCTTGATGAAAACCTGCTCCAGAGCGCTCAGGACCTCAGACTGGGGCGAAGGTTCACCTTCCAACAGGACAACGACCCTATGAACACGGCCAAGACAACGCAGAAGTGGCTTCGGGACAAGTCTTTGAATGTCCTTGAGTGGCCCAGCTAGTCCGGACTTGAACCCAATCGAACATCTCTGGAGAGACCTGAAAATAGCTGTGGAGCGACGCTCCCCATCTAACCTGACAGAGCTTGAGAGGATCTGCAGAGAAGAATGGGAGAAACTCCCCAAATACAGGTGTGCCAACTTGTTACGTCATACCCAAGAAGACTTGAGGCTGTAATCACTGCAAAAGGTGCTTCAACAAAGTACTGAGTAAAGGGTCTGAATACTTATGTAAATGTGATATTTCTGTTTTTTATTTTTAATAAATTAGCAAACATTTCTAAAGACCTGTTTTTGCTTTGTCATTATGGGGTATTGTGTGTAGATTGATGAGGGGAAAAAACTATTTAATCCATTTTAGAATATGCCTGTAACGTAACAAAATGTGGAAAAAGTCAAGGGGTCTGAATACTTTCCGAATGCACTGTATAGGCTTACTGTTTTCCTTTTCCCAAACATTCTACTGTATATAGAATGTTTAATGAATTCAAATTGGATCATAGTCATCTCTTTACTGCTGAACTACCACTAAATTACTGAAACATCGAATTACCTTGCAAGCCCGATACCAAATCCAGCAAATCTGTTCAACTGCTCTGAAAGAGAAAGAACATATACATTTGAATTAATATCTAGCAGCAACATTTAATGGAAAACCTTATTTATTGTTATACATAAATAAGTCATAGTCACGCAAGTCACTCAATATTTTGAGCATCATAGGCTAGGTAGCTGAGAAAGACTCTTCGAATTGTGTTTACTGTTTACAAACAAGCAGAGCAGCCTCACCGGGGGAAGCACACGTATTACTCAGAGGTGTAAAGTCACCAAGACACGCAAAACCCCTCAAAATGTTATTGGTCGTATACACAGATTTGCAGGTACAGCGAAATGCTTGTGTTTCTTGCTCCAACAGTGCAGTAATGCCTAGCAATAAAATAAAAAACAATACACACATAATCCAGATTTTATTTTTATCGGAAATATCAGAACAAGCAATGTTAGAGACGGGAATATATAAATATAATGGTGTGTTTTGTATGTAAACATTATATTTGAATTTTTTTGTACTTTTACCCCTTTTCCTCCTCAATTTCGTGATATCCAGTTGGTAGTTACAGTTAGAGACGGGAATTTCCTTATCCCATCGCAATCTAGCGACTCCCCGGCCCGCCACAAGGAGTCGCTAGAGCGCGATGGGACATGGAAATCCCGGCCGGCCAAACCCTCCACTAACCCGGACGACGCTTTTCGCTCTGAGCGTTCAGAGTGCATACTGGACGCTCTGGCCGAGGAGTAGGGTTGATGTGAGCTTTCTGACCTCACAACGGCAGTCAAGCATCCAAGCTAACTGGCTAAAGTTGGCTAGCTTGCTAGCTACTTCCAGACACAAATGAGAGAACACCTCACTTTACTCACCCTAGCAGAGCTGGTTAGGCTGTTTTCATGTTATCCAGAGCGTTGGTGACTGTACCTGTTCTGCTGGCAATTTAATTACGTTTTTTTACCGATGTTTACTGACACTGGTCATATTCAACGGGTGTTGTGTGTTCGTAAATTCATCAGTTATTCTGCGCTCTGGCACACTCAGACGAGAGTGCTCTGAAATCAGAGTAGATAGCCAGAGTGAATTGACGAACGCACCCTAAGGTGAGGGCAGAGTACCGGGTGGTAGCCAGCTAGAACAGTGACTAAGGATAGTGGTGACTGTTAAACAGTCTGATGGCCTGGAGATAGAAGCTGTTTTTCAGTCTCTCGGTCCCAGCTTTGATGCACCTCTACTGTCTCTGTCTTCTAGACGGTAGCGGGTGAACAGGCCGTGGCTCGGGTAGCTGAGGTCCTTGATGATCTTTTTTGGCCTTCCTGTGACACAAGGTGCTGTACATGTCTGGTAAGGCAGGCAGTGTGCCTCCAGTGATGCGTTGGCCTGACCGCACCACCATCTGGAGAGCCCTGCGGTAGCGGACGGTGCAATTGCCGTACGAGGCGGTGATACAGCCCAACAGGATGCTCTCAATGGTGCATCTGTTGAAGTTCGTGAAGGCCTTAGGGGCCAAGCCGAATTTCCTCAGCCTCCTGGAGGTTGAAGAGGCGCTGTTGCGCCTTCTTCCTTACGCTGTCTGTGTGAAGGGGCCATTTCAGGTTGTCAGTGATGTGCGCGCCGAAGAAGTTGAAGCTTTTGACCCAATCCACTGCGGCCTTGTTGATGTGGATGGGGGCGGACTCTCTCGGCTGTCTCCTGTAGTCAATGATCAGCTTTTTTGCTTTGTTGACGTTGAGGGAGAGGTTATTTTCCTCCTCCCTTTAGGCTGTCTCATCGTTGTTGGTGATCAGGCCTATCACTTGTGTCGCCAGCCATACCATGAGACATCCATGTCTTCATCACTGGAAGAGCATCTTGTGTCTCAACCGATGGCGGGCACAACACAAAAACCTCATGATGTGAAATAGGGTCTAAGCTACAAGATATGCGAACATGAAAAAAAATCAGAGTTTATGCGTTGTTAGATAATTGACATTAAAGGTTTAAGGTTTTTGACAACACTGTTTGTAAGCTTTTAAATGACATCAAACTCAACTGTTTATATTTTCCAGTGATGAAGACAGGTCTCATGGTATGGTGGGGTATGCAAAATGGGTCAACTTTGAGCACCTTTATCTCGTTAATGTTTTGGCATTCAGGTCGAAAAAGTCACTTTCTGACCACTTCTTCCATGAGAAAACATCTATGGAAAGTTATGAATCAAAAAAGGAATGCTGTTGAAAAGGGATTGAATTCAAGTGGATTTACCCTGTAGTGTAATTGACATCAATCAATGTTCACAAATGCACCTAAAGGCACAAATAACCAGGAAAGCTACTTTATAATATACATTATGACTCATCCACCTACTTGAGAAATGCACCTAGGTCTACACTAGACTCCCTCGCTCTAGGGTCTTGTCTGAACCCATAAGCGCAGGTCAGTCTGTTCAAATGCCATGTTTCTGTTGTGTGTTATTTCGTCATGGATGCTTTGAAAGGCAGTCCTGTCAACATTGTATTTTTATTTTCACTTCTTGTAGGTAATTCTGGACTTGGTTGGATATGAGTTGGTTGGATTCTATCAGCCCAACAGTACATGCAATCAAAAACAGTGCCTCATAAAACATTTTAAAAACATATCTAGGCTAGGCCTAGTTTGTGCTCTCTTCAATGTTTGTGTACTTTAATGTAATTTAATCCTTATCCTGAACAAAAATAATTTGTATGAATGGCAACTGATTGTAAACGTGGATTTCAGGGCAAAGAAGTCAAAGAAATGTATGTATTTTTCTGCCACCAAGACACGTACGCTAAAGTTTAAGTATGTTACATAGGTCATGTAAAGTTCAAATTGTTGTCACTGACTCTATTCTCAGGCCTAGCTAGCTAGCAGACATCTGAGAGTGATTACACATTTAAAACACTCATGACAGTGAAGATTTCGTGTCGTCGTCATTGCTGTGAATGAAAAGGGTCAGAGTTGCTGGAATGATGATGTCCCCTACCGGATGGAGGAGCCGTAGGCAGAGTATCTTCAGCACAAGGTGCTGCAGGGGCCGCCTCAAATTGGGGCGTGCGTTCACCAAAATGTAAATTTCGGCTACCTGGAATATCTGGCGGTGTTGTTACCCAATTCTGCAGGTCCACACTAGAGGAATTATTAAATGACCTTCCACTGTAGCCCCCAATGTAAGCAGGATCCTCTCTACCTCTGTAACCTAAGCCATCGAAATTGTCCGGTCGCCGAGAAGTCATGCTGCACGAGAGCTAAATAGGAGTGACAGCTCCTTTGATATCACGACTAGTCAAATATGTGTAACTATACCGCTTTCTAAATCTAAGAGAAACACATTGAAAATGAAAATTAACCACTGTATAACCCCAATTTAGACCGCAAGCAAGCTAGCCACCCTAAATGACTTCGTTAGATACGCTAGCTAGCGAGCAAAACAACAACGCGTAGGAACTGTCAGCCGATCAAATCAGCAGCTCATCAGCCACACTAAACAAGTACTTCCGGGTTATGGAATTTCGAAGATTCTCAAAATAAAATACCCCACGTAATAGTAGAACCGTGTCAATAACCTGTATGTATTCATGATATATTAAAAGTAATTGTCTAAACATTAACAATTAATCATATTTGTTCATATTTAAGTGACATTTGCATTACATTTGGGTTTTAAAACATGTCCCAAGGTAAAATAAATGGCCACAATGCGAATCACTGTATACAGCAAAAACTATTCTGGGTGCCACAGTAAAGGAGGTGTAGGGAATACTCAGTAGGGTCTGTAGATGGTGTCATTTCATGCGGCTCTCAATAATACAGAGTGTTGCTGGCCTTTTACTCCACCCATTCCAATGGCCACAATGTGAATCACGAAATATGGAATACATATTGGCTACAGGAGGTTCGTGGCACTTTAATTGGGGAGGACGGGCTCGTGGTAATGGCTGGAGCCGAATCTGTGGACTGGTATCAAACACATGGTTTCCATGTGTTTGGTGCCATTATATTATTTCATTTACTCTGTTCCGGCCATTATTATGAGCCATCCTCCCCTCCACTGATATTGGCTTATGGCTTTACTGCGGCAGCTAGAATAGTTTTTGCTCTATAAACCAATATGTATTTCATATACAGGGATTAACAATGTGGCCAATGGAATGGGTGGAGTAAAAGGCCAGCAACACTCTGCATTATTCAAAGCCCATGAAATGACACCACATATAGGTTCTACAGACCCTACTGAGTATTCCCAACCCCACTTTTACATCGGCACATAGAATAGTTTTTTCTCTATAAGGCAATATGTAATTTATAGGCCTACAGTGCATTGCATTGGGACCAATGGAATGGGTGGAGTAGAAAGGGCTGCTGGGTATTTAGACCATAACACCATATATTGACTCTAGTGCTAGATCAATAGGGTCTGTAGAATATTATTTTCTTTACATTCATTTACTTAAGCTCCAGCCATTTCTCAATGTGCTCCACCTTATAATATAATGTGTCTTACATAAAGTAGTAATTCTCTTTAGTTTAGATTTTTCCCCGATGTAGTTATAAGTTTGTTACATTATTTTAACATTATGCCCTATGCAAAGCTGCAAAAATTATTGATTTTGTATCATACACATAGCGTTTTACTTTTATTTTGAAGACAAAATCAGTAAACCGGAAATCTTAATGTTGCTGCCGGGACACTAATGCTGCTAACATGACGCTAATGCCGATCAACTGGAAGTTGTTTCCTTCTCTTTCGCATCCAAACTGCATTGTGGGACATATTGTTTTTGGTGTACTTATTTGACCTCGCCGCCGTGCGTGGAAACAGCAAGTAAACGAGACTGGTGTGTAAGAGATTAGGGTGAACAATCCATAGATGTTAGATGGAGGCGAGGGTAACAGGTTTAATTTTGTATTTACAAAGCTGTGCAAGATGCCTATAATGGAACAGGTGGTAGTGCACATGGCCATTTTTTTATTTTTTTATTTCACCTTTATTTAACCAGGTAAACCAGTTGAGAACAGGTTCTCATTTACAACTGCGACCTGGCCAAGATAAAGCAAAGCAGTGCAATAAAAACAACACAGAGTTACATATGGGGTAAAAAAACATAAAGTCAAAAATACAACAGAAAATATATATACAGTGTGTGCAAATGTAGCAAGTTATGGAGGTAAGGCAATAAATAGGCTATAGTGCAGAATAATTACAATAGTATTAACACTGGAATGCTAGATGTGCAAGAGATTATGTGCAAATAGAGATACTGGGGTGCAAAAGAGCAAAATAAATAACAATATAGGGATGAGGTAGTTGGGTGGGCTAATTTCAGATGGGCTGTGTACAGGTGCAGTGATCGGTAAGGTGCTCTGACAACTGATGCTTAAAGTTATTGAGGGAGATAAGAGTCTCCAGCTTCAGAGATTTTTGCAATTCGTTCCAGTCATTGGCAGCAGAGAACTGGAAGGAATGGCGGCCAAAGGAGGTGTTGGCTTTGGGAATGACCAGTGAGATATACCTGCTGGAGCGCAGACTACGGGTGGGTGCTGCTATGGTGACCAATGAGCTAAGATAAGGCGGGGATTTGCCTAGCAGTGATTTATAGATGGCCTGGAGCCAGTGGGTTTGACGACGAACATGTAGTGAGGACCAGCCAACAAGAGCGTACAGGTCACAGTGGTGGGTAGTGTATGGGGCTTTGGAGACAAAACGGATGGCACTGTGATAGACTACATCCAATTTGCTGAGTAGAGTGTTGGAGGCTATTTTGTAAATGACATCGCCGAAGTCAAGGATCGGTAGGATAGTCAGTTTTACGAGGGCATGTTTGGCAGCATGAGTGAAGGAGGCTTTGTTGCGAAATAGGAAGCCGATTCTAGATTTAACTTTGGATTGGAGATTCTTTATGTGAGTCTGGAAGTTGAGTTTACAGTCTAACCAGACACCTAGGTATTTGTAGTTGTCCACATACTCTAGGTCAGACCCGTCGAGAGTGGTGATTCTAGTCGGGTGGGCGGGTGCCAGCAGCGTTCGATTGAAAAGCATGCATTTAGTTTTACTAGTGTTTAAGAGCAGTTGGAGGCTACTGAAGGATTGTTGTATGGCATTGAAGCTCGTTTGGAGGTTTGTTAACACAGTGTCCAATGAAGGGCCAGATGTATACAAAATGGTGTTGTCTGCGTAGAGGTGGATCTGAGAGTCACCAGCAGGGTTGCTGGTTTAAGCTCTGTTCTGTTTGTTTCTCATCTATTACTAGACTGTTGGGTCAGTGGTGTGCGACGTTGCAAATAAACTAGACTCAGGGAACTCAATTTAGGCTACTGACACATTGAAATATGCTCTCCCACTGGGCACAGTCATTAATTAAATGTCTATTCTACGTGGTTGAACGTAATTTCGTTGAAAAACGTGGAAACAATGTTGATTCAACCAGTGTGTGCCCAGTGGGCTGTAAGAAGGCTATGACATCTATTGATGCTATGAAGCTTGCATGTGTTTTTGTTTTATGTTTATCTGTTTATGATTTGTGTTACATTTTTAAGATGGATTTTTGTATCACATTTGAATTATTATCCTTTAAAATGTATGTAATTTTTATATATACAGTGCATTCGGAAAGTATTCAGACCCCTTGACTTTTTCCACATTTTGTTATGTTACAGCCTTATTCTAAAATGGATGAAATTGTTTTTTTCCCTCATCAATCTACACACAAGACCCCATAATGACAAAGCAAAAACAGGTCTTTAGAAATGTTTGCTAATATATTAAAAAATAAAAAAACGAAAATATCACATTTACATAACTATTCAGACCCTTTACTCAGTACTTTGTTGAAGCACCTTTGGCAGCGATTACAGCCTCGAGTCTTCTTGGGTATGACACTACAAGCTTGGCACACCTGTATTTGGGGAGTTTCTCCCATTCTTCTCTGCAGATCCTCTCAAGCTCTGTCAGGTTAGATGGGGAGCGTCGCTGCACAGGTCAGATGTTCGATCGGGTATAATTTTTCGGGCTCTGGCTGGGCCACTCAAGGACATTCAGAGACTTGTGCCGAAGCCACTCCTGCGTTGTCTTGGCTGTGTGCTTAGGGTTGTTGTCCTGTTGGAAGGTGTACGTTCGCCCCAGTCTGAGGTCCTGAGCGCTCTGGAGCAGGTTTTCATCAAGGATCTCTCTGTACTTTGCTCTGTTCATCTTTCCCTTGATCCTGACTAGTCTCCCAGTCCCTACCGCTGAAAAACATCTGTTTTTGCTGTCACCACCATGCTTTACCGTGGGGATGGTGCCAGGTTTCCTCCAGACGTGATGCTTGATATTCAGGCCAAAGACTTCAATCTTGATTTGATCAGACCAGAGAATCTTGTTTCTCATGGTCTGAGAGTCTTTATGTGCCTTTTGGTAAACGTCAAGCGGGCTGTCATGTGCCTTTTAATGAGGAGTAGCTTCCGTCTGGCAACTCTACCATAAAGGCCTGATTGGTGGAGTGCTGCAGAGATGGTTGTCCTTCTGGAAGGTTCTCCCATCTCCACAGAGGAACTCTGGAGCTCTGTCAGAGTGACCATCGGGTTCTTGGTCACCTCCCTGACCAAGGCCCTTCTCCCCCGATTGCTTGGTTTGGCCGGGCGGCCAGCTCTAGGAAGAGTCTTGGTGGTTCCAAACTTCTTCCATTTAAGAATGATGGAGGCCACTGTGTTCTTGGGGACCTTCAATGCTGCAGAAATGTTTTGGTACCCTTCCCCAGATCTGTGCCTCGACACAATCCTATCTCGGAGCAGACTGACAATTCCTTCGACCTCATGGCTTGGTTTTTGCTCTGACATGCACTGTCAACTGTGGGACCTTATGTACACAGGTGTGTGCCTTTCCAAAAATCATGTCCAATCAATTGAATTTACCACAGGTGGACTCCAATCAAGTTGTAAAAACATCTCAAGGATGATCAATGGAAACAGGATGCACCTGAGCTCAATTTCGAGTCTCATAGCAAAGGGTCTGAATACTTATGTAAATAAGGTATTTCTGTTTTTGTTTTTTTATAAATTTGCTAACATTTCTAAAAACCTGTTTTTGTTTTCTCATTATAGGTTATTGTGTGTAGATTGATGAAGAAATACATGTATTTAATCCATTTTAGAATAAGCCTGTAACGTAACAAAATGTGGAAAAAGTCAGGGAGTCTGAATACTTTCCGAATGCACTGGATTCAAGGGTTTTTCATTCAAGGGTTTTTCTTTATTTTTTAAAACTATTTTCTACATTGTAGAATATAAGTGAAGACATCAAAACTATGAAGGACACACATGGAATCATGCAGTAACCAAAAAAGTGTTAAACAAATCAAAATATATTTTATATTTGAGATTCTTCAAATAGCCACCCTTTGCCTTGATGACAGCTTTGCACACTCATGGCATTCTCTCAACCAGCTTCACCTGGAATGCTTTTCCAACAGTCTTGAAAGAGTTCCCACATACAGTGGCTTGCAAAAGTATTCACCCCCCTTGGCATTTTTCCTATTTTGTTGCCTTACAACCTGGAATTAAAATGGATTTTTGGGGGGTTTGTATCATTTGATTTACACAACATACCTACCACTTTGAAGATGCAAAATAAAAAAAATTGTGACACAAACAAGAAATAAGACAAAAAAACAGAAAACCTGAGCATGCATAACTATTCACCCCTCCAAAGTCAATATTTTGTAGAGCCACCTTTTGCAGCAATTACAGCTGCAAGTCTCTTGGGGTATGTCTCTATAAGCTTGGCACATCTAGCCACTGGGATTTTTGCCCATTCTTCAAGACAAAACTGCTCCAGCTCCTTCAAGTTGGATGGGTTCTGCTGGTGTACAGCAATCTTTAAGTCATACCACAGATTCTCAATTGGATTGAGGTCTGGGCTTTGACTAGGCCATTCCAAGACATTTAAATGTTTCCCCTTAAACCACTCGAGTGTTGCTTTGGCAGTATGCTTAGGGTCCTTGTCCTGCTGGAAGGTGATCCTCCGTCCCAGTCTCAAATCTCTGGAAGACTGAAACAGGTTTCCCTCAAGAATTTCCCTGTATATAGCGCCATCCATCATTCCTTCAATTCTGACCAGTTTCCCAGTCCCTGCCGATGAAAAACATCCCCACAGAATGATGCTGCCACCACCATGGTGTTCTCGGGTGATGAGAGGTGTTGGGTTTGCGCCAGACATAGCATTTTCCTTGATGGCCAAAAAGCTCAATTTTAGTCTCATCTGACCAGAGTACCTTCTTCCATATGTTTGGGGAGTCTCCCACATGCCTTTTGGCGAACACCAAACGTGTTTGCTTATTTATTTCTTCAAGCAATGGCTTTTTTCTGGCCACTCTTCCGTAAAGCCCAGCTCTGTGGAGTGTACGGCTTAAAGTGGTTCTATGGACAGATACTCCAATCTCTGCTGTGGAGCTTTGCAGCTACTTCAGGGTTATCTTTGGTCTCTTTGTTGCCTCTGATTAATGCCCTCCTTGCCTAGTCCGTGAGTTTTGGTGGACGGCCCTCTCTTGGCAGGTTTGTTGTGGTGCCATATTCTTTCAATTTTTTAATAATGGATTTAAATGGTGCTCCGTGGGATGTTCAAAGTTTCTGATATTTTTTTGTAACCCAACCCTGATCTGTACTTCTCCACAACTTTGTCCCTGACCTGTTTGGAGAGCTCCTTGGTCTTCATGGTGCCGCTTGCTTGGTGGTTCCCCTTGCTTAGTGATGTTGCAGACTCTGGGGCCTTTCAGAAGAGGTGTATATATACTGAGATCATGTGACAGATCATGTAACACTTAGATTGCACACAGGTGGACTTTATTTAACTAATTATGTGACTTCTGAAGGTAATTGGTTGCACCAGATCTTATTTAGGGGCTTCATAGCAAAGGGGGTGAATACATATGCACGCACCACTTTTCCATTACTTATTTTGTATAATTTTTTGAAACAAGTTATTTTTTTCATTTGACTTCACCAATTTGGACTATTTTGTGTATGTCCATTACATGAAATCCAAATAGAAATCAATTTAAATGACAGGTTGTAATGCAACAAAATAGGAAAAACGCCAAGGGGGATGAATTATTTTGCAAAGCATTGTACATGTGTTCTTGGGTGTGTGTGCGTGCACGTACGTGCAACTAATGGGTGTAAACTGTGTTGTTGTTGAAAAACACAAGTAACATCTGTAAACTTCTGTTTCCCTTTTAGCTTTGTCTCAGTGTGAGTCATGCTACCAACCGTATCCTAACATATTTGTCTCAGTGCACTTCATGTTACGTCCATGGGAGATTATTTGTGGACTGGGACCTTTTCTAGAGGCTTCAGCACCAGTAACAGTACCATGACAATTCTAATGAACTCAAAATATTTCTTTTGGTCCTGTGTTGATCAGTTGGTAGTGCCAAGGCCATGGTTTCACATACATACTACAAATGTATACACTAACTGGACTGTCAGTTGCTTTGGATAGGTGTCTGCTAAGTGGAATAATATTCATTTAAATCCAGTCTGTCCCAAAAATGCATTTGGTTTACGATTAGTTTAACATTAACATCAGAAAGGTGTATTCAAGTTCACATCTGTAGCGTTGCACTGTGCCATAATAACACATTATTTATCAAGGCAACTAATATAAGGGCATCACGCCATCTGTGCAGGTGTTTAATGTTTGCATATCCTGTAGCTACATCCTGATGCTTTCCCCATGTCATCTGTTGTGTACTGTAGGCTCAGGCAGACTGTCAGGAGTACGACGTGAACGAGGTGCTCTGGCATTGTCTTCCCAGTTGGTACTGCGTACAAAACAATGTCAGCCAGCTCTCCCAGTTGGTACTGCGTACAAAACAATGTCAGCCAGCTCTCCCAGGTGGTACTGCGTACAAAACAATGTCAGCCAGCTCTCCCAGGTGGTACTGCGTACAAAACAATGTCAGCCAGCTCTCCCAGTTGGTACTGCGTACAAAACAATGTCAGCCAGCTCTCCCAGTTGGTACTGCGTACAAAACAATGTCAGCCAGCTCTCCCAGTTGGTACTGCGTACAAAACAATGTCAGCCAGCTCTCCCAGTTGGTACTGCGTACAAAACAATGTCAGCCAGCTCTCCCAGTTGGTACTGCGTACAAAACAATGTCAGCCAGCTCTCCCAGTTGGTACTGCGTACAAAACAATGTCAGCCAGCTCTCCCAGTTGGTACTGCGTACAAAACAATGTCAGCCAGCTCTCCCAGTTGGTACTGCGTACAAAACAATGTCAGCCAGCTCTCCCAGTTGGTACTGCGTACAAAACAATGTCAGCCAGCTCTCCCAGTTGGTACTGCGTACAAAACAATGTCAGCCAGCTCTCCCAGGTGGTACTGCGTACAAAACAATGTCAGCCAGCTCTCCCAGGTGGTACTGCGTACAAAACAATGTCAGCCAGCTCTCCCAGTTGGTACTGCGTACAAAACAATGTCAGCCAGCTCTCCCAGTTGGTACTGCGTACAAAACAATGTCAGCCAGCTCTCCCAGTTGGTACTGCGTACAAAACAATGTCAGCCAGCTCTCCCAGGTGGTACTGCGTACAAAACAATGTCAGCCAGCTCTCCCAGTTGGTACTGCGTACAAAACAATGTCAGCCAGCTCTCCCAGTTGGTACTGCGTACAAAACAATGTCAGCCAGCTCTCCCAGGTGGTACTGCGTACAAAACAATGTCAGCCAGCTCTCCCAGTTGGTACCACCTCATCCTGCTTAGAGACGAGTTGCAAAAAGAAAACTAGTTGGTTTGAGCTGTGTATTATAATCTTGTTCGTCAAGATTTAAACTTTTCATTAGTGCAACACCATGACAATGTAGGCTATATATTCCTTTCCAGAATCTGCCATACCACAGACTGTGACAGATTAGGACATTCCTAATGACATGATTCAGCTCTAACCTGGTAACCAGATCTGTTTGTGCTTTAGCCGATGCTTTGTAAAGGGAAAGGCAGTTGTTGTGACAAAACAGCAGTTGGATATGAAAATCAGACATCTCTTTTCTTTGAGAATAAGTTGACATTTGAGATAAGGCCCAGAGTACTTCTTGATCATGTGACATGGCCAGGAAAACCTTAGAGACAACACACACTCAGTATCTACAATTTAGTACCTCTATAACCCTGGGGGTGTCTCGGACTCTCTGGTCTGTCTCTTGGCCCAGGTGTTCCTGCAGAGCGATCCAGGCCACATTCCTCAGCTCCTCCTGCAACACGGCTCCGCTGAGCCCTCAGCATACTCACACCAAAGCCTGAACAGCACTGTAGCGCAGCTGCCAGGCCTTGGCGCCATCTAGCGAATTAACAGATGACACCAAACTCAGTGAAAACCCTGACAAACTGCAGACCAGGATAGGGAATTATTGCTTTAGTTAGACTTTTAGTGTAAATATAATGGCTAACCCAAGCGGTTTCATTGGAACCTACTCTTGCTTTAAACTGTTATGTCTGCAATGAGGAGTCATATAGGCCTAATATCTAAAGATGTCGAAAAATGAATTACATCCACAAACCAAAACCAAAATAGATGTGGCTATTTTTGCTCGTTTTCAATGTTTGCTTGGTCTCCCACTCCATTTTTCTCCATGATTTACAGTGGTTCGACAGTTTAAGCAGTCCATCAGTATTGTGATATCCTGGAGGGGTTTGGCTGCCCAGCCGAGCTGTTTTCTTTATCTCGGCATTGCTGCTATGCTGGCATATGTCTGCTAACACAGTGGTATAGATGTGTTTCCAACTGCCATGGCCAGCACCCCCTCGGATACATCCCTTCCTGGACAAGAGGATTACATACTTTTAGTGATAATGAAATAAATTAAAAGAGAGCGACAAGTTAATTTAGTGTGTAGATTATATATGGGCCAGTTTTTCCCAGACACAGATGAAGCCTAAGCTAAAAAACCATGCTCAATTTTAAATCTCCAGTTAAAGTGATTTTTAGTCCAGAACTAGGCTTAATCATGGTCTGGGTAACCAGCCCATAATATGTATGGCAGTTGATAGCTTTAAGTAGAATCCCATCCTGCTCTGTCTTTGGGTTGATGTGGAGACTCATAAACATCTGAAGGCACAACAAGCTGGACTTTGCAGCCTCACCCAGAATCATTAGTCCTACAGTACAGTCCACCCTGAATTTACAATAGACGTTTAAAATTGAATACATTAATTTAAGAATTAATTGATTTAAAAGAAAACACGTTTGGATGATTAAGCAAGTCTTTATAACTTGAAACTGGTATAAAATAAACATGAATACATTTATGAACAAAGATACATCCGGAGTGATGTGTTTACATACGTATGACTATGTAATGACTGACATGACAAGAGGGAAACTGATGATGCACTAGCCAATTTCGATATTGCACCTTGTGCATTCTACTATTACAACTGTTAAGAGTAAGTTGAAAGCTGGACTGAGTTCCTTTTTGGGGGGAAATATTGTCTTGCATACAACAAGTGCAAATAGTTTTATGCACTTTATTTAATTGACAAAACTAACTTTGGATTTCATTCTTTTTTATTCTCCCATTATATTACATTTACAGAAAGATAAACAATGACAACATTTTACTCTCAACAAGCAACATTGGTAGAAAGAGATTTGTGCATAACACCCTACCCTAATGCTGAGTTTCAAAGATAGACAATAGAACAATTACAGTTGTATACCAAGTAAAGTAATATTGTTTCTCTAATCTGCTTTTGCTTTCAAATCATCCTAGACCAGCTTCTGTCTTGAAGTTGACTTTTGTCTCTCATAAAGGAGATAATAAAAAATTATTCATAATTTAATCAGATGGGATAGAACCACTAAACAAGCTTTGACATTCCCATTGACATTCAAACATTACGGAACAACCGTTTCCACATTCATTTACATTGACACAAATAAAAATTCGAAAATTATAGCAACCAATGTCCCAAGAATCCTTCTTACTCCTTACGGTAACAGTGAAGGCGCAATTATTTGACCACCACAATAGCTAGGCATGCTGCCGTATAACGCATAAGATACGCTCACCTCAAAACACCCCATGAAATGTAAGGTAACATTTCCATCTCCTTGGAACTTCACAAAGGTGTTCAAAACATACATTAAAACCCCCCATGGCAACATGTTGAAGTGGATTTGAAAATGGCTCAGTCAGGGTACCAGTTTAAGGCATTGCATCTGGTAGCCAAGATCACAGGCAAGAACAGAACAAAACACAAATAGTTGCGTAAATATGACAGGGTTTGTGACCTTTGGCATGTGTCATATGCTTAAGCAAGCAGTCGTACGCTTTTGGCCATAGTAACAAAATGTGTCTCAAGAATGTAATGACTAACTATTGTAGATTTAGAAGATTCAACTCATACAGATGGACATCATTAGCATGAGAAAAGAGGGGATTGCTGCATATACGGTATCAATGGTGAGTTTGATCAGTTGCATAGTTTGATATCTAGGCAGTAGGCCCCAATTCAATCAATTGCAGATTATAATAAACCACACTGAGGGACGGTTTCCCGGACACAGATTAAGCCTAGTCCTGGACTAAAGAGTTCGATGACACATTTCCATTGAAAGTTTTTCTGCTTTCTAATGCAGGACTAGGATTTTTCCATGTCTGGGAAAACGGCCTTGAAAGTTAACGCTACAGGTGTGTTTTTTTCATCAATATCCAATTAGGACATTTTCCCAGAGAGGAACACCTCAACGCAGTGTGAACATTCCAAGTCAACACGCAGTGCAGTTTTCCTTTAACTGCAACTGATTAAAAGGCTTTATTATTGATACACCGTTGAACATTTCTTGAACAAAACATCTGACTGACTGGTGTGCTGTACCAAGAGTAGCATAGCTGTGTAAAGCAACAAAAAAGGGACAATTCACTACAATACGTATATGAAGGTCACAATAACAGACCTATATCAATTAATGTGATGTCACATGTCAATTATATAACATCAACTATTAGCTGCAGTAATTTTGCATCGATCGTAAATTGTAACAATAATGTATGCACTCACTAACTGTAAGTCGCTCTGGATAAGAGCGTCTGCTAAATGACTAAAATGTAAATGTAACAGACATTTTTCTCCAAGCGGAACAACATATAAAGGATATGTACATTGGGCTCATTATGAAATTGATAAATAAGGCACATTTTTGCTCTTTGGAAAAATGTAAACATAATCTCACTTGCAATTAAACATATTTAAAAAATATATATTTAGAATCAGTTGGCATTCAAATCTTTTTTCGGCATGCCAAGGACATTAAGCAATATTCACTATGATTGAAACCATACCTCAGTAAAACAAAAATAATCACATTGTACAAAACATATTAGTGGAAAAGGAAATCTGGACCTGTGGTCTTCTCAATAGAGTGAGTTCAAGTGAAATTGCAACACAAACGTTCGCAACACATACTGAACCTGAGACTGCAGGATAACTAGGGATACTGGACTCAAACAATATCATATTGCACTTTTAGAATGAAGCTTAATCAAGTTCCATTTCCTTCTCCTCCTGCCTCTCTCCTTTCTTCCCCTCCTCCCTCTCTCCTTCTCTCGCTCTTCCTCTTTCCCTCCTTCTGTCTGTTCCAAGGATGTCCTATGTCCCTAAGCTTCTGCATAGCCTCGCTGACAATGTTTTTCGGCACAGGAACAGAGGCCGGATGTTGGGCATGTGCCGTGGCAGTCACCGACTAGCCTCTCTGGCCAGCTCTCATGTCAGCTTCACGCGGTATGTGCTGATCTCCATTGGTTTAAGGCTGATTTCCTCTCTGCTCCACCTTCCCTCAGTCGTATGCATCAGAGTCAGAGACACGGGGATGATGCTCTGGAATCTCAGTTCTGAAAACAGTTTCTCCGTGTGGATCTGTGAGAGAACCAAACCAAACATGAACAATGACGTTATAACCGCATGTTTGAATAGAGAACACATTATAAAAGGGGTTGATGGATAGGTTTAATAAAAGTATTTGACGCCTGCTTTGATCATGATGAAATATCCTATTATTTTAGAATATATTAATAGGCTTATTAAGTATACTGAACAAAAATATAAATGCAACATGCAACAATTTAAAAGATTTCACTGAGTTACAGTTCATTTAAGGAAATCCTCATGACGCCAGGACAGCGGAGTCACTCACCACCTTCCGGAGACACTTGAAACCCCACCTCTTTAAGGAATACCTGGGATAGGATAACGTAATCCTTCTACCCCGACTTACCCCACCCCCCAAAAAATAAATAAATAATAATAATAATAATAATAAACTATTGTAAAGTGGTTGTCCCACTGGCTATCATAAGGTGAATGCACCAATTTGTAATTCGCTCTGGATAAGAGCGTCTGCTAAATGATGAAAATGTAAATGAAAATGAAATCAGTCAATTAAAATACATTTACTAGGCCCTAATCTATGGATTTCACATGACTGGGCAGGGGCGCAGCCATGGGTGGGCCTTGGAGGGCATAGGCCTACCCACTTGGCAGCCAGGCCCACCCACTGTGAAGCCAGGCCCAGCCAATCAGACTGAGTTTTTCCCCACAAAAGGGCTTTATTACAGACAGAAATACTCCTCAGTTTCATTAGCTGTCCGAGTGGCTGGCCTCAGACGGTCCCGCAGGTGAAGAAGCCAGATGTGGAGGTCCTGTGCTGCGGTTGTGAGGCCGGTTGGACGTACTGCCAAATTCTCTAAAACGACGTTGGAGGCGGCTTATGGTAGAGAAATTAACATTAAATTATCTGGCAACAACGGTGGACATTCCTGGAGTCAGCATGCCAATTGCACGCTCCCTCAAAACTTGAGACATTTGTTGCATTGTGTTGTGTGACAAAACTTCACCTTTTAGAGTGGCCTTTTATTGTCCCCAGCACAAGGTGCACCTGTTTAATGATCATGCTGTTTAATCAGCTTCTTGATATGCCACACCTGTCAGATGGATGGATTATCTTGACAAAGGATAAACGCTCACTAACAGGGATGTAAACAAATTTGTGCACAACATTTGAGATAAATAAGCTTTTTGTACATATGGAATATTTCTGGGATCTTTTATTTCAGCTCATGAAACATGTGACCAACACTTTACATGTTGTGTTTTAATGTTTGTTCAGTATATACAGCTCTGGAAAAAAGTAAGAGACCACTGTAAAATTATCAGTTTCTCTGGTTTTACTATTTATAGGTATGTGTTTGGGTAAAGATAACATTTTTGTTTTATTCTATAAACTACTGACAACATTTCTCCCAAATTCCAAATAAAAATATTGTCATTTAGAGCATTTATTTGCAGAAAATTACAACTGGTCAAAATAACAAAAAAGATACAGTGTTGTCAGACCACGAATAATGCAAAGAAAATAAGTTCATGTTCATTTTTAAACAACACAATAGTAATGTTTTAACTTAGGAAGAGTTCAGAAATCAATATTTGTTGGAATAACCCAGATTTTCAACCACAGCTTTCATGCGTCTTGGCATGCTCTCCACCAGTCTTTCACATTGATGTTGGGTGACTTTATGCCTGTCCTGGCGCAAAAATTCAAGCAGCTCGGCTTTGTTTGATGGCTTGTGACCATCCATCTTCCTCTTGATCACATTCCAGAAGTTTTCAATGGGGTTCAGGTCTAGAGATTGGGCTGGCCATGACAGGGTCTTTATCTGGTGGTTCTCCATCCACACCTTGATTGACCTGGCTGTGTGGCATGGCGCATTGTCCTGCTGGAAAAACCAATCCTCAGAGTTGGGGAACAATGTCAGAGCAAAAGGAAGCACGTTTTCTTCCAGGACAACCTTGTACGTGGCTTGATTCATGCGTCCTTCACAAAGACAAATCTGCCCGATTCCAGCCTTGCTGAAGCACCCCCAGATTATCACCGATCCTCCACCAAATTTCACAGTGGGTGCGAGACACGGTGGCTTGTAGACCTCTCCAGGTCTCCGTCTAACCATTAGACGAACAGGTGTTGGGCAAAGCTGAAAATTGGACTCATCAGAGAAGATTACCTTACTCCAGTCCTCTACGGTCCAATCCTTATGGTCTTTTGCAAACCTCAGCCTGGCTCTTCTTTGCTTCTCATTGATTAAGGGCTTTTTTCTACATTTACATTTTACATTTTAGTCATTTAGCAGACGCTCTTATCCAGAGCGACTTACAGTTAGTGAGTGCATACATTATTTTGAAATTTTTCATACTGGCCCCCCGTGGGAATCGAACCCACAACCCCGGCGTTGCAAACGCCATGCTCTACCAACTGAGCTACATCCCTGCCGGCCATTCCCCCCCCTACCCTGGACGACGCTGGGCCAATTGTGCGCCGCCCCATGGGTCTCCCGGTCGCGGCCGGCTATGACAGAGCCTGGATGACAGAGCCTTCTAGCTTTGCACGACTTCAGCCCTGCCCCTAGGAGCCTGTTTCGAACAGTCCTCGCCGTGCACTTCACCCCAGCTGCCGTTTGCCATTCTTTTTGTAGGTCACTTGAAGTCATCCTACGGTTGTTGAGTGACATTCGAATGTGTTGGCGGTCATCCTGGTCAGTAGAGAGTCGTTTTCGCCCTCTGCCGGTCTGTAGCTTTGTTGTCCCCAATGTCTGCTGCTTGACCTTGTTCTTATGAACCGCCGTCTTTGAAATTTTAAGGATGGAAGCAACCTGACGCTCACTGTATCCCTCTGCCAGTAAAGCCAGAATTGAAACCTTATTTTCCTCACTCAAAACGTTCCTTTTCAACTCTTTTGGCATGGTCAATAGTTATTTTTTGATTAATATTACTTTTGAGGTACTATTAGCACAGTTTTTGCCATCCAGCTGGTCCTATTGCAAGAGGATAGTGATGACCACAGCAGTGGTTTTTATACTTTTCCTTGTTAAATACGATTTGGTTCATGTGATCACCTAATCAGTACCTAACTCAGTAGAATGAGGTGTGCCTGTGTTGGAATTCAACTGACACTGGAATGGAATGGCTGTCATACATGTAGAGATGCTGATTTAAGAAAAATTTGCAGTGGTCTGCAGTGCCAGGGTCAACAGAGATTTCACCATCTACTCTAGCCATTTTGTAATAACAGCCTACTTCCTCTTGGAGAGAGATAAGTATTCACTTAAACTGATGATGGCTGCATTATAGTAGTTGTCATCAGAAAGCGAGGAAATGCAAGAAAGACATTTCCCATTTCCCAAGAAAGACATTTCCTTCCTCGCAGCAGATTCTCTGTGGCATGTGACTCTTGATCCGCTTTGCTAGAGGGGAAGTTAATTTCTGTTCAAAGACCAATAGTACTACAAACTGTTTGAATGAAGAGCATCACGTGCAACTCTCCTTTTAACCCTCAGGTTACAATTCCCTTTAATCACTAATTAATAAAGAGTGTTTGGTGACCACTTTAATTTTGGTGTTTGTGTGCGTGTGTGTGTTTGTGTGCATGCATGCACGGATGTCTCTGTGTGTGTGTATGCCTGTGCCTGTGTGTGTGTGCTCCTGTGTGTGTTAGCGTGCCGACATGTGTGTGGCAGGTTTACCTTCCCCTGCGTGGTGGCACACAGTAGCCCTGTGTTCCTATTGGAGAAGGCGCAGTCAAAGCCTTTTCTGTGCAGAATCAAAGCCGCCTCGTCCGATGGACCACCCCCGTCCTCCTGTAGGGCCAGTGACAAACGCTTCAGTCCCCATAAAGACCCCCACTGTCCCCCCCCCCCCGCCCCCCTCCCCCTCAGCCTCAACACTGGAGCAATTATAGAGACCACCCTTTCACAGGTCAGCTGCATTTCCACAGCCATGTTCAAGGAGCTGATTCTGAAACAGACCTGGGTTCACATACTATTTCAAAACATTTCAAATACTTAATCTGTGCTTGATTGAGCTTGTCTGGCTTAATGGACCAATAGAGTAGTTCCAATACTGCAAACCGTCCTATCTGGAACTCCAGTCAGGCGAGAGCAAACACTCAAGGTATTTCAAAGATTTTAAATCGTATTTAAACCCAGGTCTGAATCTGAAACAGGGTAACTACTGTAGTTTACTCCCTGACAGAACAAGTCCAAGTCAATTTCATCCTCCCTCCAGAAATTGTGTTTCTTTTACATCCACAGTCCCTGGCTAAGTAAATGGAGAGATGCCACAGTGCATACTAAGTGTGGTAGCAGTAGCGGCAGTGGTGTCATCATGTGAGTATTCATATAAATTCATACAAAGCCCTCATCTCTAACACATTTCACGTCTCCTCTTTTGATTTGTTCTTAGAGTCAAATTGGATGTCAGAGCGTATCTTTACAATCGATAATTGAGCAAATTGGTCTGCAGATTCCCCTTCTCAGCGGAACAATTAGCTCGATCTTTGACATGAGAGATGGCTCTATCATCCGAGTTAACGGGCCATGCGACAACAAAGTAGGAGATTATAGAAGATGTACAACACAGAGATGTAGTGTATTTACAGAGATAATATAAGGACCTTAATGGAGAGCCCCTGGAGGAGTGCTGAGTGTGTGTTTGTCCTAACAAACAAGAGATTAAACCAGGATTCCACATTGGTAGATTTAAATCAATACAGCCAGGGAGGATCTTAATAAAAAACATGACTATGAGAACACAGCGGTACAGTCATCACTTCAGAAAACTTGGTAACTCTTAGTCTTTCTATGAAGTTGCTCCAGTGTAGTAACCCTGTAACTACTCTAGTAACATTGTATTAACATGTTATTACATAGTTATTCAGTATTTACATACAGTAGCAAATGACCTGAGCGTTTTTTGTTGCTAGCTACATATTTGGAACGGTTCATGTCTCAACTCAATGAATATGCAAGTACAAAGCAATGATTAAATCACTACGTAACAACATGTAAATGTAATTGCAATTAAAGCGTTACTACACAGCTATAAGAGCAACAATGTAAAGCATAAGCTTGATGCGGCCTTATGCTCCACAGGGAGAAAAGAGAAGTGAGGAAGTATTCTGTAGCATTACCTTGGACTGGATGGTGCGTAGGTTGACCAAGTGGACATCACAGGGCAGGGATGAGGCCAGCGGGCTGAAGGCGGACAAGGACAGGGACTGTGCCTCCGTGCTGACAGCCATGGAGATCAGAGGGTGGTTCAGGTACAGCGACAACGCGTGACTCAGCAGAGACGGGTAGCTGAGGGACGAGGGTTTCTCCCCCTGGAAATATCAAAGTAGAGACAGGGACGTTAGGACAATACTCTGGGGCAAAAGAGACAAATTACCATAATGTAATACATGACAATGTTTTAACCCTAATGTCTTAACACTATAAATGATGAGAGCGTCATGTGGACGCAAAACAAATGTACATTTTGTATTACTCTGCCATTTTTAAAGGCATGAAGAGATGGGAACAGCTTGGAATTGACACAGAGGCAGGGAAATCCTAGTCACATGCAGGTAATAATAATAATATGCCATTTAGCAGACGCTTTTATCCAAAGCGACTTACAGTCATGCGTGCATACATTTTTTTTTTGTGTATGGGTGGTCCCGGGGATCGAACCCACTACCTTGGCGTTACAAGCGCCGTGCTCTACCAGCTGAGCTACAGAGGACCACAGGTAAGATGTTTGATTTATATATAGTATCAGAAAGAGCAGATTATGCCATTTCTAAAACACTTACCTTTGTCAAATAACTCTCAAAATTCAAGAGCTGAGCTCTATTTCAAAGTATGACTTTTTCCAAGAATATCCGCTGTTCCATTCGTTCAACACATGATCACTCGCGGCAGCATAGCTCAGCCCACTAAGCAAAGACTAGTAATACAACTTAAAATATGTTATTCTGTTCTTTTGAAAAACATTTTCTTATTTCCATAAAATTTCTTAAGACCTGCCAAAACAAAATTCTAATGGGTTTCTTTGTGATGGATTTGACTCTTGAATTGTGGTGTTTTAGTGTTTTTTCCATATAGCCTACAGTAACATAACCTAATGGAAATGCTATTATGTTCTTTGAAATAATTGTTATTTCGTATTATAATGTTACCTTAATAAACACAATCAAAGGCTACTTTTTCCGATAGCATATATGGAATGTATTTCTTAGGCTTTTAGAATGTTGACGTCCAAAAGACGCATCATTGGCTAGAAGCGGGGGCCCTCGAGGCCTTTCTAGTGTTAATCAAGTCTCCATTATTGACCTTAAAGTAAGTGAACTTCAGTAAAACTACAGTAGAACTACAAACTACAGTAAGTATGAAAATGACAAAACGGAATGTGTAGTGAGCTCAATTCAATCTCAAACTTCAAACTCCTGTTGTAAGTACCACCTCGGTCTTGGCCCTCTTCTCCAGGAGCAGGCGGAAGGAGCTGGCAGTAACTTTGTTGTCCAGAACACCCTGGCCCAGCCCGCGGTTATCATCCTGGTTCAGCCGACGGTCCATAATCACCTCCAACTGGCCTGGAGGGGAAAGGTCAAAGGTTATCTTCATAAATATTTTGATATCACGTTGTCTTCTGGTCACATAAGATAAATTCATCAAAGTACAGAACTTTATTTTTTTTAAAGCTTGGCCAGAAACAGCAAGATAGAAACTTCACTCATTTTAAATCAAGTCGTACTGTATCTCCCCCTCTTTTCACATCCCGGTGCCTTAATTGGGGAGGACAGGCTTGTGTTAATGGCTGGAGTGGAATGGCATCAAACACATGGGTTCCATGTGTTTGATGCCATTCCATTTGCTCCTTTCCAGCCATTATTATGAGCCGTCCTCCCCTCAGCAGCCTCCACTGGTACACAGATGGCAAGCTTAGAATCGAGAAGGGATGTCATCTTTCCCGGAGACTTGAAGTACTGACGCCCTTCCAATAGACAACAGAAAACAAATTCACCGGCTTTCACTCACCACTCTCCAGGCTGGCGGAGCCCAGAGACTGTGCAGTGAGCAGGGTCAGTCTGGTGCCGGGGTCCTGGATGTAGGCCATACTGGTCATGGGGTAGAAGTTGGCTTGAAGGGGAAGCTTGGCCATGGTTCTTCTGGGCTGGATCTGCAGACAACATACATAGCATGGTTACACAATACCCACGCTTTATACAGTGACGTCCTATGGGCTGAAGCGCAATGAGCCTTGACGTGCAATGCGGGTACTTGAGAAACAAGAGTGCTATGACATAGCATCAGGAGTACTTCCTGACCATGTGACCTGACCAGGAAAAACTCAGAGCCCTAGACTTTAACGAAGACCTAGAGTTTGTCCTGTAGGGAAAAATTCATGGCCCCACGCATACTGAATCACCAGAGAGCAGGTGTGTTGAGTGGGATCTTTATCTTAAGCCGACGAGTTTGTTTTGACTACAATGGCTATGGGAAGCTGTTCAAGTATGTTGTTGTTTTTAATTTGCGTGAAGCATTGAGTTGTGTTTCATCTCTGATGGCAGTAAATCCCTCTTAATCCCTGAAATCAAGGTCAGACTGGCAAAAACATGCAAATAGAGATTGCGAGAAAAAATTGCCTCTCTCTAGAAATATGGCAGCCTATCTAATTGGCAAAGGCGCTCAAACACTGATCTGTCGGAAGATTCTCCCGTGAACAAATTTTTATAGTTTCAGCTTTTGTTTTCAAAACTTTATGTCATGACACAAATTGGAAGATTTCAATGAAGTCCCTTCTGGGAACTTGAACAGCTAATATACCCCCATTCAGCTAGTTTCAATGTAAATTTGATGTCAAGCTAATGCTACAAAATAGCCATTTCTATCATAGTTAATTGCTAATCATGTCATAATTGTCCAAGCACAAGCCAGTTCAGAAGCAAGAAACGCAGTACTTCTTGTGTTGAAATGTGTGACAGTAGCTGGTACACTGCAGAGCTCTGGGCTATAGCTAGTATCCATGGTTCTGTTTTCTATGTTGAAGTGCAACTGGATAGACAGGGTCCGGGCTTCAATTGTCCATTCCTACTATCAGTTCTAATTCAAATGTTCCACCTTGTGTAAGGTTGCTTCTTTCACTATGTGGTCTTTGCCCTCGCTTTGTATGTGTGCTCTTGTCCAGTGTATTCTTCACTCAATGATTTTGTCAGTATTGTCACCTGCCCTCTTTCAGGTAACTTAAAAATCATACTACAGCACTCGAAGAGCCATTTGACTCTAAGAATAAATAATACATTAATTGTACAGCTGTGACCGATTAACCTGTACACTTATCCTTCAGTGTGTACGAAACAAATGAACATTCTCTCATTGAATGATCCGAGGGCACTGCAGTACCTGAGTAGAGATAGTGGTAGTGAAAAAGAGAGAGAGTTAAAGAGAGCGAGAGAGAAACAGAGATCCGTATCATACAGTAACCGTACCTGGAATCCGTTGAGGTCTGTGAAGAATTGATCGTTGCTGTCCACATCTGATGTTAACCTCATTGCAATTTCATGGTTGAACTCCCCCCTTATATCTACCAAGTTACAGATCTCCACCGCCTGGCCCTCTACACCTAGAGAGAGAGACAGATACAGAGAGCGAGAGACAGAGAGAGCAAGAGAGAGATACAGAAAGACAACTCAATCATAGAGGTTACACTGAACACCCGCTATGCTGTGGTCTACAAGACCATCGCCAAGCAGCTTGGTGAGAAGGTGACAACAGTTGGTGTGATTATTCGCAAATGGAAGAAACACAAAAGAACTGTCAATCTCCCTCGGCCTGGGGCTCCATGCAAGATCTCGTGGAGTTGCAATGATCATGAGAACGGTGAGGAATCAGCCCAGAACTACACGGGAGGATCTTGTCAATGATCTCAAGGCAGCTGGGACCATAGTCACCAAGAAAACAATTGATAACACACTACGCCGTGAAGGACTGAAATCCTGCAGCGCCCGTAAGGTCCCCCTGCTCAAAAAAGCACATATACAGGCCCGTCTGAAGTTTGCCAATGAACATCTGAATGATTCAGAGGAGAACTGGGTGAAAGTGTTGTGGTCAGATGAGACCAAAATCGAGCTCTTTGGCATCAACTCAACTCGCCGTGTTTGGAGGAGGAGGAATGCTGCCTATGACCCCAAGAACACCATCCCCACCGTCAAACATGGAGGTGGAAACATTATGCTTTGGGGGTGTTTTTCTGCTAAGGGGACAGGACAACTGCATCAAAGGGATGATGGACGGGGCCATAATAATATAATAATAATATGCCATTTAGCAGATGCTTTTATCCAAAGCGACTTACAGTCATGCGTGCATACATTTTTTTTGTGTATGGGTGGTCCCGGGGATCGAACCCACTACCTTGGCGTTACAAGCGCCATGCTCTACCAGCTGAGCTACAGAGGACCACAAGTCATGTACCGTCAAATCTTGGGTGAGAACCTCCTTCCCTCAGCCAGGGCATTGAAAATGGGTTGTGGATGGGTATTCCAGCATGACAATGACCCAAAACACACGGCCAAGGCAACAAAGGAGTGGCTCAAGAAGAAGCACATTAAGGTCCTGGAGTGGCCTAGCCAGTCTCCAGACCTTAATCCCATAAAAAATCTGTGGAGGGAGCTGTAGGTTCGAGTTGCCAAACGTCAGCCTCGAAACCTTAATGACTTGGAGAAGATCTGCAAAGAGAAGTGGAACAAAATCCCTCCTGAGATGTGTGCAAACCTGGTGGCCAACTACAAGAAACGTCTGACCTCTGTGATTGCCAACAAGGGTTTTGCCACCAAGTACTAAGTCATGTTTTGCAGAGGGGTCAAATACTTATTTCCCTCATTAAAATGCAAATCAATTTATAACATTTTTGACATGCGTTTTTCTGGATTTTTTGTTGTTATTCTGTCTCTCATTGTTCAAATAAACCTACCATTAAAATTATAGACTGATCATGTCTTTGTCAATGGGCAAACGTACAAAATCAGCAGGGGATCAAATACTTTTTTCCCTCACTGTATGTACAACTGCTTTTCAGTTGATTTTACAATCAGTGGTGTAAAGTAACTTACAGTTTTTCTGAATTGCTAAAACACTAAACCCCATTCTCTGAACCAAATGCTCAGTGGCCTAAACCCATTTGTCAAATCAGTCAGTCTTTTTGCAAAACTCTAAACACATTCTCACTCACTAAAACACATTTCGCACTGTGATGCACTTGTGTTACAAAATGGTAAACACAGGTGGCAAAAGTTAAACACAACTACAACACAGTTGTCATCGTTTACACACAACCACTCCAAATTGTTCACACTTGTTTCTAATGATGTGATCAAACCAATTGTACAGAATATAAGCCAGTTCAGAGTGCACAGGTGGCACAGGTGGCACAGGTGCGTTGGATGTTGATACCAACAATGGATGGAAACAATCTGAGAGGCAGAGGAGGAAGAGTACCAGGACGAGGACGAGGAAGAGCAAGACCATGAACAGTAATTTCAGAAGAAATTCGAGCAACTGTGATAGACCATGTTGTTGTTCATGGAATGACAATGAGGGAAGCAGGACAAAGACGTGATGCTGAGGCAGAATGAATCTCTCATTGACTTTGATTTCGCAGTTGCACAACATTTTTGAGTGTACTGTAATGTGCTTTTCATTTAGAGTGTTCTTGTTCTTTGGGCTTTTGCAGTTGGACTACTGTATTTTCATGCAAGTGCTGAATATACTGACATTCAATACTGTATTACTTGCAGTACTTACAGTATACAATATATTCACTGCACTAAGTTGTGATTACTATCCTTTTTGTTTTAATTGCTAAATGCATTTACTATATACAATAAATAAAAACATCTGTAACTACATTCCCTGGACGCTGTGTTCTCCATTTTTTTATGTAGTGTCTAATGAACGCTCTGTAGTGTTTGAAAAGCATTGTTTGATTTTGAGCACAGATTAAATGGTTTTGAGGCGATTGTTTGATTTTGCCATAAGAGTAAGGGGTTTTGTGAATGTAGTTTGAAGATTTGGTTTTGTGTTTAAAGTTTTGAGAAAATGGGTGAAGGTTTCAAGAAATGTGTCTTAACAATCGAGAAAAACTGTAAGTAAAATAATAATAATAATAATAATATGCCATTTAGCAGACGCTTTTATCCAAAGTGACTTACAGTCATGTGTGCATACATTTTTACATATGGGTGGTCCCGGGGATCGTACCCACTACCCTGGCGTTACAAGCCAATTGAGCTACAGAGGACCAAATTACTTTAAAGTACTACTTAAGTCGTTTTTGGGGGGTATCTGTACTATACTTTACTATTTATATTTTAGACAACTTTTACTTCACTACATTCCTAAAGAAAAGAAAGTACTTTTTATTCCATACATTTTCCCTGACACCCAAAAGTACTTGTTACATTTTGAACGCTTAGCAGGACAAGAAAATTGTCCATTCACGCACTAATCAAGAGAACATCTCTGGTCATCCCTTCCGCCTCTGATCTGGCAGACTCACTAAACACAAATGCTTTGTTTGTAAATGAGTGTTGGAGTGTGCCCCTGGCTATTGATACATTTTAAAAACAAGAAAATTGTGCCGTCTGGTTTGCTTAATATAAGTAATTTGAAATGATTTATACTTTTACTTTAGATACTTAAGTATATTTAAAAACAAATACTTTTAGACTTTTACTCAAGTAGTATTTTACTGGGTGACTTTCACTTTTACTTGAGTCATTTTCTATTAAGGTATCTTTACTTTTACTCAAGTATGACAATTGGGTACTTTTTCCACCACTGTTTACAATTGTAGATGCACGCAGGCACACACCCAATTTCCATCCTTACCTTGAACGTTATACAGGCGTAGAGTGTGCGTCACGTGATCGAAGTTAGTGGTGATCTCAGAGAACACAGATCCTTTGGTTACCCGTATCACTGGAGGCCGGGCGGGAGTGTATATCTGGAGGAGAACAGAAAATCAATGGGAATCAAATCACTCCTAACACCATCTCCCATCCATCCTCTGCCAATAACACCTCCTACAGAGAGCATGATGGTAAGGGAGCACAAATAAGAGAGGAAGGAGAGAGCGGGAAACTGGGGGAGCAGAACAACTGTAAGAGCTGAAGCCTTTCTTCTTCACAGGGTTTCAGTACAGCTGCAATGATACACGTTGACAAAGGAGCATCAATCACGTTGAATAAAGTTGTCAGGTTACCTTGGCTTCCCCGTCAGGCAGGAACAAGTAGGCTCCGCTTTTATCTCGGTTGCTGGTTGTGCCGTACCACGCAAACTCCACCTTGATCTGGTGTTCTGAGCCGTCCTCTTTCAGCTTCAATCTCTGAGGGTGTCAGTCAGAAGAAAGCGGGATTCAAGACTTACATCATCACCATTACACTGACAGTTTGGCATCAATGATGAGAGCGAACCGAGCTACCGATATTATAATAATACACCTACTGTATCGTGTGTTGTTGTAGCTGAGGTGGTTTAGTGAACAATGTGATGAGCTTGTGTGATGAGTAATCTTGCCTGAGACTGGAAGGCTCGTATGACCTCCCAGAACTAATGCCTAGGCTTTAGCTCAGAGGAATAAGGTAGTCTTGTGTCACACAGACAACCCTGGTTTGATACCCGGTCAGTCCCATTGACAGTCTAGAAGTGTGATATATTCCATGCAACCTTTCAGTGCAAAGCCCTATGGGTCACAGTCATTATACACTTTATGATTCTGGTTCAATGCCCTGCTGTGTAGTGCTATGCTTTACAATGCTATGCTGTGTTATGTAGTGCTATGCTTTACAATAAAACGTCTGTGATCTGTACTATGCTTTTCTATGCTGTGCTAAGCTTTGCTATCAGGGCATAACATTTACTTTTTGGTCCACCAGCCACTGTGGCAGGTAGATTAAAAAATCTACAAGCCACTCAGATTTTTTACCAGCCAAAATAATTTTTTTACCGCTAACATTACACCAACAAAACACAAAAAAATGATGAGCATGCTTTGTAATGTTTCTAAAACAATACATGTATTACTAGTAAGAAGTAATGTGTATATTGTTTCATTTCATTTTTTCAACCATAATATCCCAGATGAGACAAAAAGTTTCACCTGCCCCTTTAAGGGCGGGAGGTTACCGTGGCAGCGTGAATCCAGTCATGTTTGTGCCTGTGACATTGAGTCTGACTAGTAGAAGCGTTGTCTTCTCTTCTCTAGCGGTTGAAACGCAAACATAGAAAAACGACCTAGCTTGTGAACAAAACAATGTAAATAGCCAAGAAACACAAGGACAAAGTCTCACTTCAGTAGACTTTAGTTTAAAGTAAATTAGACCAACTTGTATCCCTGTGCGCAGCGCTACTAAAAATGAATCTTTCACTCAGCTCTTCACGTGCGCACAGCACCCAGCCAGGCAGTGTTGCAGCACGAGGTGGAATAGGTTATATAGGATATGTAGATCTTTGACTTTGTGCGATTAATTTACCAGCTTTGTAACAAAATGGCAGAAATACTTTGAAAACAGCTACTACAGCATTTATTTTACTATAAATGTGAGTGAAATGCTCGCACTGTGGTTCCCTGACCACCCGCCAACATGGCTGGTGAAATTGACATTTTACACGCCAATGCCAAAATCTACCCGGATTTGGCAGGTGGCGGTGTGTTAATTTTAGGCCCTGTTTGCTATGTTGTCATGTGCTAAACTTTGCTATGCGTGCTAAACTTTGCTGTGCTAAACTTTGCTAAACTTTGCTATGCTGTGCTACGCTATGCTAAGCTTTGGTATGCTGTGCTATACTATGCTATGCTTTGTTATGCTGTGCTGTGCATGGCTTACCTCCATCAGGCCGGTGGTGGGGGAGCTCCAGACCTGGAGGTGGGGGTTGTGGATGGTGAGGGGGGTGGTGGCGTCCTGGGGGATGTTGACGGTAAAGTGCTTCATGTTGACGGATAGTTTGCCGCCTTGCCTGAGGAAGACATACTCCGCCGTCTCCGCCCCGCCGCTCGCAGCCGTACTCAACTGGTACAGCCCAAGACCCAGCGCTGGCACCTGAGCTACGAAGGACAACTGCCCCCGAGAGAAAACACCATAACATGAGATAATGTGAGAAGAGAACATAAACAACAGAAAACGTTGTTTTCACTACGAACTGGTAATACATTGGTGATCAATCTCTAGTCCAAACTGAAAAGACCACAGCTTTGGGTTTCTGCATCCATACACAGACTTGTCTGATACTGCCTGACACTACCTGATACTACCTGCCTGATACTACTTGATACTACCTGCCTGACACTACCTGATACTACCTGCCTGATACTACCTGCCTGACACTACCTGCTGATACTACCTGATACTACCTGGCTGATACTACCTGCATGATACTACCTGATACTACCTGATACCACCTGCCTGATACTACCTGATACTACCTGCCTGATACTACCTGACAGTACCTGATACTAACTGACACTACCTGCCTGATACTACCTGATACTACCTACCTGATACTACCTGCCTGATACTAGCTGACTGATACTGTCTGATACTACCTGCCTGATACTGCCTGATACTACCCGATACTACCTGCCTGATACTGCCTGACACTACATGCCTGATACTAGTGTTGCACAGTATACCAGTACCACGGTAATATCACGGTGCCAAAACGTCATGATACTTATGACACCAACATTTTAGAATACCATAGTACCGTTTCATATGATACTACCGACTTTTTCAGCCCTACCAATCTAAAGAACTTGCTGGCGCCTGTTATAAAATGTTTATAAAGTCAGTTTTATTTATAAAGTCAGTTGAATTTAAGCAACAGCCACTAGTCTCTTGTATCCGCAGGTCCAATAATACCCACTTCACTTTCACGCGCATATCACCTGTGGCAGCTATAATTAGCCAGCCGCATCCCCTACCAGCCCCCACTCACCTGCTTCTCTCCGTCCGCTCTTCATGCGTGTCTATTCCTCCGTCAGTTTAAAAAATATATAATTTAGCCGTGATGGCGAGCGGGGATAAAGACCCAGACCCTGATGAGTCTTTTTACATTCGTACATTTGTTACATTGGAGCAGCGTGCAAAGTGAGCAATGTTGTTGATACATTGTATCATTTAATCGCCTATTATAATCAAGAGCACAGACCAGTCTGAGTAGACTTTGCAAGTTCACTGCCATGCAGCCTCTGAGTGTCAGAGAGGGAAAATTGAGCTTTACAGCAAAGAAAGCAGCTTGTCTCTAGCCTAAAAGGTTCAAAGAATATGACCCATATTATATCACCTCATATTATATTACCTCATATTATATCTCCCATATTATATCACCCATATTATATTACCTCATATTATATTACCCATGTTATATCACCCATATTATATCATCCATATTATTTTACCTCATATTATATCACCCATATTATATTACCTCATATTATACAGTGCCTTGCGAAAGTATTCACCCCCCTTTGCATTTTTCCTATTTTATTGCCTTACAACCTGGAATTAAAATGGATTTTTGGGGGGTTTATATCATTTGATTTACACAACATGCCTACCACTTTGAAGATGCAAAATAATTTTTTTTGTGAAACAAACAAGAAATAAGTCTCTTGGGGTATGTCTCTATAAGCTTGGCACATCTAGCCACTGTGGATTTTTGCCCATTCTTCAAGGCAAAACTGCTCCAGCTCCTTCAAGTTGGATGGGTTCCGCTGGTGTACAGCAATCTTTAAGTCATACCACAGATTCTCAATTGGATTGAGGTCTGGGCTTTGACTAGGCCATTCCAAGACATGTAAATGTTTCCCCTTAAACCACTCAAGTGTTGCTTTAGCAGTATGCTTAGGGTCCTTGTCCTGCTGGAAGGTGAACCTCCGTCCCAGTCTCAAATCTCTGGAAGACTGAAACAGGTTTCCATCAAGAATTTCCCTGTATTTAGCGCCATCCATCATTCCTTCAATTCTGACCAGCCCTGAACTGTACTTCTCCACAACTTTGTCCCTGACCTGTTTGGAGAGCTCCTTGGTCTTCATGGTGCCGCTTGCTTGGTGGTGCCCCTTACTTAGTGGTGTTGCAGACTCTGGGGCCTTTCAGAACAGGTGTATATATACTGAGATCATGTGACAGATCATGTGACACTTAGATTGCACACAGGTGGACTTTTTTAAACTAATTATGTGACTTCTGAAGTTAATTGGTTGCACCAGATATTATTTAGGGGCTTCATAGCATAGGGGGTGACTGCATATGCACACACCACTTTTCAGTTATTTATATTTTAGAATTTTTTGAAACTAGTAATTTTTTTCATTTCACTTCACCAATTTGGACTATTTTGTGTATGTCCATTACATGAAATCCAAATAAAAATCAATTTAAATCACAGGTTGTAATGCAACAAAATAGGAAAAACGCCAAAGGGATGAATACTTTTGCAAGGCACTGTATCACCCATATTATATTACCTCATATTATATCACCCATATGATATCACCCATATTACCAGAGATGCTTCTTTCTTTCTATCGGGATTTGCGCGCATTTTAAATAATTTCACAAACAACGTTGTTCAGCTAACAATCTAGTAACTTCACAGTAGGTTTAGCCACATTTGATTGGCCCAGGTAGAAAGGAAAAGGTTCTGCTGCTTATGAGATGTGCTTCAAAGGTAGGATTCATATAGGCCTAATGGAAGGCTAAACTATATCAACAATCTATTTCTTTCCGGTGCTCCTTAAATATTTTTTGGTGCCTAATGTTATAAAAGTTGGGAGCAGTGTGTGTATGTGTGTTTGTGGGAGAGAGAGTGGTGTGTGTATGAGAGAGAGGGAGACAGTGTGTGTGAGGAAGGGGGGGAGAGTGTGTGTCTGTGTTAACTGAAGAGTAAAGAAGGTTTCATGCAGTCTTTTCCCCTTACTGACACAATGACATGCAGATCATTATGCATGTATATTCCTTCCTTCCATTCCTGCACCCAAATCACAGGTAGGCCTTTGCAAATATGAGCAAATCAGCCATTCTATGCAGTATTCTATTATACACTGAACAGTGTGAAGTTAAATTTAGTGTGTTGTATTGAGTAGAAGTTGTGAATTTCAGTGACAGGTTTTTGGAAAACGTTTAGAAAACGTGAACAAGCATCCGGGATGGGGCGAACAGGATGCTAGGTCAAGGATTTCTTTCCACCGTGGTATCCTGATACTACTCGGTATCGTGATACTTGGCCCAGTATCGTATCGTTTGTAAAATGTTGGTATCGTGACAAGCCTACCTGATACTGCTTGATATTACCTGATACTGCCTGATAATACCTGATACTGCCTGATAATACCTGATACTGCCTGCTTGATACTACCTGATACTGCCTGCTTGATACTACCTGATACTGCCTGCTTGATACTACCTGATACTGCCTGATACTGCCTGCTACTGCTTGATACTATTTGATACTACCTGATACTGCCTGATACTACCTGATACTGCTTGATACTATCTGATACTGCTTGATACTACCTGATACTGCTTGATACTGCTTGATACTACTTGATACTACTTGATACTGCCTGATACTGCTTGATACTCGTATTATCATTCATGAACGTATCTGAATTTGAAGCAAAAAATATATTGATGTAGGGGATTAACCTGGATAAATAAAGGATATTAAAAATAATTGATAACAAAACAATCTCACAGACAGTCATACCTGGAAGGCCTCTGTGGATGCTGTGGTGGAGTCGTCCCAGACCACGCTAACCTGAGCGGGGACGGGGTGACCGTGGTCCGTGACCACACGCAGGTGGGGCGTGTTCACATACACGGTCACCACTGACGTGCGGTCCTGCTCCGTGGGGTTGTAGACGACCACAGACCTGAGGGAAAAAGAGCAGTTGGTACAAGCTGCTAATGTTTTGATCTGATAAGTCTGAAAGTACAGACACATATCCAAACAAAACTGTTCAACCTGACCAGACTATAACTTCCTGTACTTTTTCTAAAACATATTTGGAATATGAAAGGGGTCATAATATCAGCCAGAATGTTGTGAGGGAAAAGGAGGACGGCGACATACCTAGGCTGTGAGCTGATTTTCAGAATGGTTTTTTGAGGCAGGGCATCTTGAGCAGGCTGGATGTCATCCTGAGAGACATTTGCATGAGAGTGAGTTGATTTGCAAAATAACACAAATCTGGTGTAGCTACAATTATTTGAGACACATTTGAAAAATGTATTTAATTTTGTTGTTGTGGTATTGGCTGCCGCTTTTGGGAATATATGACGCTATTTAAGCGTCTAAGGCTCATTCACTTCCTAATACAAATTTCATTAGGTTTGGGTGAGTGAGATTCATATCAAGCGTCTTTTCAGCTGCTGTAGCAAAACGAGGAAGTGGAAGAGGTTACATTGCTCTGAAAATTGATGTTGACTTCCTGCCTGGGCAATTTGCATATTAAAATCCTGATGTTGTGCTTCCTTGAGGGATTTTGTCGAAGGTAGGGTGTGGTAAATAAACATTTCAAAAGGTAGCTAACTGCATGCACTTCACTCACTGTACCACCACCATCAACTGTCACCCTTTGAAAATCAATCTACTATCTGAAAATGTTGCTATGCACAACCAACACCCTTGTTTCAACACCGAAATTAAAACACCAAAGCTATTTTTACTCACCATTTGAAGAAAGGCCTTTGACGGATTATGACTGTATGCACTTTTGTCCTTTAGCACCAGCCAGTGAGCGGAGTTGACAATCACTTGTTTCAAATTAAAAATGGAATGAAACAACCTGAGAAGAGAGAATTGTTCTTAGTAAATGCCCAGAGGCTCAAAGCTCTGAGTCAAATAGTGTTTCACTTTCATTCAAACAATGTCTACGTCCCGACACTGGATTTAATCACTAAACCATGTCAGTGCAATCCATTTAACTCGTGATGAATCAGTGTGTCCATGTCTACACTGCATCTCTCCCAATCAAATAAGACGATGAAAACAAATAAAACAAGTAATAAAACAGAGTGATACCTGGTACCGTAGTCGATCACCACCAAGTCCTTGCCGGTGCCTGTGATGGCGTCATGGTGCTGGAACAAGCCCAGGTTCCTCCTGGCTTCAGTGAGCAGTCTGTTGTTCTCCACAGCTGGGAAATCATTCAGCTTCCCAAACCTCTGAATATTAGCCAGGGTCAGGGAGTAAAGGATCTCAGCTGCCCTGAAGGACAGACAAAGGGAATAGTTATTTTCTTCACATGAGTTTGCCTTTCCATGGCACCAAGACAAAGATAGACATGGGTCGTGTTCATTAGGTAGAAATGATTTAAACGGGGAGGTGGCATGTAATTTGAATCTGAATCTGAATTTGACCAATAAGAACACATTTTTTCCCTGTTGCAAAACATTTTGCTACATCGTGCACTCCTGAACACGACCCATGTTCACTCATTTCAGTGCATTCAGTGAAGTGAGAAATAGTTGTTGATATATGGGTTCATCATGGACCAAGAGATAAGTAAAGTACTCCAAATTGACTACAGTTGGACATCTCCAGTATTTGACTGCAATCAGAGTCTCAGCTTGTGTTATTGAACCCATTTAACCCCGAACTACAACAATGAAAACTGAGCTGCTCGGCTCACAAAATAAGAGATTTTCTCATTATCCCTAAAGTATCAAGGAAAACAGCTGGCAGATGAGGCTTTTCTTAAACTACTCCAGCCTTGTGAAACAAACTGTTAGTTGCTATCAGGGAATCAGAGACAACCACTGTTACAATTTCTAACAGCCCTGCCACTTGTTTTGGTATAGAGCTGAGGGATGGAACTGGAAGAATCAATGTAAGCACTCTTAAAGCCATAGGACAGTTTTTTACTACTGTGTATCTTGTTTACAGCTTTTTCTCTCGATATTTGATTGCGCATCTTGATAATCGTACTATGTCCTATGTGTCTGACTGTGTCCTTCTAGATTGACAATAGCAGAGCAACACCTCTTGATTGTGGCAGTATCTCTAAGAAAATCATGTTTTAACACAAAAACCAAAATATTTGATCAATCTAAGGACAATCATGTACCTATCTCTAAGTCTTTGAGCAAGAACAGGACTGGGGAGCCCTAGGATTTCAATGCACTGACTGCATCTTGAGAGCTTCTCACATAAAACAATACACTGAGGCGACTGACCCAAATGCACCGTATAAAAAGCCAATAGTTCTGCCTCCTTTCACAGAGAAAAACATATTTACAGAACGAGACAATGACCTTGAAGGGAACATCTCTTTCAGAGAATTGAGGAGGATAGCAGGCAGACGTACATCTATACCACATACTGTGCACAGTCCTGTTTGCAGCTTGAAAGCAGTCACTGGTTGAGTGCCAAGACTAATTTAACAACTGTTTTGTGATTAGCCATCTCCCTTCCTATATTTAGACACCATCAAATGCAAATACGGTCATGTGTTTGAAGAAAATCCACGAATCCATCCACACAGTATCTGTTGGTGTACTGAATCTAACAAAAACGTATTTCTGTTATGAAGTTGAACCATTCAAGCATAACAATAGATATTGGGACCTCAGCAGGACAGAACAGATTCAAAGTTCAAACGGATTTAAACTTTCTCTGCTGAAACTTTTCTCATGTGGTCTTTCTCTGCTGAAACTTTTCTCACGTGGTATTTCTCTGCTCTGGGCAATGGTGTGTGAGATGCTGTGTGTATTTGGGGTTCTGGAGTTTGGTCTGTAATGAGGGCTGTGTCTGTGGGGGCTCACAGTGAGACAGTCTGTGGTGGAGAGGGGGGGACCCCAGTGTTGAGGCCCCAGGGCCCTACCTGTGCTGCTGGTTAAAGGCTTTGTAGACACTGGGGCCTGGGGCAGGGGAGGAGACACTCACTACTGCTCTACTACTGAGTCTGATCAAAAACAATGGTGCACGCACACACACACACACACCTCTCATCCACAGTCATCTCTGTGTGCTTAGTTCCTGCACTGACCACTTTGACACTCTCACACCAGGGATCCTGTTAGATTAGGCCTTTATCTCAACAGTCAAAACAAAGGAAATCGATACCTGCTGAGAACACAGTTCTAAACACGGTGACTGAGGGTCTTTACCCCGTATCGGTAGAAAGTAGCGAAACTTTTGGCCAGAAGTTTGGGTACCTGGTAATTTTAGTTGTAGAAGAAACACTTGACTAGAAGATACCAGGAAGACTAGCGGTTGCCAAGGCGTCAGTTCATGGGGAACCAAATAAAGAATACTGTAACCCAATCAAAGACATGGTGAAACTAATCCACTGTGCATTATAAACAGATCATTGATTGGAGAAATTTTTATTTTTTTACATTTGAAGCGACTGAGATAGCCCATAAATAAAACGTGAATAAAAACCACATCTCCAACTGGGCCTGATTATAAAGGCTTGATTAAAATAATATGATTGTTGAAAGAAAAAATTGCATTTTTAATTACATGTTTCTCACCAACTACTCTTGCATATTGATGAATATAAATCCAATAAAATAGTCAAGTTAGGTCTTCTCACTGCAAAGTGTTTGCCACAGTTGATGAAGAAAGAAATGAAAGACAATCTAATGGTCCACCATCTAGTAACCTCAAACACTGATCAGACAGACTTGACTTGAATACCTTTTTAGTTAGCACTAGCCTTTATCCTTCATTCACAGTCACGGGGGGGGGGGGGGGGGGGGGGGGGGTCGTTGCCTTTGATCCAGTCTGTTTCTTTCTTTAGTAAAGGTTTGTTAGATTCATTTGTATTTTAAGAATAATGACTAAAGGATTTCACCCCAAATACAGTATAAATGTGTGAACGGTGTTAAGAGTTATAATGTAGTGGCAACCCACTAACAGAGGGGGGCGGGACTAAACATTCCAGGGTGAAGGGGACTGAGAAAACGGGTAAAAAAAAGCCTCCTAAAGGTGGGCGGAGCAAAGTGCCTTTGTGTGTCAAGGGGTATAAAGCTGTATGTATGGGTTTTGGCGGCAGAGCTCTCCATGATTAAAAATACAGATCATTCTTGCTGGTTGTGGACCTTGAATCATTTATGATTAAAACCATAGCCTTACAACCCCTGGTAATGATTCAAGCTTAGGTTGAATTAGAGATAGAAATTGACAAGGTTTCTGTAGCAAGTTATTGTTTATGTGGTGGGGGAGTTAGCCCCATGCACAACCCCCAACCTGCAGGGCCAGAGACTGCTTGGTCTGCCTCCTACCCTTCAACCTGTCTGGCTTGGTTGCACCGGCTGGGGGTTTAAGAATAGTTAATAGTTAACAATAGTTATTAATCAATAGTTACATATCGCGATATTATTTTGGACAATATTTTATCGATACTTTGACTCCAAGTATTGATTTGTAAGGCAACGTTAGCTAGGTAGCGTTAACTAGGGCTAGTCGGCTGTAATTTTCATCCTATAGCTTGTTCTTCTACACAAAACATTAAAGCAATTGTCTGAGGATGATGCTTGACCATTTGAAATAAAAAGAAAACGGGACAGTTGGATGAAAAAGCTTTAAATAAAAGATGAAATCCAGGCATGACACATGATTGCGCAAAACACAGGGCCCTAGATGATGACTGTTATGGGAGTTGACCGCTATTCACATACATAGACAGGGTCTGTAACGCCAGCGGGATCTCTCTCTGCATAGATAAACAGGGTCTGTAACGCCAGTGGGATCTCTCTCTGCATAGATAAACAGGGTCTGTAACGCCAGTGGGATCTCTCTCTGCATAGATAAACAGGGTCTGTAACGCCAGCGGGATCTCTCTCTGCATAGATAAACAGGGTCTGTAACGCCAGTGGGATCTCTCTCTGCATAGATAAACAGGGTCTGTAACGCCAGTGGGATCTCTCCCTGCATGCGTCTTCTAGGCGTAGATGACATGACTCTACAGTCTAGGACAGGGGTGTCGAACAGCTTTAGCCCCGGAGGCTGCATTCATCCTTCAACAATTGGACCCTGCCCGCGGGCCATATGTTTGACACCCCTGGTCTAGGGCATTGCGTTAGAAGACATGCAGGAAACTGACAGTTCATTTTGGGTTTACTTGCATGTAGTACCATGTAGCTCATTTTAATTTACTTTACTGAAATGCTGTTAATTTAGATTTTAGCAGACGCTCTTATCCAGAGCGACTTACAGTTAGTGGGTGCACACATCTTTCATACTGGCCCCCGTGGGAAACGAACCCACAACCCTGGCATTGCAAGTGCCATGCTCTACCAACTGAGCTACAGGGGACTATGTTTTTACGTTTGCATTCGTTTCATTCCCTCATTAGTGTATATACAGTGCCTTCATTAAAATTAATCACAACCCTTGACTTTTTCCACATTTTGTTGCGTTACAAAGTGGGATTAAAATGAATGTACGTTTTTTTTTTATTCAACGATCTACACAAAATACTCTGTAATGTCAAAATGGAAGAAAAATGTGAACTTTTAAAAACATTTATGGAAAATAAACACAAATATATTTTGATTAGATAAGTATTCAACCCCTTGAGTCAATACATGTTAGAATCACTTTTGACAGCGATTACAGCTTTGAGTCTTTCTGGGTAAGTCTCTAAGAGTTTTGCAAACCTGGATTGTACAATATTTGCCCATTATTATTTTAAAAAATCTTCAACCTCAGTCAAGTTGTTTGTTGATCATTGCTAGACAGCCATTTTCAAGTCTTGGCATAGATTTTCAAGCCGATTTAAGTCAAAACTGTAACTAGGCCACTCAGGAACAATCAATGTGGTCTTGGTAAGTAACTGAAGTGTATATTTGGCCTTGTGTTTTAGGTTATTGTCCTGCTTAAAGGTGAATTTGTCTCCCAGTGTGTGTTGGAAAGCAGACTGAACTAGGTTTTCCTCTAGGTCTTTGCCTGTGCTTAGCTCTATTCCTTTACTTTTTATCCAAAAAAACTCCCTAGTCCTTGTCGATGACAAGCATACTCATAACATGATGCAGTCACCAACATGCTTGAAAATATGAAGAGTGGTACTCAGTGATGTGTTGTGTTGGAATTGCCCCAAACATAATGCTTTGTATTCAGGACAAGTTAATTTCTTTCCCACTTCTTTTTGTAGTATTACTTTAGTATATTTTTGGAATATTATTATTCTGTTCACTCTGTCATTTAGGTTAGTATTGTGGAGTAACTACAATGTTGTTGATCCATCCTCAGTTGTTTCCTATCACAGACATTTAACTCTGTAACTGGTTTAAAATCACCATTGGCCTCATGGTGAAATCCGGTTTCCTTTTTTTCCCTTTACCCATCAGCCAATAGGTGCCCTTCTTTGTGAGATATTGGAAAATCTCCCTGGTCTTTGTCATTGAATCTGTGCCTGAAATTCACTGCTCGACTGAGGGACATTACAGATAATTGTATGTGTGGGGTACAGAGATGGGGTAGCCATTCAAAAATCATGTTAAACACCATTATTGCACACAGAGTGAGTGCATTCAACTTATTATCTGACGTGTTAAGCAAATCTTTACTCCTGAAGTTATTTAGGCTTGCCATAACAAAGGATTTGAATACTTATTGAATCGAGACATTTTAGCTTTTCATTTGTTATTAATTTGTAAAAAATAATAAACATAATTCCACTTTGACATCATGGGGTATTATGTCTAGATCAGTGACACAACATCTAAATGTAATCAATTTTAAATTCAGGCTATAACACAACAAAACATGGAAAAGGTTAAAGGGTGTGAATACTTTCTGAAGGCACTGAGTATACCAAACATTAGGAACACCTTCCTAATATTGAGTTGCCAAGAAACTGTATATCCCCCCTACCTTGTCACAACACAACTGATTGGCTCAAACGTATTAAGGAAATAAATTCTACAAATTAACTTTTAAGAAGGCACACCTGTTAATTGAAATGCATTCCAGGTGAATACCTCATGAAGCTGGTTGAGAGAATGCCAAGAGTGTGCAAAGCTGTCATCAAGGCAAAGCGTGGCTATTTGAAGAATCTCAAATCTCAAATATATTTTGATTTGTTTAACACTTTTTTGGTTACTACATGATTCCATATGTGTTATTTCATAGTTATGATGTCTTCACTATTATTCTGCAATGTAAAACATAAATGGGTAGGTGTGTCCAAACTTTTGACTGGTACTGTATGTATGTATGTATGTATGTATGTATGTATGTATGTATGTATGTATGTATGTATATGTATATGCAGGGGCGGTGTGTTCATTAGGGCGATATGGGCGACGCACTGCCAAACGGGAAAAGGAAGGGATTTTTTTTCTAATCAATTATATCACGGCAACAGTAGTTATCAGTGTTCTAATCTAGACGTCTGATCTGCCACTAAATGTCCAATAAGGCTAAAGTCGTGCTTCAAATGGCCCCGCCCCTTTTGGGGTGATTTCAGTCAGGTTGAAAATCGCCCAGGAGTCTCTCATAGACTCTCATGTAAAATCTTTTTTTTTTCAAATATCAGAGCTTTCAATACAATCTCTATGGGTTCCGGGAGGGCTTGCACTTACGCGCTTTCGTCATACGTAACAAAAGCTCCTGCTTGCTTGTTGTGAATTATGCTCAGGTGCACATATTTCCAATTCAACCATGAGGCCTTTTTGAAGCAAGTAATGTGTATATCAGTATTGACTTATATGCTGCCCCTGTCTTCATGTTGTTGCTGGACATATCTTTTTTAAAATGTGTGTAGGTCACCTAAATCATCAGAAAAATTGCCCCCTCTGAGAATTTTTTCAGGAGCCGCCACTGTGTATATGTATATGTATATGTATATGTATATGTATATGTATATATATATATATATATATATATATATATATATATATATATATATATATATATATACACACACACACACACACACACACACACACGTTCAAAAGTTTGGGGTCACTTAGAAATTGCCTTGTTTTCGAAAGAAAAGCACATTTTTTGTCCATTAAAATAACATCAAATTGATCAGAAATACACTGTAAACATTGTTAATGTTGAAAATGGCTATTGTAGTTGGAAACGGCTGATTATTTATGGAATAGGCATACATAGGCGTACAGAGGCCCATTATCAGCAACCATCAGTCCTGTGTTCCAATGGCACGTTGTGTTTGCTAATCCAAGTTTATCATTTTCAAAAGCTAATTGATCATTAGAAAACCCTTTTACAATTATGTTAGCACAGCTGAAAACTGTTGTGCTGATTAAAGAAGCAGAAGCAAAAGCTGATTAAAGATAGCCCTATTTGGTAAAAGACCAAGTCCATATTATGGCAAGAACAGCTCAAATAAGCAAAGAGAAATGACAGTCCATCATTACTTTAAGACATGAAGGTCAGTCAATCCTGAACATTTCAAGAACTTTAAATGTTTCTTCAAGTGCAATCGCAAAAACCATCAAGCGCTATGATGAAACTGGCTCTCATGAGGACCGCCACAGGAATGGAAGACCCAGAGTTACCTCTGCTGCAGAGGATAAGTTCATTAGAGTTACCAGCCTCAGAAATTGCAGCCCAAAAAAATGCTTCACAGAGTTCAAGTAACAGACATCTCAACATCAACTGTTCAGAGGGGACTGTGTGTATCAGGCCTTCATGGTCGAATTGCTGCAAAGAAACCACTACTAAAGGACACCAATAAGAAGAAGAGACCTGCTTGGGCCAAGAAACACGAGCAATGGACATTAGACCGGTGGAAATGTGTCCTTTGGTCTGGAGTCCAAATTTGAGATTTTTGGTTCCAACCGCCGTGTCTTTGTGAGACGTGGTGTGGGTGAACGGATGATCTCCGCATGTGTAGTTCCCACCGTAAAGCATGGAGGAGGAGGTGTTATGGTGCTTTGCTGGTGACACTGTCTGTGATTTATTTAGAATGCAAGGCACACTTAACCAGCATGGCTACCACAGCATTCTGCAGCGATACGCCATCCCATCTGGTTTGGGCTTAGTGGGACTATCATTTGTTTTTCAACAGGACAATGACCCAACACACCTCTAGGCTGTGTAAGGGCTATTTTACCAAGAAGGAGAGCGATGGAGTGCTGCATCAGATGACCTGGCCTCCACAATCCCCCGACCTCAACCCAATTGAGATGGTTTGGGGTGCCCAGCAACGACTCTAGTCTAGATAAATAAATCATCTATGTTGCTTGGTCTATTGTTTGGTCAATTGACAGCTAAATTGGCATTCCCTCGTGTACACTGCAACCTTAACCAGACATCCAATCCAGTGCTTACGGTGATTCACTTTCTATGTTGAAACTGTACACCTTTTACAAAATAAATGTAATCTGTGTTGGATGATTATTGAAATGAAACAATAAGTTGCAAATAAGAAATAACGAAGGACCAATAAGTTGCAGAAAAGAAACTGTATGTGCTCCTACCTGAGGTGTGACTCCAGCAAGCGGTCCAGGCGTTTGTAGAAGGGTCGGGAGGTGAAGTAGCCGCTCCAGTAGTGGTCATCTCGGTCTGCGTATGTGAAGAAGTCTCCGCTGACCACCGGTAAAGAGGGACTATCGTGACCGGGGTGTATGGCCGACTTACGAAGAGCATTGAAGTAATCAGAGATGGTGCCGAACTGAGCCTAGAACAGAATACGTCAGTTGGAATATAAAGCAAATATATGGTAGAGTACCTGAGAGACAAACTTAAAATAGATCTATCAATAATGTAGGGTAGTTTATGCTGTAGGGTAGTTTACTTTTCTGCTTTATTGAGAGCAGTGTACTATTGCAATAGCTGGACACAAAAAAATATTTCAAGAAGGGCAGGAACTAGGGAGCCAACAAAACACACCATTACACTATCGGGCATCAGTCATTCCAATTATGCGCTGCATCAAAACCTTAAACCCCACCATCTTCCACCAATGCAAACTCAATAAACCTGAAATAAAGCTGGCAGCCGGAAAGGGAAATGGCTAAACAAAACTCCACTCCTGCATATTCACGCAACATTCCAGTGCCCAAGTCACAAGTCACAAGTCAGACCTTGACATGTAGTTCTAGATGAGAGTTCATGTAGTCAAAGAGCTTCTGGTAGTTCTGGAACTGCTGGTCCCACTCCAAGGCCTCTGTGTAGCGGAAGTCGTCCCCTAGGGGGACCATCACAACCTTGGTTCGGAACAGCTTAGACTTCTTCCTGTACTGGTCCAGCAGTATCTGAACCCTAGGGATCATGGGAAAAAGAGTTGACTACTACAACGGATTCACAATTTCTCATGACATATTAAGCTGTAAATGTCAACAAAAATGTGTGTGTGTGTGTTCGTGCATTGCGTGCGTGCACACATGTGTGGAGAGGGGTTGCTTGTGTATTTCCATATGTTACTTTTTAGACTTTTAATGCCTCCCAATTCACTAGTCCAACCCTTGTCCATCTGCCTCTATCTGTTAGGGCCATGTTGTGTAATCAGACAACAAGGGAACACTGGGTGCAAACAAGTTCCTCTTGGATTTGGTACTGTGTCAGAAAGTCCACTTATCATCACAGCCTTCTGTTAGAAAAATAAACTATCTTCTGTTAGCAAACAGAGGGCATATGAAATTCCTATTACCACAACAGATTATCCTACAGTGGCATCAATGTTTTATCTTGTTCATACAACATGTTTCATCCTTGTCTATAACACCATCACACTGAGGACACCATAACACGGAGACACCATAACATCATCACCATGGAGAGAATGTGGACTGTCTGTTTACCACATAAACCAGTGTTTGTAAAACTTTTCTGTACTAGGGAGAGGCAAGCCTTAAAGGCAAGACTTAGTGACCTGCTTTGCTTTTGTCGTGTTTCAAAGTCAAGTTTTTGTTTTTACTGTGAGCCTCAAGCCAAAGACAATTTCCTGCCTCATGTAAATGCAATGGGACAATAAAGATTTTTGAATTTGAATTTTGTATTTCACAGCCAAGTCCAGTGGTTATAGCATAATAATAATAATAATACAGTATATATCATTCTCATTCCATTTCTATCTGATTGGTCACCTCTGTTGTACGTTCCCATCCGTGATTGGCTGAGGGGGGACCCTCCAGGGACAGCTGACCCGCCCACCAGGAAGTCTTTTGAAGTCAAACTGGCAGCAGATCTTGGGGTCGGGACCACACGTGTGGGGAACATCGTAACTGTAAAAGGGCATCATGTGGCATAGAATGTCTGTGCTGGAGGCTGGGTCTGCAGACAGATAGAACATGAAATAGAGCATTCTGATATTTCTTCATTTCCTCAAATTTTCTTTTTTGGATGTGTGTATTGTTTTGTATTGTTAGGTATTACTGCACTGTTGGAGCTAGAAACATAAGCATTTCGCTGCACCTGCGATAAAGATATGTGTATGCGAACAATAAAATTTCATTTAAAATAGAATAAAATAGAATATTAAAATAGAATATAGAATAGATGTATATTTTCTTACGGGTAATTAATGTGTGGTAGTTGCATTTGACAATACAAAGACAACATTTCAGAACGTGGACTGTAAACATATAGCTAGCATGTGATTACATTTCTATCTCAAAGAGACTGGCCATGGCATGCATGCAGTATTCAAAAGTACTAACATTTATACCTTATTAGAAATAACAACTCATGCCTGGTCGATGATAATTACATAAAATAACTTTGGTGGATATAATCTGATCTGGCATTGAACCGATGACTAATTGGCTATGGCCAAGAGAGAAATCCTATTTGTCCAGCAGTGGAAGGGGTCCACTTCCTGAGCTAGAGCACCCTGTCATCTCCCACATTGCACGTTTCTAGCCATGCTCTCTACTATGCCACAGGATGTCTGCCTCTCAAAACAACAGCACAGAGAGGCGTTTCCAACCACTACATCAATGTGGGTTTTCCATGACATGTATTTGACCCCGCATTTGGTCAATTCCATTTAAATTCTAGTCAATTCAGAAAGTAAACCAAATTCCAATTCCAAATGTTCCTCATTGAAAAGTATTGGAAGAGAAGTGGAATTGGAGTTGGAACTTTATTGTACTTCCTGAATTGACTGGAATTGAAATGGAATTAACCCCAACCCTGAAGAGAATATAGAGGGTGAGGAGCATACAGACGATAGTGTTTAGAAATCTTATGTAATATACTGTATTTTAATGTTATTTGACCAGTATAGTGAGTACGTTAGGTAAAATAACATTCTGAGACCAACTGACTGTTATTCGACTATTCCTTCAACTTTCATTTCATTTAAGTCTTCCAACTTAAAAACCACAAGACCTTTACTCATGTAGATAATATATTTGTATATTTCAAAACATTGTCCAGAGACTAAGCTATATCATTAGGGTGTGTATCCCCTTTTGGCCATGTGGTGCCATTCTACCAGTATGGCCAACAAACTGTACTCTACTTTGGCATCAAGAAGTACTCAACTCAACTCTATAACACTGAGAATAACATAAAACACCATAAGAACAGAGCACAAACGGATCTGATCTTTCATCAGTCTGCTATTAAATAATCATAACAGTATTTGATAATTATCCTGACGTAAATAACAACTTGTACAGACAGATGCTCTCTTTGGCATTGCAGACGATTTCGGCGTCTGTCTACCCAGTGAAAAGCATTAATGAGTACTTTATAATTTGGCTTAGGAGTTCGAGTAGTCACACGTTTTTGGACAAAACATCTGGGGGATGGTTGGCTCCATCATGGCTGCATGGAACCACTAACTAACAATGCCTGTTCTGTTACCAATTGCTCCCTGTCACACACACACACATACACACACCCTCTAGTCATGAGGCTGTGGTCTACATTCTTCTTATCAATCAGCATGCTCATCACCAAACCAAGGTTCAAAATGTTTTTCTTTCCTACTGGCCTGGTGCAATGGAACCAACGGAATTGTTGCAAAAGTGCAAACCTGCCCATCTGGCACTCCGATCAGGCTCAATCAAATGCAAATAGAAAGGAATCAAACCCTATTTGAACCCAGGTCTGTTCATTACATGAACTACCAGCCAGACATGTTTAAGCCATGCAGGCCTCAGTCCATACAAGGAGAATCCCTTATACCACAGACGCTATAAGATGAGACCAAGCACAATCAGAGCCTTGAGAGAGGAGCATGCCTTTCTATATGCTTCTCGTGTAAGGCAGGTAGCCTAGCGGTTAGAGCGTTGGGCCAGTAACCAAAAAGTCGCTAGTTCTAATCCCAGAGCCAACAAGGTGAAATATCTGTTGACATGCCCTTGTGCAAGGCACTTAACCCTAATTGCTCCAGGGTCGCCGTTAATAATGGCTAAACCTGTGACCCCACTCTCCGAGCGTTTCTCAGGGGGAGTTGGGATATGCAAAAATTATCCAATATACACTTGCACATGTGTTAAATAGGACTAATAAAAGCACTCAAACTATTATAATTATCTATGGACATGAGAAATCCCTCTGCTGATAGTCTGAGCGGCTCAATACTGAAGGCTGTCGCTTATCCTAGCGCTGTTAGTTACACAAGCTGACTGCCCAGAGTTCAACACAGGGCATCAAACCATCCACATCATCTGTCACACCAAATATGTACAGGAATTGGAAGTAGCTGGAAGGATTTATTTTCTACTGACTACATGAGTATGTACTAGTCACTCTGAGGTCATGTTCTTTTGTTTCTGTCCATCGACTTACAGTAGAACTAGGACTTTGAATATGCTAAATGCTTAATTTAATGGGTAAGATAGTACCTGAACCACTGAGAACAGAAGCGTGAGGACTGGATCTCTGGCATGTTGAATGCTACAGTAGTGTAAACACTGAGCAGTGTTTTCCCTACAATTGTATAAGTGAGGTGGGCCCCCTTTACCTTGCTCTTTCCCTCTCATTGAAAAGAATAGGCTTCAAGTGATACTACTAAAGAGGCAATGGATGTTTATTTGGGCCTTTTCACCCCGCCTACAAAACAATCTAGCTAGGGGAAACACTGACTCTTGGAGAGCCACAGGGCTACATAAGTCTGGGTACTTGCCCCAGTTCTGTCTCCAAAAGAACTCCAGGGTCTTCTGACTGGCAAAGTGTTTCTTGACTGAGTAGTGCACCCTCTGGATGAGCATGTTGTCCAGGCCAGCTTGTTTCAACAGGTACGCCTGGGTAGGGGAGTGGCCAAATGGATCCACAGCCCAGCCCGTCTGGGGTTTCACTCCTAGCAGGGGAGATTAGAGGGAGAAGTCAGGTTCATGCAGAGGAGGTTGACAACAGTCCTCCTTTTTTTGAGGAAAAATTATAAACATTAAAAAACAATGAAACATGATGTAAAAATATCCTTGAAATAAACATCTGTTACACAGGTCATCCCATTGGCTTAATTAAAAAGTTCTCTCTCTCTCTCTCTCTCTCTCTCTTCTCTCTCTCTCTCTCTCTCTCTCTCTCTTCTCTCTCTCTCTCTCTCTCTCTCTCTCTCTCTCTCTCTCTCTCTCTCTCTCTCTCTCTCTCTCTCTCTCTCTCTCTCTCTCTCTCTCTCTCTCTCTCTCTCTCTCTCTCTCTCTCTCTGAATGCTGGGCTATGAAAAGCCAACTGACATTTACTCCTGAGGTGCTGACCTGTTGCACAATCTACAACCACTGTGATTATTATTTGACCTTGCTGGTCATCTATGAACATTTCAACGTCTTCAACAACGATCAGGCCTTAATGGCCATGTACTCTTATAATCTCCACCCAGCACAGCCAGAAGAGGACTGGCCACCCCTCTGAGCCTGCTTTCTTTCTTGGTTTCCTCCTAGGGTCCTGCCTTTCTAGGGAGTTTTCTGCATTGCTTGCTGTTTAGAATTTAGGCTGGGTTTCTGTATAAGCATTTTGTGACATCTGCTGATGTAAAAAGGGCTTTATAAATAAATTTGATTTGAATTTATATATAAATCACAGTTAAAATCTCTGATGGTTAAAGTGTGCCAATCATTTTGAATCATGCAAAAATAACCAATATGTTGTGCTTGCCAACAAATGTCATTTTTATGATCTCCTTCCAGATAACAAACTCCTGATATATTATGCACTCACCCACATTTCTCTCCAACCATTGGTGTCCCTCCAATAGCTGGTCAATTAATGCAAAGTAATGCGAGTTGGCTTCATCAGGCATCACCCAGCCTCCCGTTGTTATCTCCAACTGGCCTTGCTCAATCAGACTAAACAACATAGAGGAAAATTATCAATCAGGCTCTCAGACAGTCAGCTCAGTCAATTACCGTTTCATAGCTCAAAGCCAAAATGAAAGAAAAAAAAGCTATACAAAAACCCTGCAGCTTTATGAATTTATGAGCTTATTTTTCCATACAGAATTGTAGGTAACACTTTACCGACAGGTATAATGCATATTAATTGTTTTAAAAAATACCAGATTCATGGATGTTATATGGTCAAGAACCTTATGACATGATAATAAGTAGGATTGCAAAATTCTAGTAACTTGTCCAAATTCCCCGGTTTTCCAGAAATACTGGTTGGAAGATTCCTGGAATTAAAAGGGAATCAGCAGGAATACAGAGAATCCTCAAACCAGGATTTCTGGAAAACAGGGGAATTTTGGGAGAGTTACCGGAATTTTGCCACCCTAATAATAAGACATTCTAAAGGTGTCATACATCTTAGGGTGTGTTTGTAAATTCACTCTGGAGTGCCAGAGTGCGCTCTGGGCGTTCATAAATTCAGAGCGTTATCAGATTGTACGTTTGTAAATTCTGAGCGTTTCGCTCTCGGAGCGTTCAGAGCACACACTGGACGCTCTGGTCGCGGAGTACGGTTGATCCGAGCGTTCTGACCTCACAACGGCAGTCAAGCACCCAAGCTAACTGGCTAAAGTTGGCTAGCTTGCTAGCTCCTTCCAGACACAAATGAGAGGACACCTCACTCTGACCATTTTACTCACCCTAGCAGAGCTGGTTAGGCTGTTTTCATGTTATCTAGAGTGACTGTAAATGTGCGGCTGGCAACAATTTAATTACGTTTTTTTGCAGACGTTTACTGACACCGGTCATGTTCAGCGGGTGTTGAGCGTTCGTAAATTCATCAGTTATTCTGCGCTCTGGCACACTCAGGCGAGAGTGCTTTGAAATCGGTGTAGATAGCCAGAGTGAATTTACGAACGCACCCTTAGCTGTACGAGACATCAACTCATGTGTGGCTGAGAAAGAAATCAGGGCCCTACTTATTGCGACAATAAGAACCATCTTCTCCTCTGTAGCGGTTGAATTATCTTACTCCCAAGTCCAAAGAGTAAAATCAACCACCTCAGGAGTTACTCCCATCTCTTGTTAGGACAGGAAACCTCTTGCCATGATTGTGATTCAGCATCTTTTCTCTGTTTGCCGAGCATATTTCAATTGCAGACTTCCCTAACGTATCCCTGGCGAGCCCCTATAATAAGAGTATGGAGCATCAAAACAAAGTAAAACGACTCAGCAATTTTCGTAACATCAAGTTGAAATTGCTCTTTATCTTCTCTCCTTGGAAATGTGATATTTCTCTGGCATCATTCAATCACCAGAAGGTTTCTTTCATTGTTCTATGATTGGACAGGTGGAAGTGGTGTGTAGTGTAGGTCTGTCCTGGTGTTGAAGAGTTGGAGTGGTGAAAGCAGGTGCCATCTTCACTGAGCAGATATCAACACTGCATCCTAACGAGGATGGATGGACGCGTCCCTTCTACAAACCAAAACACGCCGCTCAAAAACATGTTCCTTTCCAATTCTAAAAGTGTGTTCTAAAGAATTAATGAGGTCGTTTGTTTGAATTTCTCGAGCGATGCTTCTCCGTGTACTGTAACAGGGAACATTTTATCATTAAGCGCCAGACCTTCAATTTGCTGACATAAAATTAAAACCTGCAAAGAAAATAAGTTATTACATAAGCAACGACACTCTTCAAAAAAGAGTAAACACTGAATATTCTCCAAAAGAAGGAATGGATCTGGTTTGCTTTGAACTCCCTGCGCATCAAATCAATAGTGAATAAATATTAGTGTTAGATCTCCCTCCATCCTTCACCTTAAGGCTGTTTGCTTGTGCTCCTAATTAGAATTCTAACCTGCAGCTGAAATGTTTATTGCATTTCATACACAGTTTGTGTATCCCCCAAGGCTAGCTGCTGAACCCTACCCGTCAGTAGCTCGTCGTGAGCATGGCCAATGCACACAGCATTTGCACACAGCATTTGTGACACCCTGCTTCTTGCTTTTGGGGCAGTTTTCTGAAGTGGTGGAACAAGCTCCCTCACGACGCCAGGACAGCGGAGTCACTCACCACCTTCCGGAGACACTTGAAACCCCACCTCTTTAAGGAATACCTGGGATAGTATAAAGTAATCCTTCTACCCCCCCCAAAAAAAGTGGTTATAATAATAATAATAATAAATAATATGCCATTTAGCAGACGCTTTTATCCAAAGCGACTTACAGTCATGCGTGCATACATTTTTGTGTATGGGTGGTCCCGGGGATCGAACCCACTACCTTGGCGTTACAAGCGCCGTGCTCTACCAGCTGAGCTACAGAGGACCACTGGCTATAAGGTGAATGCACCAATTTGTAAGTCGCTCTGGATAAGAGCGTCTGCTAAATGACGTAAATGTAAATGTAAGTGGAGAACCCTCTGAATCCCCCTCCATGTCACTTCCAGAGAAACCCCTGACTGACAACCATTACATCCCCAAGGGGACAAAGAGTGAGGCAGAGTGAGAGAGAACATGTGTTAACCTATGTGCCTCTCACAAACAACATTTATTTGATGACCTCAAGACCATTTGGAGTCAGTTTGGCTGGTTAAGGCAATTTAAACCAATTTACTCCTGTTACCAGGCAGAGTAAAGAATCGTTGTACTGTAAACTGGGATGCGCCCATTGATTTACCTGGACATATAACAACCGTTTTACGTTGTGGTGTTGTTGATTTAATTTATCTACATCTTCCCCACTTGGCACAGATGTCAGTTCAACATCTAGTTTTGATTTAGATTTGGTTGAGTTGTCAACTAACGTGAAATCAACAAAAAATATAACCATGTCATTGGATTTAGGTTAAAAGGTGGGTGAAAAAAATTGGAAATGCCCTGACGTTGATTACTTTTTTCAAATCCAATCAGTTTTCCACGTTCATTCAACGCCATCACTAGACTTGGGCGATATACCGTTTATACCGTATACCGGGGTATTTTGCCTCGCCGCGGCTGCAGGGCTGCATGCTATGCCACTTCTTATAACTATACACGGAGTGTACAAAATATTAGGAACACCTGCTCTTTCCATGACATAGACTGACCAGGTGAATCCAGGTGAAAGCTATGATCCCTTATTGATGTCACCTGTTAAATCCACTTAAATCAGTGTAGATGAAGGGGAGGGGACAGGTTAAATAAGGATTTTAAAGCTTTGAGACAATTGAGACCTGGATTGTGTATGTGTGCCATTTAGAAGATTTAAGTGCCTTTGAACAGTTTGAGTGTGTCAAGAACTGCAACGCTGCTGGGTTTTTCACGCTCAAGTTTCCTATGTATCAATAATGGTCCACTACCCAAATGACAACCATCTAACTTGACAAAACTGTGGGAAGCATTGGGGTCAACAGGAGCCAGCATCCCTGTGGAATGCTTTTGACACCTTGTAGTCCATGCCCTGATGAATTGAGGCTGTTCTGAGGGCAAAAAGGGAGCAACTCAATATTAGGAAGGTGTTCCTAATGTTTTGTACACTCAGTGTAAGTTAAGTATAACTGTAAGAAATCTAAGATGTGTCAAATAAATAATATCCGGCTCAGGGCTCCAGCTATGCATTTGGTTTGCTAACTTGCTAGCTAAGTGTCTAGATGTCAAGATCAAGCTTCTTGGTTACAGCAGAGACATTCAATCCCCTCCTGGATCAAGATCCCTGTTGCCTAAATTGTTTTGTGCATCAAAAAATCTTGTGTGCACTTCCAGTAATACCGTATACCCCGGTATGGTACAGAAACGGTATGACGGTATGAAAATCTGGATACCACCCAACCCTAGTTATCACATAGAATTTTGGGGTTGAAATGACGTGGAAACAACGTTGATTCGACCAGTTTTTGCAAAGTGGGTCACTTCTAATTTAATTACATTGTTTATAAACCCTATAAAACCGCTAGCCCTAAGCAAGGTTATGACCTTGTTTTAATTCAAATGGGAATAACAAAGGAGCTTCGGAATCTTATTGCAAATCCACTGAGGAATTAGATTCCACGTTACAGCAGCCAAACTATATCAACAATACAATAACATAATCCATAAGTGATTTGCTGCTCATATTCATTTCAGTATCACCTTGAAGCTAGAATGACAGAGACAGACAGACAGACTACCTCTTGACAGCATCTCTCTTCTGGTCGTCGATGTTGTCCCACCACTTGGAGAAGTAGGAGATCTCGGACCAGATCATTTTCCTGCGGCTGTCCTCGTGGAGTTTCACCACCATGTTGTTCAGGATGTGCTGGGTCTGGTCTCGGTAGTAGTCGTCAAACGTCTTCAGCCATCCTGAGAACGTACAAATGGACAAATATGACAAAGTGGTAGAGCATTCATTACAACTGTAGACTGTCTGTCTGTCTGCCATAGAGTCAATAAACTGAGTCAATAAAGCCATCATCATCAGGTGAATGAGCAGAACATGTGGTTCAATCAATATGCCACATCCATTGATTTCACAACATAATGTCATCATATTTCCAATGAAAATCAATGCATTCAAAAAAGTCTGAACATCGCATTGTTCTTTCCACTGCAAGATAAAATAGGATAAATAATTCAGTAGAAGGCACACAGGCATGAGTGCTTTTAAACTGTGCAAGGGCGTGAGTATTGTCATTAGCTACAGTATACAACTCTAAGGGAGAACCTGCCCAGTTAAACCAGAAACCCAGCTTGGGTTACTGAAGAATTACCCAATCTCAGGCACAGAGAATACACTGGCCTTGGCTGTTACCAGGCTGCAGATGCTACTACTGTGCTTACACGTGATGTGACAAACGCCCAGAACCATCAGTACTGACTACTCTTATTGCCTACACTAACGCCTTAGTCCCTAGAATTTCTAGTGAGGGACTACGCCTTTTAGTCACACTGCAATACAGCATTTAAATGCTGTGTTTCTGTGCAAAATATACTATTGAGGAAATTTATAGAAACAGGCTTCTTATGAGTCTGATCAATTGTTTTCTTTTTCTGATATATATATTTTCTACTGGTAACAGGACAAGACTTTCATCAATTGCTCTATGACATTTTGTCAATAAATATCAGGCCATTTGAAAGAAAGAGAGCAGAAAGAGCTTTTTTATAATGAGAGGTCACACTGATGGTCAAAACCGATAGGATAGGGCTCTTCCTCCATTGTTACAGTAGTGGTGCCACCCCACACACATCTTCATGTTGTATACCAGCAATAAGGCCCGAGGGGGTGTGGTATGTGGTATATGGCCAATATACCACGGCTAAGGGCTGTTCATAGGCACGACGCAACGTGGCCAAGCGCGCCTCCAACTGAAAGCGCGAACCACCGCATTTAACCATGGCAAGGTGACTGGGAATATGGCAGAATACAAACAGTGTAGCTACTCACTCCGAGTCACAATTCAACAGCTCAGACACGAGACATATGTGGCAGGGTCTACAGACAATCACGGACTACAAAAGGAAAATCAGCCACGTCGCCGACACCGACGTCTCGCTTCCAGACAAGCTAAACACCTTCTTCGCCCGCTTTGAGGATAACACAGTGCCACCGATGCGGCCCACTACCAAGGACTGTGGGCTCTCCTTCTCCGTGGTCGACATGAGTAAGACATTTCAAATAAAATCAAATTTATTTGCCACATGCACTGAATACAACATTACCGTGAAATGCTTACTTACAGCCCTTAACCAACAATGCATTTTTTTCTTACTAAAAAAGTAAAATAAAACAACAACAACAAAAAAGTGTTGAGAAAAAAAGAGCAGAAGTAAAATAAAATGACAGTAGGGAGGCTATATACAGGGGGGTACCGGTGCAGAGTCAATGTGCGGGGGCACCAGCTAGTTGAGGTAGTTGAGGTAATATGTACATGTGGGTAGAGTTAAAGTGACTATGCATAAATAATTAACAGAGTAGCAGCAGCATAAAAAGATGGGGTGGGGGTGCAAATAGTCCGGGTAGCCATGATTAGTTGTTCAGGAGTCTTATGGCTTGGGGGTAGAAGCTGTTGAGAAGCCTTTTGGACCTAGACTTGGCGCTCCGGTACCGCTTGCCGTGCGGTAGCAGAGAGAACAGTCTATGACTAGGGTGGCTGGAGTCTTTGACAATTTTGAGGGCCTTCCTCTGACACCGCCTGGTATAGAGGTCCTGGATGGCAGGAAGCTTGGCCCCAGTGATGTACTGGGCCATACGCACTACCCTCTGTAGTGCCTTGCGGTCGGAGGCCAAGCAGTTGCCATACCAGGCGGTGATGCAACCAGTCAGGATGCTCTCGATGGTTCAGCTGTAGAACTTTTTGAGGATCTGAGACCCATGCCAAATCTTTTCAGTCTCCTGAGGGGGAATAGGCTTTGTTGTGCCCTCTTCACGACTGTCTTGGTGTGTTTGGACCATGATAGTTCGTTGGTGATGTGGACACCAAGGAACTTGAAGCTCTCAACCTGTTCCACTACAGCCCCGTCGATGAGAATGGGGGCGTGCTCAGTCCTCTTTTTTTTCCCTGTAGTCCACAATCATCTCCTTTGTCTTGGTCACATTGAGGGAGAGGTTGTTATCCTGGCACCACACGGCCAGGTCTCTGACCTCCTCCCTATAGGCTGTCTCATCGTTGTTGGTGATCAGGCCTACCACTGTTGTGTCGTCAGCAAACTTAATGATGGTGTTGGAGTCGTGCCTAGCCATGCAGTCATGGGTGAACAGGGAGTACAGGAGGGGACTGAGCACGCACCCCTGAGGGGCCCCTGTGTTGAGGATCAGCGTGGCAGATGTGTTGTTACCTACCCTTACCACCTGAGGGCGGCCCGTCAGGAAGTCCAGGATCCAGTTGCAGAGGGAGGTGTTTAGTCCCAGGATCCTTAGCTTAGTGATGAGCTTTGAGGGCACTATGGTGTTGAACGCTGAGCTGTAGTCAATGAATAGCATTCTCACGTAGGTGTTCCTCTTGTCCATGTGGGAAAGGGAAGTGTGGAGTGCAATAGAGATTGCATCATCTGTGGATCTGTTGGGGCGGTATGCAAATTGGAGTGGGTCTAGGGAATCTGGGATAATGGTGTTGATGACCAGCCTTTCAAAGCACTTCATGGCTACAGACGTCAGTGCTACGGGTCGGTAGACATTTAGGCAGGTTATCTTATTGTCCTTGGGCACGGGGACTATGGTGGTCTGCTTGAAACATGTTGGTATTACAGACTCAGTCAGGGACATGTTGAAAATGTCGGTGAAGACACTTGCCAGTTGGTCAGCACATGCTCGGAGTACACATCCTGGTAATCCGTCTGGCCCTGCGGCCTTGTGAATGTTGACCTGCTTAAAAGTCTTACTCACATCGGCTACGGAGAGCGTGATCACATAGTCATCCGGAACAGCTGGTGCTCTCATGCATGCTTCAGTGTTGCTTGCCTCGAAGCGAGCATAGAAGTGGTTTAGCTCGTCTGGTAGGCTTGTGTCACTGGGCAGCTCGCGTCTGTGCTTCCCTTTGTAGTCTGTAATAGTTTTCAAGCCCTGCCACATCCGACGAGCGTCAGAGCCGGTGTAGTACGATTCAATCTTAGTCCTGTATTGACTCTTTGCCTGTTTGATGGTTCGTCGGAGGGCATAGCGGGATTTCTTATAAGCGTCCGGGTTAGAGTCCCGCTCCTTGAAAGCGGCAGCTCTACCCTTTAGCTCAGTGCGGATGTTGCCTGTAATCCATGGCTTCTGGTTGGGGTATGTATGTACGGTCACTGCATGTTAAAACCCGCAAGGCTGCCGGCCCAGACGGTATCCCTTGCCGCATCCTCAGAGCATGCGCAGACCAGCTGGCTGGTGTGTTTACGGACATATTCAATCTCTCCCTATCCAGTCTGCTGTCCCCACATGCTTCAAGATGGCCACCATTGTTCCTGTACCCAAGAAAGCAAAAGTAACTGAACTAAATTACTATCGCCCCGTAGCACTCACCTCTGTCATCATGAAGTGCTTTGAGAGGCTAGTTAAGGATCATATCACCTCCACCTTACCTGTCATCCTAGACCCACTTCAATTTGCTTACCGCCTCAATAGATCCACAGACGATGCAATAGCCATCACACTGCATACTGCCCTATCCCATCTGGACAAGAGGAATACCTATGTAAGAATGCTGTTCATTGACTATAGCTCAGCATTCAACACCATAGTACCCTCCAAGCTCATCATTAAGCTTGAGGCCCTGGGTCTGAACCCCGCCCTGTGCAACTGGATCCTGGACTTCCTGACGGGCCGCCCCCAGGTGGTGAAGGTAGGAAACAACATCTCCACTTCGCTGATTCTCAACACTGGGGCCCCACAAGCATGTGTGCTCAGCCCCCCCCTGTATTCCCTGTTCACCCATGACTGCGTGGCCAAGCACGCCCTCCAACTCAATCATCAAGTTTGCAGACGACACAACAGTAGTAGGCTTGATTACCAACAATGACGAGACAGCCTACAGGGAGGAGGTGAGGGCTCTGGGAGTGTGGTGCCAGGAAAATAACCTCTCACTCAACGTCAACAACACGAAGGAGATGATTGTGGACTTCAGGAAACAGCAGAGGGTGCACCCCCCTATCCACATCGATGGGACCGCAGTGGAGAAGGTGGAAAGCTTCAAGATCCTTGGCGTACACATCACTGACAAACTGAAATGGTCCACCCACGCAGACAGTGTGGTGAAGAAGGCACAACAGAGCCTCTTCAACCTCAGGAGGCTGAAGAAATTTGTCTTGGCACCTAAAACCCTCACAAACTTTTACAGATGCACAATTGAGAGCATCCTGTCGGGCTGTATCACCGCCTGGTACGGCAACTGCACCGCCCGCAACGGCAGGGCTCTCCAAAGGGTGGTGTGGTCTGCTGAACGCATTACCAGGGGCAAACTCCCGCCCTCAAGGACACCTACAGCACCCGATGTCACAGGAAGGCCAAAAAGATCATCAAGGACATCAACCACCCGAGCCACTGCCTGTTCACCCCGCTATCATCCAGAAGGTGAGGTCAGTACATGTGCATCAAAGCTGGGACCGAGAGAATGAAAAACAGCTTCTATCTCAAGGCCATCAGACTGTTAAATAACCATCACTAGCACATTAGAGGCTGCTGCTGCCTATATAAATCACTGGCCACTTGAAATGGAACACTAGTCACTTTAATAATGTTTACATATCTTGCATTACTCATCTCATATGTATATACTGTATTCTATAATATTCTACTGTATCTTAGTCCATGCCGCTCTGTCATTGCTTATATATATATATATATATATATATATATATATATACGCTACCATTCAAAAGTTTGGGGTCACTTAGAAATGTCCTTGTTTTTGAAAGAAAAGCAATTTTTTTGTCCATTAAAATAACATCAAATTGATCAGAAATACAGTGTAGACATTGTTAATGTTGTAAATGGCTATTGTAGCTGGAAACAGCTGATTTTTAATGGAATATCTACATAGGCGTACAGAGGCCCATTATCAGCAACCATCAGTCCTGTGTTCCAATGGCACGTTGTGTTTGCTAATCCAAGTTTATCATTTTAAAAGGCTAATTGATCATTAGAATCTCAGACTGCCCATCTTAATCTTTTCTTTTTATTGGCCAGTCTGAGATATGGCTTTTTCTTTGTAACTCTGCCTAGAAGGTCAGCATCCCAGAATCGCCTCTTCACTGTTGACGTTGAGACTGGTGTTTTGCGGGTACTATTTAATGAAGCTGCCAGTTGAGGACCTGTGAGGCGTCTGTTTCTCAAACTAGACACTCTAATGTATTTGTCCTCTTGCTCAGTTGTGCACCGGGGCCTCCCACTCCTCTTTCTATTCTGGTTAGAGCCAGTTTGCGCTGTTCTGTGAAGGGAGTAGTACACAGCGTTGTACGAGATCTTCAGTTTCTTGGCAATTTCTCGCATGGAATAGCCTTCATTTCTCAGAACAAGAATAGACTGACAAGTTTCAGAAGAAAGTTATTTGTTTCTGGCCATTTTGAGCCTGTAATCGAACCCACAATTGCTGACGCTCTAGATACTCAACTAGTCTCAAGAAGGCCTTTTTATTGCTTCTTTAAATCAGCATAACAGTTTTCAGCTGTGCTAACATAGTTGCAAAAGGGTTTTCTAATGATCAATTGGCCTTTTCAAATTATAAACTTGGATTAGAAAACACAACGTGCCATTGGAATACAGGACTGATGGTTGCTGATAATGGGCCTCTGTACACCTATGTAGATATTGTGTTAAAAATCTGCCATTTCCAGCTACAATAGCCATTTACAACATTAACAATGTCTACACTGTATTTCTGATCAATTTGATGTTCTTTTAATGGACCAAAAAAATGCTTTTCTTTCGAAAACAAGGACATTTCTAAGTGACCCCAAACTTATGAAGGGTAGTGTATATTCTTAAATTCCATTCCTTACTTAGATTTGTGTGTATTGGTTATATGTTGTGAAATTGTTAGATATTACTTGTTAGATATTACTGCACTGTCGGAGCTAGAAGCGCATGCATTTTCGCTACAGCCGCAATAACATCTGCTAAACACGTGCATGTGACAAATAACATTTGATTTGATATACCACATTTACATTTTAGGCATTTAGCAGACGCTCTTATCCAGAGCAACTTACAGTTAGTGAGTGCATACATTTTTCATACTGGCCCCCCTTGGGAAACGAACCCACAACCCTGGCGTTGCAAGTGCCATGCTCTACCAATTGAGGTACAGGGGACTGTCAGCGAATCAGCATTCAGGGCTCGAACCCCCCAGTTTATAATGTGGTATAGACAGGTTGGTTGTTTAGCAACAAAACAGACATGTGCGCAACTATGGGGCAAAACAGACTGGGTTGGCTTAGATTGTTGACAACATGTAAACTATATTTTGTCTCCAATATTTATTGAAAACATAAATACATTTGCACAATGAGCACTTGTTGTCTCTCAAATACATCATCTAATTTGTTGGTTAGCTAGCTAGCGAATTGTAGCCATATTAGCATAAATGTCAATCAAAACCCCTCAAAACAAGACATGGTATCAAGAACAAGATACAATTAGCTGAAATGAGCAACCTACGATTCCCCACATGGCAGTTTCTTGTCATTGTTGCTAGCTATCTGGCCATCCAGAATCATAACAACACACGGCCTTCTGCCCCATTGAAGCGCGTGCATCGTTTTCGTGACGTTGTCAGCTAACCCGTCTATAATGCTTGTCTTTATGTTGTGTACTGTGGTATAATGCTTGTTCCCTTGACAGACTATGAAACACAATTAACCCAGGAAGGAGCGAAATTTGAATCCTGACTCTGCTGTGGAGCGGCCTACGCTTTGCTTCCTGTCTGCACAAGGTGTGACTGCATTAAGTAGAGAAAACAAAGCATTGAAGAAGTCACAGAAGAATGTCCAGTGTTTCCAGGTTAGCTTTAAAGGGACAATACACTCCAAAATAAACATTGCAAAATTGTTTTCAAACCTCTAAAGTAGTCTTGTGTAAATCCATGTCCCACGCATTCGATTGTGAAGAACTACAACCTGATTTACGAGTGTAACGTCCCTTTAATGCTCAGAAGTAGTGCACTGCTTACCAGGATCATTGTGTGAGTGGGGCACAACAAATACTTGTAGTGGCTCACTGTCCCATTCATTCTCCTGGTAGGTGATATCAAAGCCTTGTTTCCACACTCCCCCATCAGCGTTGTCAAAGGTCAGGAGGTCATACACATCTAGCAACTGAAAAATAAACAACAACAAAAAACAATGAGTGGGATATTCTTGAGGTACCATGAAGAAGACTAACATACACTGAAGTATATCTAACCTGTTTATTGTCAACAATGTATTATTAGGAGTATTAAGAGTATTGCACATTACACTGTGACACTACGGGGGCAATGCGTGGCTTAGTTGGTAGAGCAAGGCACTTGCAATGCCAAGGTTGTGGGTTCAATTCCCACGGGGGACCAGTATGAAAAATGGATGCACTCACGACTGTATGTCGCTCTGGATAAGAGCGTCTGCTAAATGACTAAAATGTATGGTTTGCAGCAAAGCCTCACTTTATTAGGCTATGTACTCTAGAACTGTTTACGGAAGTTTCATGTATTTGGTTCCGATTCAGTTTTGTGTTTACTTTAAGTCACAGTGGCGGTTAAAGTGTCTAATCCACCACAGAGAAAATAAAGAAAACAAGAAAGAAAGCAGTGCATCTGTTCCTGGAATTCTGTGTAGGATAACAGTCATATCAGCAGGTCAGAAGAATGCAAATGAGAGATGGAACTTCTAACACAAATCGAGACCGCTTGGGGGTTTCTTTGGGACTCACGCCAACTTAAATATCTCTCTTTGTCTATTGGCCAAATAAAATGATGGACTGAATGGAATGTGATACAGAGAGGACAAGATGACAGAATGTCTGCTCTATGGTACAAAAGCCACTGACTAAAGCCATGATTTTAATAAAAGGAATATAAATCATAGAAATGAGCTTGTTATCATGATTGGTGTCAAGAACAAATATGATGAGATATACTGTATATCAGGGTTCCCCAACTAGCGGCCCGCGGATGGTTTTATTTGTCCCCCCAAGTCTTCGGAGCAACAAAAAAAGTATATATATTTTGTATTATTCTTTTGGGGAATTTTCATTGTTGGACATAAAAGACTGTAAAAACACCAGGAAATCAGCTCCAAGTGAGTTTAATTAACGAAATCTGTTCCCAAGTATTCCCACACATAGAGAGACACGTGATCGTACACAAATGTAAGCAAGGTTTGAAATGATTATCTTTTAGTCAAACATTATATCTGTTTGGGCTCTTGCGGTCAATTTGCAGTATACAAATTATTTGTAATTTTGTTCCGGCCCCCCGACCAGCCGCTCATTAAAAAATCGGCCCGCGGCTGAATCTAGTTGATGATCCCTGCTGTATATACAGACATATTGTGGCTGGGAGGCTGTCTCATTCTGTATATTTAAGCACAGGAGTGATAGGTTTCTTTTCGATCCGTAACATTCTTGCATATAGAGTGACTTAACTGTACCTAAAAGGTATTAACTCTATCTAAAGAAACCGGTCTTTCAAGTCAAACCGCAGTCTCATCCTTTTACATTTCCAACATATACAACCAGATACATTTCTGATGAGCTGGCATTCAATATCTCACCTGACTTGATGGACAACTGGAAAGGAAAAGGATAGTCCAACCAGACCAGATAATATAACCAAAACCCATTCAGATTACACCTTTTTGAATTAATTCCAGCTGTATACTAATGCATTACGCGTTCTGTGTGCTCATGATATTAATTTCAAAAATATTCAATAACATATTCATGGTACATAGTATAATGGTAGTGTAATGGTTTTTACATTTGTCCTTCATTTCAACACCATAACCACGACACATTGTAATAAGTATCTTCCCTATGGCTATTACAAGGCTTCATATTTCACACTAGGAGCAATTCAGCATGGAAGGTTGGCATCATGGTAATGAGGTCATGATGGTGTCTCTTTGTATAATGATGTAGCTTATTAAAAGAGGTGAAATTCAGAGTTAAATAAAAATAAACACTGGCTGTTAACTTTGTGCATGGAGGTTTGTTCACTTCAAACTTTCCCTGGAGTATGTTGAACAGATCCGATCGTAGTTCAATCCTACAACAATGTCGCTACACAAATACCTGAACTGTTTGTTTCTCATTGTATCCACCTTATAAAACTCTTACCTGCACCCCATCTGCTGGCTTGGAGAACTCCCTTGCTGCAAACTGACAGTCTTGGGAGTCAATATGGAGGACCAGTGAAGGCGAAGCCAGAAGTTCTAGGTAGGGCCCTTGGCTCATGTTCCCGCCGTCAGGACCCCCTCGGCCATCCTTGACCGACTCCTTCAGGTTGATCACAGAGTCCCTGATGTTGGCTATGATCTCATTGTTCTCTGACAGTAGTCTCTCCAAGCTGTCAATCTTATCCTGGAGGATGGACAACTGGCCCTGATGAAGGAGAAGCAGGGACGGAGGAGAACACATTTACTGGCTTTATACAATATAGTATGCATATAATTATGCAATAAATATTTATAAATTAGTTATAATGAGTCTATTAATATGTTAATTGACTGTCAATAAACTAGCTGTAAACCCTTTATAAAAGTAACCGTATTGTAGTGTTACCAAAATGAGGACCTATGTCATCCATGGTGACAAATCCAAAGTGTCAATGCATTTAGGGTTAATTTTTAAGACCTCAAGGAAAGGAAGTGGAAATGACGAATATATAGAAAACAAGAGGTCAGTAACCTTCTTGTTGCACAAACATGACCACTTTGACCAGTTTCCACTTAGTCTCGGAAATCCCAGACCTTGGGCAACAGCACTGGGTGAATAATAGTTGTATAATAATATAGGTGTGTGCTGGAACATTGTGGGAGGCTACCTGTCTGCTTAGGAAGACTAGTTTTCACTCATTCCGGAATGGAATTATGCAACATACAACCCTGCCCACGATCTAGATCTCAATGTGCAAATGAACACTGGAGTTTTCAGGAAGTCATACACAATTAGGTTCATTGGAACCATGTCTGTTGCAAGACGATAACTCTATCATGTAACACAAAGACGGTATGTAGCCTACTGTACAGGCTACAGTTGAAAATGTGTTTACATTGTCTGGAACGTTGAATAGGCCTACATTGTAACGTTAAAACATTGTAGGCTAATTAGTAAGCCTACAGCAGCCAGTTCTCTATGTGGTTAGCTACACAACATAGGATATTGAGGAAATGGGCTACTTTACAAAGTCATTAATATTTGTGCAACCATGTAAAAACAACGTTCCACTCAAGTTATACGCTACGATATTACACATGCATGTCTGATCTAGACTGCAAAAAGTGAGAAAATAAGTAGCCTATCTGAACCAAACAGCCAACGAAATGAAAAACTTACATTTTGCAATCTATCCCCACCATTGTTTGGACTTTTGGTATGGTCTAATTGCAGGTGATCCAGCATCAGGTACAATGAGAAGATGACAACACAGAATATGGCACTTCCATAAACAGTGAATTGCCGACTTATCTTCATCATTATTTACGATCGATTTAACCTATAGTTATGTAGATCACCCTCAGGGAATGGTCGATATCTTGACTCTGTGGTGAGGATCAGAAAAATCTCATGCTATTCCAAAAATATAGTTACAAATTCTTCTTTAGTGTGTTGCCACGGAACTAACATAATTGTCCACATTCACTCCTTCTATGAACAATCAGCTTTAAAAAGCTGGGTCTGGAACCGAAAGGTAGCCTGAATCATGGCTGGACCCACAGACTGAAAGAGTTGTGATTCAGCAGATCGTGTTGGCCAGTGCCGACGACCCCGTATTCTTCCAGCATTTGTCTTCTGTTAAAATTAAGTAAGGAAGTGAAAAGCATAGGTATGAACGTGCGCCGCCTACCGACTCACAACTTTTTTCATTTGGGACCCACAGGTAAAGTCGTGGATACGTTTTTAGTCCAGCGCACAATGCGTAGGGAACGTTTCCAATTCCATATTTTTTGCATTCATTGCCCTTTCTAGTTCCTATCCTATTCAGCTATTGCATCTTCCAGACATTCGTCTCCACTCCAATCATTCATTGGTGTTGCGAAAACTTGGCCATTAACTCCAGAAAGCACTCATTTAGAGACCGTGTGAAAACAGCTGCATGGACATGTTCAGCACCCGCTCCTGATGTTTAAAGGCTCTCCAAGTGCCAGCTTTACTACCTGATCTCGTTCGTATTTTCAACATTTGGAATTCAAAAAGAGAGAAAGTGTTCCAGATGTGACGCCATTTCATTGGAAAAGTCAGAAGCGTTTGTGGAAATGAACAAGCTCCATGTACCGTCAAATGTTAATTCCTTACTCCCTCATGATTATAATATTAGAGGCAAACAAGTTGAAAACGCCACAAATTTAAGTCAGCATTTATGGATTGAGAGAAGCGAACGCGCAATTAATATTTTCTTAGCGTTACCAGTTTCCTTTGTGAATGTAATCTCACAATTGAGAAGCGTCTCCCCTTCTTTCTCCAGGCCACGGTCAATAGTAGTGGGGTATGGATGGGAGCACAGAAACTTGTATACGCCTCCTTTGACATCATTTGGTGACGAGAAATATGCCATAATTTGTATAAAATCTAACAGGCAAAAAATATATATAAATGAATGGGTTAGTTCGGAGAGTGAATTATCATCTGTTTATTGTCTATTAGTGTGACGAGGTGTGAAGGAAGGAGTCAGGCGCAGGAGGTAAAATACCGAAGTCCAGAGTTTATTCCGTTTACATAAATCAAACGCTCCTAGCGTCAAAACGAAACTAACAAGGGAAAACATCCACCTTGGCATAAACACTAAGAATAGTAGCTCAACCGCGCTACACACTCTCACAACAAACAATCACTCACAAAGAGAAGGGGAACAGAGGGAACACTTATACACATACTAATAAGGGGACTGAGCACCAGGTGTGTGTGATTGACAAGACATGACAAGTGGAGTGATGAGAATGGGATCGGCAGTAGCTAGTACTCCGGTGACGACGAACGCCGAAGCCTGCCCGAACCAGGAGGGGGGCAGCCTCGGCGGAAGTCGTGACAATTAGGCTTAATATAGTAATAATAATAATAATAATAAATACTTGTTTTGATCAACTTTTGTAATTGTATTATCAAGGTCAACTCATCTACATTTGGCAGAATTCATTTACTCGTTTAAAGATCTGCTTCATTAATCATTATCTTGCTGCAGAGTAAATGTTCTTCAATGTTAATTTTTTTTCCAATATTTTCTCTGGTGGAGCAAGCTTCAAAGATCCCCATCCCTTGCTTGGAACTCAAGCTGATTTAGGAACCAATTTCTATGAAGCCTCTTTAGCCTGGTGAGCAGGGCCGGTTCTAGGCATAAGAGACATAAGCGATGGATTAGGGGCCCCCCCCAAAAAAAACTATTATAATTATTATAATTTTTTTATGTAGGAGCTCAGTTGGGGTCTCAACTTAATAACATCGACGAGCGTCAGGGCCGGTATAGTAGGATTCGATCTTAGTCCTGTATTTACATTTTGTATGTTTGTTGGTTCCAGCAGTCGCCTACTTACTTAGTCACCTGAGCTTGACGAGTCCGGAGAGCTCATCCGAGTTGGTGGTAGACTACGTTGTGCCGAAATCTAGAACATGCTACAGTTCATCCCATCGTCCTCGATCCTGGTCATCCATCCACTGGACTCCTGATCCAAGATTACGACAACCGTCTGTGCCATCCTGGCCCTGAGAGGGTGTTTTCAGAGATCCGCCGCACCCTTTGGATCCTCCGCGGGCGGGAAGCCATCCGTCGCTTCCAGCACAACTGCACAGAATGCCGTAGATTGAAATCTAGACCTGCTGTCCCCAAGATGGCTGACCTGCCAGCTGCACACCTGCGCCTCTTCAAGCCAGCCTTCCACTCCACGGGCATGGACTGCTTCGGGCCCTTCCAGGTCAAACTGGGGCGGCGCGTCGAGAAGAGATGGGGGATAATCTTCAAGGGTCTCACCACGAGGGGTGTGTACTTGGACCTCCTGACCAACATTGATGCCGACTCCTTTCTGATGGCCCTTAGAATATTCATCGCCTGCCGAGGGACGCCGGCTGAGCTGTTCTCTGACCAGGGAATGAACTTCCGGGGAGGCGAGAAGGAGCTGCGCGAGGCCTTCGCTAATTTGTCTCCCAACCTGCAAGAGCAGCTTGCAAAACAGAAGATTGCCTTTCGCTTCAACCCCCCTGCAACCCCGCACTTCGGAGGAGTTTGGGAGAGAGAGATTCGCTCCGTTAAGACTGCCCTCTACACTACAGTGGGTGCCCAGTCATTGACCGAAGAAGTGCTCAGAACTGTACTCATTGAAGTGGAGGGTATCCTGAATTCGAAGCCCTTGGGCTACGTGACCTCCAGTATCACAGACTAGGACCCTGTGACCCCTAACCTCCTGTTGATGGGGCGGCCAGACGTATCCCTGCCGCAAGTGGTGTATCCGGAGACTGAGCACCTCAGCAGACGTTGATGAAGACACTGCCAGATCCTGATGGATCATTCTGGTCCAGCTACATCAGGAACTACCTACCCAGCCTGCAAGCTCTCCAGAAGTGGCATTCCATCCCTGCCGTCCTCAAAAGGGATATTATGGTTATGTTGGTGGACCCCCAGCTTCCGAGAGCCCTCTGGCCCATCGGACGTGTCATTAAAGTTCACCCAAGCGCAGATGGTCATGTGAGGTCTGCCGAGGTTAAGATCAAGGACAGAGCATACACCCATCCTGTTGCCTGGTTGGTAATCCTCCCAGCTCTCCCGGACAGAGAAGACGACGACAGTACGCCTGCCGTAACTCCTCCCAAGAGCCCTTAGCCTTTCTCAGGTGATAATTGACGTCGCAATTTGGGGCGGCTGTACAAAAGACTATTGACAGTAAATATTAGTTCATCATAGGAGAGCTGTAGCTCCGCCCACCGGTGATGTGGAGCAGAGCATGCTGGGCGATCTCTGAGGAGAAATAATGAACTAGAGAAGCCGTGATAGGTTCCAGCCATCTCCTGTGATTACCTTTAGTTAGCATTCTTTGTTTTAGCCAAGGCCAGTGTGCGTCCTTCAGAAATGTGAGTTAATATTTCTTACAATTCATGTGTTGTGGACGCACTCCTTTGTTATGCTAATTAGCGTTTTTACACCAAGCTAGCAACTGTAAGCTTGCTAACCCTGTTTTTTGTCATCTCATTTCAGACATTTAGCCTTTCAGTGTCTAGTTTTATATGCTGTTATATGGATGTGTACTGTATAGATTATGTGGGTATTTTGTTAGCAATGAGCCTTGTGGATGCATTATCAAATCAAATCAAATCAAATTGTATTGGCCACATGCGCCGAATACAACAGGTGCAGACATTACAGTGAAATGCTTACTTACAGCCCTTAACCAACAGTGCATTTATTTTTAACAAAAAAGTAAAAATAAAACAACAACAAAAAAAAGTGTTGAGAAAAAAAGAGCAGAAGTAAAATAAAATAACAGTAGGGAGGCTATATACATACAGGGGGGTACCGGTGCAGAGTCAATGTGCGGGGGCACCGGCTAGTTGAGGTAGTTGAAGTAATATGTACATGTGGGCAGAGTTAAAGTGACTATGCATAAATAATTAACAGAGTAGCAGCAGCGTAAAAGGATGGGGTGGGGGGGGCAGTGCAAATAGTCCGGGTAGCCATGATTAGCTGTTCAAGAGTCTTATGGCTTGGGGGTAGAAGCTGTTGAGAAGTCTTTTGGACCTAGACTTGGCACTCCGGTACCGCTTGCCGTGCGGTAGCAGAAAGAACAGTCTATGACTAGGGTGGCTGGAGTCTTTGACAATTTTGAGGGCTTTCCTCTGACACCGCCTGGTGTAGAGGTCCTGGATGGCAGGAAGCTTGGCCCCAGTGATGTACTGGGCCGTACGCACTACCCTCTGTAGTGCCTTGCGGTCGGAGGCCAAGCAGTTGCCATACCAGGCGGTGATGCAACCAGTCAGGATGCTCTCGATGGTGCAGCTGTAGAATTTTTTGAGGATCTGAGGACCCATGCCAAATCTTTTCAGTCTCCTGAGGGGGAATAGGCTTTGTCGTGCCCTCTTCACGACTGTCTTGGTGTGTTTGGACCATGATAGTTCGTTGGTGATGTGGACACCAAGGAACCTGAAGCTCTCAACCTGTTCCACTACAGCCCCGTCGATGAGAATGGGGGCGTGCTCAGTCCTCTTTTTTTTCCCTGTAGTCCACAATCATCTCCTTTGTCTTGGTCACGTTGAGGGAGAGGTTGTTATCCTGGCACCACACGGCCAGGTCTCTGACCTCCTCCCTATAGGCTGTCTCATCGTTGTCGGTGATCAGGCCTACCACTGTTGTGTCGTCGGCAAACTTAATGATGGTGTTGGAGTCGTGCCTGGCCATGCAGTCATGGGTGAACAGGGAGTACAGGAGGGGACTGAGCACGCACCCCTGAGGGGCCCCCGTGTTGAGGATCAGTGTGGCAGATGTGTTGTTACCTACCCTTACCACTTGGGGGCGGCCTGTCAGGAAGTCCAGGATCCAGTTGCAGAGGGAGGTGTTTA